AACTCAAATTTTATTGGATAAAACCAAAATTTTTGCATGTAATTAATTAATTAATATGGGAACCAGTCTTCCGAGACGGTGTTTATGCCCCTCATTTAGCTCCGCCACCCTCAAACTATATATAAGCAGGTATTACAGAGTAAAATGCGAGCCAGTTTCAATCAAGCTCTGAAGAAGCCAACAGGATGATTGGCTTGTGCATTTTTTATTCATAATTTTGATCGAGCGAAACTATTTTATTCTAAGTTATTAAGTTAAGTTAAGTTATTATTTGTTATTTTAAAAAATTGATTCTTTTTTTTTGGTGGAAATATCAAACTAAAATCTACAATTTGAGAACTTTGCTCTAGTATTTTGCCCCACATACGAGGGGGTATCCAAAAAAAACCGGAATCATTTTTTATAAACTATATATTGTTTTGAAAATCACAGAACGACCTTATCCCCTTCAAAATACTCTCCATTAAAACTAATACATTTGCCCCAGCGGCGCTTCCACTGTTCGAAACATTATTTATATTCATCTTTGGCTATAGCCGACAGCTCATCCTTCGTTTTTTTCTTGACCTCTTCAATGTTGTCAAATCGCTGTCCTTTCATGTCCCTTTTCATACGTGGAAATAAGAAGAAGTCACACGGAGCGAGATCAGGCGAGTAAGGTGCATGGGGCAGAGGAACCATGCCATTTTTAGCCAAAAACTGCTTAACAGAAATGGCTGTGTGTGCAGGTGCATTATCGTGGTGAAAGAACCAGTCCCCTGTCCGCCACAAATCGGGTCTTTTTTGTCGAATACTGTTGCGCAATCTTCGTAAAACTTCCAGATAAAAAGCTTGATTAACGGTCTCACCTGGTGGAACGAACTCTGCATGAACTACGCCGTTGATGTCGAAACAGCAAATCAGAATATTTTTGATATTTGACTTGACCTGACGACATTTTTTTAGAAGGGGAGACAGTGACGTCTTCCATTGGCTGGACTGTTGCTTCGTTTCTCGATCGTAACCATAGCACCATAACTCGTCACCAGTAATGATCTTTGAAAGAAAATCTGGATCCGTTTCAAGCTGTTGATTCAAAGCACGACATGTTTCAACTCGATGTTCTTTTTGCATGTCAGTCAGAACACGAGGAACAAACTTGGCAGCAACTCTTTTCATTCCCAAATCTTAGGTTAAAATTCGCTGATCCGCGCTCCAAGACAACCCACTAATCTTTGATAATTGTTCAATTGTTTGTCGACGGTCTGTGAGCACAAACTCTCAAACCTTTTCAATATTTTCGTCGATTCGAGCAGTTGATGGACGTCCAGAACGAGGTCGGTCATCAATTGACTCGTCGCCATTTTTGAAGCGAACAAACCACTGGTACACTTGAGTTTTTCCCATCACATCGTCTTTATAAGCTGTTTTTAATATTGAAACAGTTTCAGTAGCACTTTTACCGAGCAGAAAACAAAATTGCACAGCTGCACGTTGTTCTTTTAAATTTGCCATCGAAAAAAACGAAATAACAAAAAAACAGCGTTAACAAAAAATGGCACTGCAAGTGAACAAAACAAGTTAAATTTAAAACGAAGGTGGCGTTGAACTCGTAATAAGTTGTATCCCCAACCTAGCGGCAGAAAGGTGTACTATACAAGCTCTGCGCGCGGCAATTCAATTCCGGTTTTTTATGGGTACCCCCTTGTACATTTTTGTATAAACTTCACATACTTTTGTGTGCAACTATTATTTATATTTTTGATTATGTTCTTCTATGACAAATTAGAAAATATGAAACATTTTGATTTGTTTGAAAATCTCAACAAAAGATTTTTTCATGATTTGTTTTTTTGATAAATTGATTCTCTTAAAGCATCAAACCAAATGTACTCGTTTACATATCCGGATAACAATCTGATTAATTTTTAGCAAAGCACGGGTAAATCAAATAAACCCGCCGGATCTGTTTATTACCCCCCTTTATTTTTCACCATTGTTTGCGATGCCGAGTTTTAATAAGCGTAAGCCCAAAATTTATGTAACATATTGACAGGACGCAAGTGTTTTTGACTCAATCATTAATAAAAGATACATTAATTCCTATTATCCAAACTAATAAATAGGACGAGGCAATGGCTTTAACTACTAAATCAGGAGTGGGATATGAGCGCCCCTTCGGGATAAAGGAGGATGTTAGTCCCTTATTATATGCCTTGGTTGTGTCCCAGCTGACGCAAACGTATTATAACTTCGAAAAAACAGGCTAATATATATCACGGAGCAGAATGTGTCCACATATCTGTATTTTCGTAAAATAAAAGTCCGCAGCGTTGAATTTATGATGACAGGCCACTGTCGGATGAAATGTGGACTGCGATCACCAACAAAATCGAACGTATAAATAAGAAAAAGGACCCCCTACTTTTAAAATATATTATTGGCATCTTTTTCGTGTTATATAAATCCGAGAAATATGGACCGCGTATATACGAGGATGTCCGAAACAAAAAAAAAAACGACAGCGAGGATAAGTTAAATTCCGCTCTAATTGCCGAATGAGAATTATCAGTGACCATGCCGCATGAAAGAAAAATCCCAATTATCCGGGAGACGAAATTTGGATCCTTAATGACGGGAAAAAATGTCCCAGCTCATCGGATTACGTCATTCAGATGAGGTTCAACCGTTGGGGGGATTGGAAACGTCTAATCGAAAAAGAACGAAAATTTGCCTGGCTCGCTCTGTCTCCCTTTCTCTCTCTATCTCTTTCTTTTTTCTCTCTCTCTCTCTCTCTCTCTCTCTCTCTCTCTCTCTCTCTCTTTCTCTGCCTACAGAATGTTTGTTGGAGAAATCTAGAGAACGGGATTCCCACAAAATCTGCATTGAGTTTTTTTACAAAATACAAATATTTGAAGGGCATTTTTTTAGAAGGAGTAAATTCCCATAAATACGCATACAAGTAGTATTTACTTTTAATAATTTAAATATATCATTTAAAATTTGTCCATGACGTCATGCGGATTAATTTCTTTTTGTTTATAACTTCCATAAACTTAATAAACGTTCCGTTTGCAAAGTTGGTTCGCATATTATAATTAAAGCGATTAAAGGATTAATTACCAAGTGGCAATATTAATATAAATGTAGTATTGTTTAAAAATAATTTTAAAAAAGCAAGTATGTGTTAGGATTTGGTTATGAACCGCTGATATATCCCCAATATACTCTCTCGAGTTATCCATTTACAGTTACACCTATTAAACTCTTCATAATTTACTTTCTTACATGATGCTAAAGACGCAAATAAGATGAAAATAATGAAAAAATGATTATTGCTCGCTAATTTTGCAATATTATAAATATTATGTAAATTAATTATGAAATCATTAATTTTTGATTGGATAATAATAAAATTACAAATTTTTAACATAAGTCTACAAAATAAACAATCCATTGTGATTTTCTTAAAAGTGTGGTCTCCTTAAAAGTGAGTAAACAGAACGACTAAACAATTTTTTCAATGTGTTATAAAATCATGTATTACTTATTATGTGACTTATTATGTAATAAAAGAAAACCGTTTAATAATATTACAATTACAAATTTACAAACATAGGTTTACAAAATATATAGGCGAATATGATTTTTTTAAAAGTGTTTCAAAGGATAAAATTACTTTACATTGTTTTTATTTAAAAAAGTACTTATGTATTATTTATTATGTGAATTATTATGTAATAAAAAATTATAGGCTTAACAATAGTAAAATTACTAATTTACAACATAAGTTTACAAAATACATGAGTCAATGTCACTTTCCTAATAGTGTGTCAGAAAGGAAATTCTTTTACAATGTATTATTTATTATGTGCTAGTATGTAACATAAGGCAATGCTTGCTAAAGTGAGGTTGAATATATATTTTTTTATATATATAATTCAAGTCCGTTACCTGACGTTTCCAGGTTTTCCAGGTTAATAGGAATCCTGTAAGAATAAATCGACGAACTTCGAGAAAACATCATTCTTCTGTGGTATTATTGTAATGGGTGTTGAAGCAATTGAAGCAATACGTGTCAACACATGTGCATCGCATGTCGGCGTCATTAGAATCGCATTACAGACCGATTTAGGTTTATCCAACACGAGATCGACACGCGACTTTGACGATAGGCCGTATATACCCACCTCCTTTAACCCCGGTATTTGGCAAATCCCTTTACATTCCGCTTTCCCCCCACAGGATATACATAATATATAAAACACGGTTTTGATATCGGGCTTTCTAAGGTTTTAAAATTGTGATTGAGAATTTATAGCGGCAGATTATGTTCGGTTCGCTTCGCGGTCAGGGGTACATATTAAATTACGTCGAGATTTAGATACTGTTTTATCAGCCACTAAATCTCCTATAAAATTTGCGGCAAGTGTTCTTGGCTTCCTACTGTTCCCGAAACGAATTTCGAGAACCTTCCAATCGAATTTTTCACCCAAGAGGGACGGAATAAAACGTATACACTTTTTTACATTTTGCTATACGTCTATAAATTCTTGTTTAGACGTAATAATTTTACGATAAAAGATAAATGGAGCCGCTCGGGTTTGCGGATTGGTTTTCATCGCAGTATACCCCCCTTTCTGACGATAGTTCGCATAAATTAAAAAAAAATACTTCTCGTATTCAAGTAGAACATAATTTTTATAGAAAAATGTACTTTCACTCCAAGGAAGTAATATGCAGTCAGTGCAATAAAAATGGAATTAAATATTGATTCTAAACGTTTGAGATTGTTTAGGGTGGTATTAAATAGCAGTGCTGGAAAACCAAAATGTCACAATGAAGTTAAATGTCTTACTTCTTTTTATTCTGAAAATACTTCTTTTATTTGCCAAGCTAGCATGTAAAAACTTAATACTGATTGTGTTTACTATAAGTCGGTAAGCAATACCACAATTACAATGTGCAAATTACAAACTTGGTAACACTTTTTGGTTATAACAATATAATAATAAGTCAAGTTACTTATAAATTGATTTATTTCTCTAAATATTAACAAAATAACTAGATTAAATGTCACATATAGTCATTCAGATCAGCCATAGTCTTCCTAACACTTTTCAAGTCGGCTAATAATGCATCTACTGTGCCAGGCGCTAGTGCTATAGTCCTAGTATTTCCAGCATTTGTCAAGTCCACTTTAACGCAATTCAAATCCATGTCGGCGTTAGCTGCGAATTGCTCCAAAGCGTTCACTAAAAAAAATAAGCCCTTAAATCAATTTTTGACCGGATTTTCTTCCAATAAAACCTTTTAAAGATTGTGTCTTAAACGTTTCGGCTAAATTTGCGTTCTGATCTTCAAATACCCTTTTAATAGAAGTGCTATGTTCTCGAGGTAAACCAAGTTGCTGAAGTTCCGACTGCAAAGCGCTACTATCACAATTAAAACGAGTTGCCGACGATATTATATAAGTTAAACACGCTATACAAGCTTTTAAATCGATATCGGAATCTACAAAACAAGTAAATTAATACGGGAGCCGCGTCAATACGCTGTCCCAGCGCATGCACCATTTCCTACCAAGCTTAGAGTCAATAAACAATTTATTGAGTTTCTCGACCTAAAAGGAAACAATAAATTAATACCAACGCGCTAATCTCTTATAAAACTTACGTCAAAGGGTGGGTGTACTATACCTTTCACTGCCATTTGCCCTAAGAGCTTTAATTTAACCGAAGACAGTCTGGAAAGGGTGTTTATTTCAGCAAGAACCCAATCCGGACAATCGGCATCGCCACAAAACCGAAACCTCTAAAACAGTCAATTTTAAACCACCACCACAGATTTTGAATATAAAAACTCACCATGTTTACGTATTATTTGTCCCACGACAACCTAACCTAAAATTCACACTACCATGGCAGTGTTGTCTATGTTTTCGACGTTTCAAACAACCAAACGCTACAAACCGCGCCCTCTAATGAAATATTTTCTAACCGATATTTTTGAACACGTTAGGTCAGTATTCTGAAGCCTTAGGTCTTTATTTTGGAATCATTAAAATGTAGAATGCAGAAGAGGCCTAGAAAACTTTTTGCAGGTCACGTGGTGTGGTAACTGTGTTGCCAGTTCCCAATAGAGGACGCGATCAACACAAAAATTACAATTGATTGTTAGCAAATCCTTTTTGTTGTGAAAACTGGTATTATGCTAAAATTCCGAAAAATCATATGGTATCACGAATGTAATAACACAGGTGTTTCACAATTTTTATTCACAAAAATATAGAAAGTATCTTACTTAAAATACCTATATGCTTAATAGAAAATTATTAATAATTTATGACTTAACTATACAATAAAAATCACTAGGAAACCGGCAAAATATCAAGTTGGGAGAACTATAATTAGTTTGTTGTTTAATCTTCTCGGCCTATAAATACAGTGGGCTGACCTTTGTACAACCTTAGACTGGTATTTTTTCCTAAAGTCTTGATCAATTCCCCGTCATCATCCGGTTCTTCGCTCTGCGATTTTTGAGGACTTTGTTCCGATTTTCCGTGGTACTTGGCAATTTCCGCTCTATACTTGTCGTAAGCCGCTCTTCCTGGCTGATAATGCTTGTTACCAGCACCTTCTGCCTGCTGATAGCTTACTAATTTAGCTTCAGGCAGATATTTAGGCCCACCCCTAAAATGTTGCTGGTACTGCTCTTCGGAAGCTTTCACCGGCACCTGCTGATATTCATAATAGCCAGGTTGGACGTTTTGGTACCTATCTTGCTCAGTTGGTTGGTAGGATTGATATCGCACCTCTTGGAGGTATTCTGGTTGTACCGGTGTGAATTTGGGAACAGCTATAAAGCAATTGGTTAGCATTAATTGTCTATATACCGAAAACCAAACTAATACCGGATCTTAAATCCTGATACGGAACGATTTGGGATTGGTAGATTTGATCTTCAACAACTTCCTGAACTTCTGGAGCTCTAGCTTGGTATTTAACAGGAGCCGCTTGTTCGTAGGTTTCAGCTCGTTTCTGCTGCTGATACTCCTGCAACTTAATGTAATAGTTCACCTCATCCTCGTTAGATGCTTGGACTGGTTTGGGCAATTCTTTAACGGCAGGTCTTTGTTGAATCTTCTGTGCTATGTAAATGGCCGATTTGGAAGGGGAATTTTGTTGTTTAATTAAATCGGCAGCCCTTTGTTGTTCGTAAAGGGCGTTCTGATGAGCAATGAGGGCGTTTTGATAGGCTAATATGTTTCCCTTAGCCAAATGCCCGGAAGGCTTCTTCGGTGGTTCGGGAAGCTGAATTTCAGGAGTACTGTTACGAAACAAACCACAATTAAATCATGGACTAAATTGTCTGCGGTTACGTTTGATTTTAAAGTCTGATTTTATGCTACGAATTGGTGCGCAACCAAACGTGAACGACTAAGTCCTATTGAGGAGTCCGTATGACGCCGTTATTTAACTTCTTAAATTTCTTCGTGTGTCTTTTTCTATAAAAATTTGCCGGATGAAAGTTTTCAGAGGCAGTTACTTAATCGCTCAAATGTGTAACTTAAAACTTTTTTCCTTGTAGCGGGCGCATGAAAGTAAAAGTGAACGGGCGGTGGAGTTTTTAAAAATACCCGATTTGCTTCACTTCAGATATTATTGTGCTTAACTATGCGGTTTGATAATACCCACTCGACATTGTAAATAAACAAATCGTGCTACGTTGCGAATTTATTCAAGTTCACCGTAGATTGTGAAACCGATTCTTTTAATACCGTTAAATGACTTAGGTTACATTACACCTACCAACCTCTCTATTTACCGAATTTTTAGTTTAAATTTAGCAAATAATCTGAAAAATGACTATATATTTTCGAATTTAACTCTGCTAACTCCTTTAGTTATCACGTAAGAAAATTCAATTTAAGGTTCTTTGTTAAATTGGGTATTTTGTTTACATTGTTTTTACTCATCTTCTTCTCAAATTCTATGATGAAAAATTTTAGCTCTACCTTTTCAGTATTTTGTTTATAATTTGTCATTATTAAGCAATTAAAGAACAAAAATCATTAAAATCAAAAATAATCTTATTTTCGTACAAATAAAAAATACATAACTAATAAACTAAAAATAAATCAAAGATATTTTAAAATTGCAAGGAACATGGAACACTTTCCGAAATTATTTTGATTACTGTCTTCGATGGCTTTGCATTTGGTGCACTATTGTTTATTTATGAGAAATTGAAAAAAAAATTAAACAAACAACGGTCATTGATTGAAAAACACTCTCTTTAAACAATAACCTATAAAAATGAATACACGTAATTCCTGTGGGACACACGAGGTAAGTAAAAAGCAAGAGGTCCATTTTGAATCTCAATATTATTACTATGAATACAATGAATTAATTACCGTAGACACCCGTTGCATAAATTTTTGGATTTTTTTTTAGGTTTTCTTCCAAATTGTGCCTTTTTTTGGTGTTTTCCGCCAAAGAAATGCGATTTCAAATTTTTCGCAACCTTTAAATCACTACTCGTATTATAACATCATTATTTATGCTCTGTTACCGAAATAGCAAAGCGTGAAAATGATTATATTAATTAATGCATTTTGGAACGCAATACGTTCAATATTGAGTACGTTTTATATGTTCTAATAACCACGACTTTGGTACAAAACGGCCTGGTCCGCGTTTTTACGCATTACTACACGTGTACGGACTTTTACGGAAAAAATGTGACCCCTTATACCCCCGCCCCACCTTAAGTCGTCGTAAAATAAGGAAAGTCTGTGAAAACGCTATTGGGAATACGAATAATTAAATCCAAAGTGAAATCCTCACGAATTTACGCGAAAATCGTAAAAAAAGAAGAAAATAAAACGAATCTCCATCTTTCGCTAAATGATAAACACTTAATTTCGTCAATCGACCATCAGGCGTTTTACTGATATGGCGATGAGCATATACGGTGTGAAATTCTTTAGCTTTCTTCTTAATGACGCGTCCACAACGAAATGTTAATCGAACAATGACCAGAATGGCTTCAAAAACGCAAGTTTTGAAAAATAATCGCAAATTTGAAAATAATTACGAACGAGAGTGAAAGGACGCAGGGGATTCATAAAAACGGATTCAACCTTGCGAGGTAGCCAACAAACTGTAAAGATCTACCAATCAGTGCATAAATATCAAAGTGACCATCAATTTCAAATTCAAATAAATTGCAAAATGGCACAGCGCAATTTTCTTCCAAAGTGCAATTAGTCCTAGTTTTATTAACTGTCGTCAAAGTCGGTTCGTTGATATACAATGCGCGTAGCGTCCATAATTTAATGCGTGAGAAGTTGTTTGCTTCGATAAAAAAAAATGCGCTTTCAAGAATGTCATGAATCTTACATAAAATTAATTTTAAAATGCATAGCTGTCGGAATAATATTACTAAATACGATAAAAAACAGTAAGCCGGTGCGCTTAAAAGATTTTAATGTCATCTACGTGACTATGGAAAGTCTGGGGTCCATTCGAAATGTTTTTTGCAATTAAAATTATAACACACATAACATTAAAAGCAGCACGACTTGGCGTAGAAAAACTGTCACAATGAAAAGTGAAATCTGGTGATCTACGGGGGCAAATTTAATATTAAAGCTTATACTGTTATGTCACTTAATTAAATTAGGAACAATAGCGGCGGCAATAAAACTTTTCCCGTTAAGATTTTGACAAGCCTATATATACGAGCCGAAAGAAAAACCAAAATCCTTGGCTAACGAGGTCTAAAAAATTTTATTTATTGTTCTCTTAATTATCTCGGATTTCGCAACTCGCCAATTACTATACTTACTGTTGCGACTGGGATTGCGATGCGTACTGATAGGGTGATTGCTTTGAAATTGTATCTCGGGTGTCGGCAGTACTCGAAGGTTGTTGATATCGTACGTAAATTTTCGGGTTGTACACGGTTTTAGTTGTTGGTGTTACCTCTTTAAGGTATTGCTCTACTATGGGCTGTTGTTTGGGTTGAAGTCTTACGCGGCTGAAACGGCTTTTAGATATTTGTTCGTAATTCGTTGGTAAATATTCGGATTCAACTTGATAGTCTGCTTGAGGTTCGAAATACTGTATAGAAGCTTGCAGTTTGTCATCTTGCCTGCAAACAGCAAAATGAAGAGAAATTCATGGTCCTGCCGAATGATCGAATTTCCGGGATAATCATACAAGGTGATTTGGAAAGATCGGCCAAACAATTATTGGCAGATTCTTTAACTTCATATACTTTATAATTCTCCTGCTTTTTCAGATATTTGCTGAAACTATTAGGTTATACTTTTCATGTTGATTTTTTAAATAAAAACAGCATATTACCAGAAAAAAAGGGGTTTCTTGTATCCTATTACCCCATATTTTCTCTTTGTATGGCTATGATCTTGTATAAAGTTCTTAGTTTGCATACTTTTTTCCCTCGTGTATAATTGTAGTTTTTCAAATATTGTACATTAAATAATAAATTAAAAAATCATTTTTCAATTAGTAGAAGGGGGCGCATATGTAGTAACGAAGAAGGGAGGACGAGTGGAACATTTATTTTTAATTTGAATAATTATTATCAAACTTCTTATTTGCTAACGGTAATTTTTAACTTTTAATTGATTAAATAATGTACAATATCTCAAAAAGGACGAAAAAAAATATGCAAAACAATAGGTTTATTAAACCAAATGAGAACATAGCATACACCAAGAAGATTTGGGCAAGTAATAAAGTAAAAGACACACACATAAAATGTGTAAACTTACAGAACAATTATACGTGCCAAAGTTTTAACAAAATATATAAAATCTGAAATATTTATTTTAACAATGTCCAATATTTTCATACAAAGAATCGGTAATTAACAAATTGACCCATCTTTCCGTCTCACCCCGTATACGTATTCAAATTAATAACTTTTGAATAAAACTTAGTACAAATCTACCGGGCAAACTTTTTGTTGACAGAATGAGGGTGAAACATTAAAATAACGGGATTCGAAGCTTAAACTTGACTAAGTCGCCCCACATAATTTTTCAAAGGGCTTTCTAATCCTCATCCATTGCCACTTGGTTTCTAAAATTCTCGCAATTCGTTTATAAGCTACGAGACCTTAAAACCCCATTGATGTCTATATTTATTAATATGTCTCCGCCACTGGTGCTCGTTTATTTAGAAATTACTTAGGCAAATTAAATCGTTTGGGCAACAAGAATGAAAATGCACAAAATGGATAATATAAAACAGGGTAAGTATAACGAACATTTAGATAATCCGTTACGTATTATTTCCCTGGTTGCAAAATCGTACAATATATCAAAATAACAAAAATATTCAAATTGAAAGTAAACGGAATAATTTTAACGGTATAAATCGTAATTTAATTTTGCAACATCTCGGGTAGCAGGTAAGCGTTGAATGACCCACATGTGCGATTTTATTGTCGCCCGAACCCACGCAGTAAATTGCATTGTTGTTTATTAAAAGCGAAATTTAACTGACATTTAATACAATCGAAACGACCCTTTCTCGTATTATACGGCCGTTCTAAATATTACCGGTAGCACCAATGATGCGAATACCAATACGCTCTCGACGGACTCAAAAATGGTGCGCTACTGACCCATATATTGCGCCACCGCTGAAAAGTAAATAGATTGGAGGCACACGCTATGGGTAATTACTATAATCAAGCTCCTATAGAGACCAAGGTAGTATAATGCCACCAAATACGAGTATGGAGAGAATTTTTTTTATTGCTCAATGGGCACTCACCTTGATACCTTATATACTGGCGATTGCCTTTCCTGTCTGTAACTTTCCTGTTCTTCTTGCACATCCGTATTATACCGAGACGGTCCTGGAATGTAACGCCTACCATCCTCTGATTGAGAATGACACTGCGCTGACAATAATGTCAGATAAACTACAGCAGAAAAAACGATTCTCATAATAAATTAATAATAATGTGTGACCTTAATTATTTTAAATTGAAATTACGTTAATCTTCATTTTTTTCAAACCAAATAACCGTATCTCTAAAGTCTCTGAAGAGTTTAAATTTCAATATCAAATTATTTTCCATCTGCAATTTGAAAAAAGAATTCCCAAGAAAACGTACACATACAATCAAGTTGATTTTCAGATATTTTTTTTTATAAATTTATATTAAGTCAAATTATTTTGTCGATGTACTTTCAAAAGCTGGTAGATAGGATTCGCAGAGACTCAGAGATCACATTCCCACTCTATTCTTAAATTATAATTTCATTGGTGACAGAAATTTAAATTTAATTTATATAGAAATTTTTTTTCCTAAGATTATATAATAAACACTTGTTCGTTGCCTTTAAATTAAATTTTTAATGTTTTTGAGTACTCAAGTCCGATTTTTACGCAAAAACATTAGATTTCATCTGGCACTTTCAACCCTTATCCCAAAGTCATCGCACCTCATCACAACACATCTATCTAGCACACGTTGGTTTCCGTTCATATGCGTAAAAATTACCTAAACAGTACGAAATGTATATCATCCTGCAACTACAGCTAAATGGATTTGAGAGACAAACTGAAAAATGTTACTGCGTTCGATGTATATATAGCTTCTTTGAAAGAGAAAGGGTTCTACAAGCAGTTTCATTCATATACTATTCGTACGGTACATCTCGAAGCCCACTGCACTGTTACAAACTCGCGATTTTGTTGCTTCAAGATTCCTAAACAAATTACACGTTTTCTTGTGAATAATTTGCCAACTCTCTCAATTATAACTAGAATTTTCGAATTAACATATTTTCAAAAAAAAAACTTTTTAGAAAAATTTCAATTTTTCAAAATTTTTTCGAATTAACATATTTTCAAAAAAAAAACTTTTTAGAAAAATCTCAATTTTTCAAAATTGTATTTAACTTGTTCGAGATAGAAATGAACTTTCCTAATAATATATTTGATATTGAGGCTATACGGCTACAACAATTTTTCACAGTCTTTAAAAACAACCCTTGATTTTCTTATAAATAATATATAAAATAATATTCTTTATTATTTTTGTCGGCATATTTGAGTCTGTCGAAGCCGGTTTAGACATTGTTTTCAGGGAATTGGAGGTGAAAGCCTTTGCAAGAGTACGGGAGAGTGGAACTCCCTAGTTGTGCAATCAAGGTTTACCTACTAAAACACCCTCAATCTAATGTTAATATATATATATATATATATATATATATATATATATATATATATATATATATATATATATATATATATATATATATATATATATATATATATATATATATATATATATATATATATATATATATATATATATATATATATATATATATATATATATATATATATATATATATATATATATATATATATATATATATATATATATATATATATATTTCTTGAAGCAAAGAACTCCATCCATTCGAGGTGTTTTGCTAGTCCTGATTGATTTTTTCGTGAACCAAATGTCCTGAACTGTTTTCTTCTATATATTTTATCTATATTTTACTGCTAAAGGGCGTATGATACTCCTTCTACTGCTGCTACTACTCATAAAAGCACGCACATCGGAGAATAGTAATTTTTTGGATATGGTTTTACAGTTGTTATGTATCTACTTGTATCTATTTCTTCCTAAGTTTGATGGCATCAATTGAGATGTTTTCAGCCCGATCTAGTAAACCCAATAAGCGTAGTGTGTAGGCAATTGTGATTGATGTTTGTGGAGGATATTTAGGTCAATATTAGCGGCTGCTCAGATTGCCTAAAAACAGGCACATAATCGTTTATTATTATATTCAATTATTCTACTTACTTAGCTTTTACGAAATCTGCTATATGTAAAATATATGTTTGCCTTTTAAAAGCTTTTTAAAATATATAAAAATTACAATTTTCCTGTGTAAATGCATCGTTCCCATTGAGAATAGAATAACCGAAATCAGTTACATTAAGCCGGAAAATGTTAATGACACATTTCAACAAAAAATGTCTGTTCTCATAAAAGCTTCTAAAAGACAACATTACAGTCCTTATTAATTATTAAGTTTTAAAAAATAACAGTAGATAAGTAATGAGCTGTATTTTTTAAAATTCACCCCCCATCGTGTGCGTCCTTGTTAGCTATCATAAAGTTAAGCAAAGATCCTCTTATTTTTGAAACGTAGGTAATCGTAAAGTTATTAATAGCCTGCCATTTAAAACCGACAGCGATTTTATGTTAATCGACGCTCTATTTTTTACGAACAACCTTTGAATATCGTTTTATTTTATATGCAGTTGATTAATACACAACCTAACTATTACGGTTTAAAATATTCAGTTTGACGAAATATCTAAATGGATCTGTCTAACTGGGGCATTTAAAATAAAAAATACGATCTTAGCTCTTCGCATTGATCAAATTATTAAGCAACCGTGGAATGAAATGGGTCGCAAAACAGACCTCTAAGGTATTCTCACTTGATTCCAAAGTAATGTTAATTTGCAAGCAATTGACTCGATAAAAAATGCAGTCCCAGTGGAATAAAATACTCATTAATACCGTTGTTTCAGATTTCAGGCGTCTACCATTGCTCGGGAACGTTAAATTACCTAACTTATGCGGAATTAATAAAACAAGACTTGTTATGAAATAAACCCTCTGATTTATTCTTAAAATTAAAAGTACAATCGCTTGTATCAAGCCTATTAATAATAGTAATAATGTAACCACTACGTGACGCATTTTGAATACGTCTAACAATTGAATCAACAATATCAATGGCACTGGTTAAATATCACCCGATTCTATAATGTATTATATACGCGCAAGTAACAAAGAATTTTTATTATGTTAATTATTTACAATATACGAATGAACCGCACTTTGCCGTTTTGTTTCAAGTCAATAGATCAGTTGTACGGAAAAATTTCGACTAATTTTGTTAAAAACGTATTAATAATCAAATGTAAAAACAATATCAACAAATAACGTATTAAATACTAAGAATTAATTCATCCAGTATTAATGTCTAATAACATAAGGTATCACACAATTTGTACAACATACAAAGTAAATAATAATTATTTTATACTATTATAAATAAAACGCAAAGCAAGATATATACATGAGAAATATTACTTACTTACCCTTAACATTTGCCCCAAAAGCCTCACAAAACGATCGACGGTAATTTTATGCGACTTTTTTGACAGAATGCGACGTTACCAATTTGTTCCTATATCTTATCTTCACAACCCCTCTTCCGGCCATCTAAAAGCCCAAAAATTTCAAGCAAAATTAATATAAATTATTGTCATTCTCACTAAGAGCATTTAAATATCTAACGTTCAATTCCGTGTACCGAGCGGCCATTTATATAAGTTACAAATTGATATAACAAAAGCTTGCAGATCTATTAACTTGTCATTTAACTAATGGAACCTTTCCATTCGATCGAATTCGTTCATTCCATCATCCAAACGTTTAAGTCGCATTAAAATGTGTTTTTTTAGGGTTTCATTCCCAATCATCCAAATCAATCAATTAACTATTGCGCGTATGACGAAACGCAATTAATTTACAACACTCCGATGCAAATCGCGACCAAGAAAATTGCCTTTTCCTCCGATGATTTCCACCCCAGTAAACACGTGCCCGAAATCGAATCCGATCGAACAGAAATACCCGACAAATATTATATATATATATATATATATATATATATATATATATATATATATATATATATATATATATATATATATATATATATATATATATATATATATATATATATATATATATATATATATATATATATATATATATATATATATATATATATGATGACACTATATTCCGGGATATCATCCGTTCGCTCGTTGAACTCCGACTGGAATCCTGCAAATCCTGCATCCGACTGGAATCCTGCAGACGTTTCGCCAAAATCTCACTTGGCATCTTCAATGCTCGCGCTCCGAAAACACTTCGAACACTGGAGCGCGAGCATTGAAGATGCCAAGTGAGATTTTGGCGAAACGTCTGCAGGATTCCAGTCGGATGCAGGATTTGCAGGATTCCAGTCGGAGTTCAACGAGCGAACGGATGATATCCCGGAATATAGTGTCATCATATTTTTCCATCCGTGAATCAATACGTGAGAATATATATATATATATATATATATATATATATATATATATATATATATATATATATATATATATATATATATATATATATATATATATATATATATATATATATAGAGTCCTCTTCTCGTGTAATAAACAAAAACAGAGCGCCCATGTTTGTTTTTTTAAGCGAATTTTTTTTTCTGTCTAGCGGAGGGAGTAGGTTACATCAGTCAGGGCCACTCTGATCAACAATAAATACACCTTCAAAGAAACCCGAGGGAATACGACCTGGAATGGGGACGACACGCGACCTGAACAATCCGAAACGTCGCGAAACCATGTCGTTTTTCGTTGCAAAGTGCGACTTTTCGGTCTATTCGTATCGCCCCTTCGCTAAACCCTTCCGAAATTTCTTTTAAGCCACCGACACGTTGAAATGTCTCTACCGCCAAATTAACCGTACAGGGTAAACCTCTTTAGACGGTTACTTCTCGAAAACTGTTGAAGACATAGTTTTGTGAGATTGCTGCAGATTTTCAACAAAATTCCAAGGCTTACTTGATAATTTAAAAAAAACGAGGGATGCTGCTGCCACAGTGAATGAAATAAATGAAATTTTATTTTTACATTTGTTTGTTATTATTATATTAACGTAAAAATGGCGACTCAGAGCCGAAACGTAGTTTTTTTTTAATTTAAAATATACGATAATGATAATTGACAGCGAAATCTTTTATCTGTATAATATAAAAAAATATATTTTTTTGATAATTAATTCAGATACAATTTCACTTCTGAAGAAAGAAGTATTTCCACCTTTTTAATGATATAGTGCCCCACGTTGTGTGTTTTCATAAAGAAACGAGATATATCTTCAATCTTACGTAGTTAGCCATGCCGATAGAATTGTTTCTACAGAAACGAATACCTTTAGTTTGTTCACTGACATTATGCGACAAAATGCGATTATTTGTTGTAGTGCTATAAAGCTCTAATACTTCAAACAAAATGTACTTATAAGCTGTATGTTATTTCCACCTTTTCAACGATATAATGCAAAACATTATCTATTTTCAAAAATAAACCAGATTGATCTCTAATTTAACGTAGTTAGCCATGCTCATAGTTGTTGCTATAGAAACGAATGAATACCTTTTGTTCGTTTACTGACATTTAGTATTGCTGTAGGTATGTATGCAAAGAAGCTGTAATACTTCAGTCAACCACAATGTTTGTAATTCATTTTTTTATTAAAAAGTTCAAATAAATCAATTGCATGGTAAATTTTAATTCCTGAAAAAACTGCGAAATCGGTTAAAAGAGAAAATCACGTTGCTTTTGGTTATATCGTTAAAACGTTGGAATAATTTGTTTTTAAAAAAGACATAAGTTTGTAAAACGATGTACCGCAAATTCAAATTACTTAAAAAAATGTAATCGACGATTTTTTTCTAAAATATTTTCTTAAATATCAAGCCGAGCGTGGAATTTTTAAAAAATCTGAAACGTCTATAGAAACAACTTTGCCTATTAAACGCACTCAGTACCTCTTTAATATCAAGATCCCTTCACTATACATCGAAAAAAGCTCACCCTATACAGACACCGGTTTATAACAATTGAATAACATTTTTAATTAATTGACCTGGTAGATTATTTTTTTTTCAGACCGTTTAATTAAACCCACAATTATGCTAGGTCGTTTCCCAAGCGGGTCTTTCAGACAAGATTTTGTTACGAATAACAATGTTTATTATAAATGGAGTCGTCTGGGAAAAATAAAAATGGCGAAATTATCTAGCCGGAAACGAAAGAAAGTACGAGAGAATTTGTATCCTTGTTAAAAGTAAAATAAAACCCATCGGCTTTTTTTATTATGTTAATGCACGAATCTATTTAAATATTCAATCGTTATAAACCGCGTTATATTATGACCTGCATGTGTTTTCAGCTTCCTATAGTTAGTAGGGTGAGTATATTGATTTTTCGTATCAGGAGTAGAGAGATTTCGCGCATTTAGACAACCATCATATCATATATATATAAATATATTATTTACAATTAATAATGCCGTTTGACGGAGCTGCAAATTCGACTAAGCGCTCGTAAATATGTTCGATTGTTTATAATTAAAAAGGGAAACAATCGCGCATATTCGTGAGAATACTTGTTAATTATTTAAATGAGCTGGTTAATTTAGGAATTCTCATAATAAATCGTGTGAGCAAGCTCGTTAAATACGTTGTCAACTAGGCTAGTGTAACAATATCAATATTATTGTAATACTAAGGCACGGACCCAGCTCAATGCTTGTTCACTAGACAAGCTCTCGTGGTGGTTTTCTTCGTGACGTGGAAGACAAGCGAAACTGGATGTTCTATACTCGGCATAGGAACGAAATTATGTGCGCCCCACAAACCACCCCAGGTTACAATATGTTTTATCCACATTTCAGGAGACTAGAGAGTAAAAGTCTCCCCTGGTATTTTTTATTATTTTGACGGCATCGTTACGAGGAGAATGGAAAGCTGCTGTACATTGTGCAGGTCCTATATTCGGTTTAAACAAACGTCAAAGGATGTCTTATTAAACTGCTTGGCAAACAAAAATTGTTAACTGAAACAAGAGACAACTATTTTTTTTTTAATTTTAAACAACAAAAAAACAAATTCGGTAGATTTTTCATATCTTTTGTGGTGATCGGCTTTTTGCAACTCTCAATAATTTGAAACTATCCTTTTATCAGCAGGATTTATGTGACATGACACATTTGTGAAAAACAAGTTTGGATCTGGAATGAACATTATGCAAAAAAAAATCTCCTACAACCAAAACGCCAATATTTTATATTATATTTAATAGAATTAATAAAATTATAGAATTAATAGATCTTCTGCAGGAAAAATTTATGTATGTTTAAAATGGACCATTCCACAGAAGTAACGGTTAAAATAAACTTTTATACAGGGTGACTGGTTTAACATACGAATGAACGACGAAAATTTTGAAATAGCTGAATGTACAAATTGCTCAATGTTTTATTTTATCAGTGGATGTTTTAGGTTTCCGAATCTAATGAGGAAAAGATTGCAGAGAGAAAAGTCGTATTTGCTTCAAATTTTTAAATGGAACAACAATATTCATATAAAGTATGTTTGGCTAACACAACGGCAAGTAACTCTTATTAACATTTAACAGTCACCCTGTTTGCAGAAATCCTGGCGAATTTTGGTTAGGGAATTTTTGGAAACGTTGAAACAAGGTTACTAACGAGTTGATTGGATTATTTAGAAACTAGTAAATATAACATGTTTATTAACTTGCGATAAATAGACTTTACCAATGCACCCTACCTCTTAATTTTTTTTTAAATCTTTGCCGATAAAATAGACTGCCTATGACGTTTGTACAAGTCGCTAATAAAAAATGTCTTGACGTGCATACGGAATCTAACAAGTGCGAGATGATAATATAATATGACGATGCTTTATATCTTTGGCAAGCTGACAAGACAAATGTATTTATGGAAGCTGCAATAAGAAAGTTACGACGTTTGTAACTGTCTGCCACGCGTCTATACGCGATAGTCAATTTGTAAATAGGGAAAATCGCTTTGTATAACGTTGCTCTTTTTTTGTTGTTTTATTTTGAAACACTCTCTTTGGATTACGCGGTAATGTATGTACAATATTAGACTAGAGACCATTAACGGTGTATGTACAACGCCAAATCAACTGAAATTACGCCCTAAGTCTTTTCATTATTAACTTTTTTTAAGGTCACTTGTAGTGTATTACCGAAACATCAAATCTAATTAATTGCTCGCGGTGGCTTTTATCAAGGGGGGTTAGATTTGGGCCGCAACGTGGCTAACCTCACCAAAATTCGACGGTACTGTGCCCGCGTTTCCATCGAAAGAGTCCTTCCAAAACGACTCGGACGACTTGTGAGCACAGCCTTTATTGGCACTGGTGACTAATCTATTTAAATACATTATAATATACTATTTAACTACACTACTTGAGCAGCTTCTATACTCGGAAATTTACCACTGATAACCCCATACCTTTTTCGTCACCCGTCGAATGTCCTGCACAACATGCCCCATCATTTTGTGGTCCAGTAACAAGAAATTTCAACATAATAGGCCTATGGGAATAAATTTTGAGAGCAAATGGATCAATTCATAGTAACGAATTCAACAGACCAATACGAAAGCCAATAAAAACCAAGTGAGTGTACACGATTTCCTTTAAAACTGACATTGGACAGGTTTGTAAATTCAACAAATTTTTCAACACGTCCTGCTAGCACCCCCAACTCCAGACGTCCCACTTACAAAGCTGACTTTATGATATTGTATATTCATCAACTACTAGCGACGTATTCACCGTGAATGAGTTCCTGCATAGCAGAAATGACGACACGTTGAGAGTAGACGAAATCGAAATCATGGAAGAGCCTATGAGAAAATTCAAGAAATTAATGTAGTCCCATGAATCGAATAATTAGAGAACAAGTCGTTGCATAGATGAATTTACAAACCTTTCCACTACGAAATAGAGAGAAAAAGCAAATGGGGTTATCAGAAGTGAAAACTCCGAGGATACGATTGCGCACTGATTACTATAGCCCGCACACGAAATAATCAAAATCCAACAGAACATCACACATAAACTGGCAAGAAAGCTGCAAGAGCCGCAAGTTCATCGAACTCGTTGTCGATTTGAATAAAGTTTTTAGGGTGATTTCGGGGTGGCCGATAACGGATCGACCTGATCGCGCGACGCGGGCGGGGTACCACCTTCGAGGGTTGGATCACCAGCTTGGAAAAACCGATCGGCGTCGCACATCAAATTCGCGCTATTGCAGCACTGCGCAGAATGTTCCGCGCCTGCAGCGGGACCGGATGTGTCGTCCATTAAAATTATCGCGTTTTGTTCGGGATTGGTGGGGTGCGTGATCATACTGAAGTCTTCTTGGTCAAGGGTGAATAGTGGTGTGCTCCATCTGGGTATACTGCTAGAACGCGGGGTACCTAAAATATATCTCTATTCATTACAAAAATATATACTGCAACAACAGCTTTGTTTAGTCAAACATCTATTTCTATGATCGTATGCTTCCGTTCCTTCAGAATCCTGCACGTCGCTCGACCGCATTTTGAGTTTGATTTTATTTATGATGATTCTAAAGAAAAAAGCAGAAAAATAATAACTAGGACTGGATTATCCTCATTAAGTGACAATTGTCGAAGATACACCTGAAAAAGCACACTAGAAGCTATTTGGATGGATTTAGAGTCAGATGAAAAAGCGGCATAATCAGACCTTGACTAACGCCTGTAGCGGGTAAGGAAATTTTAAAAATGGAGATTATAAAAAGGAAATTTTTGGATTATAGAAACTAAAGACCGAAATAGTCGTTTGACCCATACATACTGATCGACATAATTGTTGGTTAACTGTTTTAGTAGTTGTGTCTGTGATATCCCCAACATAAGTATATAAACATATTTATATAACATAAACTTGATTGTATAGAAAAATAGAAACGGTGACTTGTACTGTGATACTAAAAAAAATGTGATTGTTATTTATACACAGTGTTACACAGATTACAATATTATATAACACAAAAAATACTATAGAGAAACTCAGCTTGTTTTCAAGATACAGAAAATCAACAATTTTGTCAAGAGTGAGATTTTTATTTATAAAGGACTATTGTTAAAATTATAGTAAAATTCTTAAAATTCCACTTTGTACAACTATGAGCATCAAATTGGGTCCGTGGGGACATTTGTTCGGAGCGCAAAGGACTACAGCACACTATGTTTTTTTTAATTGGCCAAAAGCCATTTTGCATAAGAAAAGTAAATAAAAAAAGTAAAATATTTGATTTTCTAGAAACTTTTTAATTGCAATACGGACCTAATATTTTCCGCATAATTTATATATGTTTGAAATGCTTCCTTTGAGTGTTCAATTTAAATGTTATGCTATGTTATGTTATGTTATGTTATGTAATACGGTCCTGTTACATTATTACACGTTTATTGATTATTTATATAATAAAATGATTATTTCGTTTTCTAATTGAAATAGTTTTATTATTATTGTTTTTACTGACTGTCGTGAGTATTTAAACATTCAAACAATAAATTTATTTTAAGGATCTCAACGTAAAATGCTAAAAACTGTGTTAAAAAAGTTGCGAAAAAGTATTTACAAAATATTTTTCATATGAAGAAAGAAGAGAATATGTCAAATTTTTAAAATCTCGAATTTCTCAATTTTCTCCCGTTGCTCAGAAACTGCGGGTGCTATTCCAAATCTGACTATGCCATTTTTCAAATGGCAAAAAATCGTCACCGAAAATGGGACCCCTGGTACCGTGCGGTCAATTTATCTTGATAACATTTGAATTGGCTGAAACTTTTTTATTTTTAGACATATCAAGGTAAAGAAATACACAAAATGTCGGGTTGGTAGCCAAGTGTTTTTGCAACTGATGTATAAAATAAAACAGTATCAATTTTCTGACATATAAGCCACCATCATATTTTTTAAATGTAACACCCTATGTGTTTAATAGAATATCTTATTCCGATTACAATAATGTAACACACTTTATATTTCAGTCAAAAAGAAAGTGCAGAACAAGGTCAAAGGAGGATGCAGTTTTGTTTGGATTTTTTAAATAGACATAATGAATATAATAATTTTCTGAAAAACATTTTGTGGACTGACTACAAGAAAAGGTTGTAATATACAAAATACGCGATATTGGTATTTAAATAATCCTAGACTCCTGACAAATATACGAAATAAAAACCTAGGGGTTAAGTTAAATGGAGATCATGATTTGCAACTCTTAGAGCACCAAATAGAACAATATATAGAAGATTTTCCCCTAAATATATCAGCGCTGATCATATGGCAGCACAATGTTGTGCAAGTTAAAAAATTTCTTAACATGGATTATCCCAGGGGTTGGATAGGGAACGGCGGAACTATTTTGTAGCCAGCATCCCCGATTTAACTGTAATAGAATTTTTCTCTTGTAATAATGTTGTTGTCCTTCGATAAAGGATTTCAGAGGCAATCAATCAGTTAAGAGACAATTTGGAAACGTTACTACACGCAAAGCATCACGACATCATACAATTAGAGTGTATGAGAAATGTGTTCAGGAAAATGGTGGTCACATACAGCAGTATTTGGAATAGTTAAAGAATTTTTTAGTTTAGCGCGTGTTTTTTGGTATTTTTGTTGTACTTTAAGTTGTTTGTTTACCTTGGTATCTCTAAAAACAAAAATAAGATAAATTGAACGCACGGTATATTTTATTTATTTAACATCGCTTGATATAAAATACTTTGCTTTCAATATCAAATAAGACTCGTCAAAACTGAGAGCGAACTATAGAAATTCGATTCACGTATCTAATTCCGGAGATATTGAAGTCTGGAATATGAAGTTCGCGGCCATATTGCCTCAATTTAGCGGATTTCCCGTTGCCGTTTGCATAAAACGAGATAAATGGAATGGTTTCGACGGTAATAAAAGACGACAGGGTGTTTGAATTTGGGTCAAGTTAATTTCACAAATTACCTCTCGACGTAGTCACGCTGGGTGAGTACATACTGAGGTTCGTAGGGCTGATAACGCCAGTCATCCCGCTCATACTGGGGTAGCTGAAGAGCTAAAAAAAATTACAGAACTTAAAACGTGGCTCCCGGTACTCCCAGTACTAACTACCAACATGTCCTGGTTGGCCGTGGAAGTGATTAAACGACGAGTAATCTCTACTGGGAGAGTACGGGCTGCTAGTGACCACCGAGTTCCTTTGGGATGGTGATTTCCTCCGTTCGTGGCTACCCGGACTTAATGGTGGCGACGAACTTATTTCAGGCACTTCGTCAACTGGTGAAGCTTCGCTGCAAGGCGGTGTAATACTGGCAGGAGGTGAATTGGTTCCGCTCATCGACACTTCGCCGGTAGATCGTATAATTGCGACGGGTCTGGCCATTGGTGGAAGCGGAGGCGGAGGAAGCATCGTTGAAGGGAAGTACTGCGACTTGGGGCTTCGGGAAAGACCCGTCTGCATCTGAAACGGTCTGTTTGTTATCGGGGTTGACAGAGACAGGGTTGCGAACTGACCTGTGCGTTTTGATTATTGTCAGTCTCTTGACAGACGAAGGTTACGAAGTCGGACAATGTGTCGTGGCCGTTTTCTGGATATTTGACTTGACTTTGGTGATGGTGTTGACCTTCGGGGCTGTGCTGATAGTACAAGGTTCCCGGACTAGCTTGTGAACTAGACGAAACTATCGTCGTGTTTTGTGGCATCGCTGGAACAACGACGATCAAACATTATGAAAATCGAAGTAATCGATACAAAATTCAGCTATAGCAAAAATCAACAATGGTATGAACATTTATTTCAGAACGGTTATTGACATAAATTAATTCTAATAAAAAATCACAGATGTTTCGGAAAACTGAGTTGAATGCTATCAGGAATCTTAATAAGAATTGTACAAGAAAAATTTAGGACCCCAATGCGTAGAAAAGATTAACAAATACACAGCACAAAAGTGTTGAAAGAGAATTGGTTATTAAAATCGGGTGTAGATCCAAATTCCAAATTGCAGAACTGGTTAATCAAGTAGAGCACCGAGGTCTTATGCAGAATTCACATAACATAAGTTAGATTTTAAATAAAATGAAAAAAAAACATGTATGGGTTAATTGGTACAATATACAATCCCTATTGCGCTCATTTGTCATGTTAAGCAAACTCAAATTTTACTAATGTCAGATTGATAGTTTAAAGCAGCCATGCGGATGTAGTTTAAGGTCAAAGAGAATTGAAGACAGAGAGAAGTTTAAAAAATGTCACAGCGAGGGAGTAGTCAGGTAGTTAGCGGCAGATCCATGGATATATAAGGAAATCCACGAGGATCCAATAGGAATACAAAAAAATAAATAAATTATGGTTGACTTTAAACTAAAAATCGGCAGCCTTGAGCATTTCAACAAAATTCAGAACCTAAATGACAACTTTTTCGATACGCCACCGGGTATATTAATATTAAACAAATAACTAATTTCCTATAAAATTCATTCAAATTCAAATGGAAGGATCATTTAGTGTTTCGGTTTGAAATTCATAGTGCTCTTCTAAGCACGAAAAACATTCTGGATAGACCCCAACATAATTGTTAAATTTACAACAACGCTGCTTTACTTATAACGCGATTAAACTTTATAATAATTATTATTAATTAATTTGTTGGAATTACAAAAGTCTCTGTTCTAAACAAATTATTATTCTAGCAATAATACAGTTTATTAGTATTGTAATATTCGAAAAATGGTTAATGTTGAGTAGCTGAGATGTACAAGCATTCGTATTTTCAAGAATTTAAAATATTTCAAAAAAGATTATTGTTATTGTTATTATCAAATGAACGAATAACATTCAAAAATTCGAAGACATTTATTCTATGGTATTGAAATGAAATACCTAAAAATGCACTTGAGAACAATAAAACAAATAACGAATTTTTGATAAAGTCGTATAAGATTTTATGGTTGCTGCTCACGTCAAGCGGACGAGTTTGTCTGATAAAAAAAAGGTCAATAAATTTATTATTTTTTTAACAAGTCAAAAGCGCTCTGGTCGAGGTCGTAAATAAAAGAAAGCAAGAGTCAGCAAACGATTTCATGTTTCCGAAGACAAATAAATTCTAATCCATATATACATTAGGCGCTGTAAAACTTGACTGCAGTCGGTCGGTATCGAAAAATCGATATCAAATATGAAATTATTTGCTCCTTTTGTCGCGTATTTCGTGACAACTAAATCATTAAACTGCAAACGACTCCTTCGCTGAGATGATTTTAATTATCTGCTAACGTCGCGCTTGATATAACGTTTTCTTTTCATAGGACATCATTTCGCTGGAGAAATAACGACCTGGAAATAATGCCAACGTCTATTTTTTAATTTAGTGCATCCAAACAGAATGCTACGCCCGTTTTAAAACTACTAGACTGTGAACAAAAGCAAATAAGGAAAATAAGAATATTAATCTCGTGGATATGTAGCTCCGGGCCATTGATTCGGGACATGTAACATTGCTTTCTATAAAAATTTATTACTTCAGCGCGCGTGTGGCTAATAGTGACACAGACGGCTTAACTGCTATCGGTTGTGTTGTGCTATCAATTTACCGATTTTTTTCTTCCCATTTTACAACTCCACCAAGTCACGATAATTTCTATTATCTATCGAAAAAAAGTTTTGACTGAATACCCCAAGAAGCTAATTGGTAATCAATTTCCATTCCATTTCGACAATTGATTTCCTGTCCTCACGTAGAAAATAGTACCGTGAGGTCATCAGTTCCTGAGGAAAAACATTGTGTAATCTCTTTTAGAGTCTACCCTTTTTTTTCACGCACATCTTACGAGTTTACTGCATTTTCAGGGGTTCACGGTTTTTCATCTGTTAATTATTTTTATTTAATTATTAATTATATATCAACAAGGAAGAATTTAGGTCTTAAGTGATTTTTAAATTAATTCACCATAAAACTGACAGCCTTATTATTTAGGAAACATAAATTTTAATTTTCATATCATACGTGTATAACGCATCTCATTTAAACAAGGCAACTAGAAAAAAAAACGAAAAACGATAAATATACAAAAAAAATATATAAAAAAGGCATAATTTATTACTGAATAGATTGTTGAAATGGCGGATTTTTATGGATTGATTAACTTTCGACGAGCATTTTCTTTTCACATTTTCTTATTTGCTTTCTCTTACAACTTTATATAATACTATAATATTGAAATTTCAGTTTTAGTTTTCGTTTCGATCTTTTTTATACGTTGTTGTTGTTAAACAATAAATAAATAACATAAAATGATAAATAAATAAATAAATATATTCCTCACTTTGCTCTTTCCTAATAAATCCGAGCGTACTGTTCAACATGTTGCTCACTTTTAATATATATTTTAAGCTTCATTTGTTTTTTCTTCTATAGTCATAATTTGTTATGGGGCTGTAAGTTTGTTAATAAATAACAAATAAATAATTTAAATAAACTAACAAATAAATACATTCATCACTCTGCTCTTTTCCAATAAATCATACCATACTATTTATCTTCTGGTGCACTTTTAGCATATATATAATAATAAAATGTTAGTTTCAGTTTTCTTTTCTTTTTTTTTTTACTAACGTACAGTTTACATAGATAACTTCGTAATCTTTTATGGGGTTCTAAATCTGTAGATAAATAATAAATCAATATCATAAATTAATCATTCTACTCATTTCTAATAAATTGGGCCATACAGTTTAACTTCTTCCACACTTTCACTATAGGCTGCATCAAGTAAATGAGTATTGTAAAATGTAGAACAGGTCCCGATGGAAAAACGGTTTCTGTTTTGCTGGGGAAAACTCACGAGACGTTTATTTTTAACCTGGCATTTTATTATATGCATGATTCTGCAAAAATGTCACGCAGTTAAGAACCCCATTACAAGGTATATGTTTACGTCGCCGCCTCCGAATGTGGAAACACAAAAAATTCTACTCACAGTATGTCGCTGAGACGACCATAGCGTCGACAGATGACGATCTATCAGCTACCACGGGTCCTTGCTCGTAGTTGTTGCAATAGTAGGCAGGATGTTCTAGTTTGACGTTGTTCATATTTGGTTGTGGTTCGGAGAGTTCGTGTAATATAGAAGCTAAAAATAAACAAAAATTAATGTTGAATTTATTGGAAGATTTAGCGGAAATTACATTTGGACAACTTCCATAATTCCTTCGATGAAAATACTCCGGTTGCTAATATAATGTCATTACATATAACTCCATTGTAGGGATTGTGTGTGTATCCTGTAACTGGAAAGAGTAGCCTTAATAATTATCCAGACTTTGACCAATGGGTTTTCAATATTTTCCCTAAGTTTTAAATAAATCGCTAAAAGTAGTCCAGTCCAGTTAGCTTCAATATTATATTATACGGTGTATCACGTTCGAGTTTGCCGCTCGCTAATGATTGGGTTCCCAGATTAGAAATGTGGCAAGCAGTATTTGTTAAGCACCCCTGATGTAGACAATCGGAATAATTTGTGCTTAACCTACCTTAAACGACTACTTCGATATTCTAGACGCAAAACACTTAACATATTCAAAAACCACTTTAGCATAAAATATACCGTCCAATAAATTTGCAACTCAGTGCCTACATGTCTAAGCAGTGTATGTAGCCGTAGTGATCGATAAACTGAATATTGTTGGAGCAATAAATCATCAAGGATCGACTATTACTTAAACCACGATTGATTGCTGTGACCAGAATTTTCATGGACCCTACCCTAAATGGTTTTTTAAATATTCCGCCTAAATTTACACAAAACAACATTCGTAGCATATCTCACCTTTATTTTTCCTTTCGTCTTCCTTTTTGTTGTTATTGTTGTAACAAATGCCGCTCAATATCTCTGAAAGAGAATAATAACGATATTGCGATAGAGACGGAGAAAGTTAGAAGTATTTGGCACCCTGTATATAGCGGACGGTTGGTAAAAATACCTTAAATTATTTTTAGAAAAATTTTGATACTTTCAGCGAAATTTAATCCATTTTGAAATGTCTGGTGTTACTGTAATTTTATTTTAAAAATAACTATAGGTCTTAATGTGATATATCCTTTTGTATATTTTTAGTTGCTACTTTATTTTGAATGGTTAATATAAAGTGGTCTAATTATAGACTTTATATGTTCGAATATATAAAAACATCAAAATAGAAATCCCTGTACCGTATGGTTGCTGCTAATTGGACTGTATTGATTACATAACGTGGACAAATCTATAAAGTTCGTCAGTCCATTAGTCTGGTGATTTTTCAAAAGTCTAAATTTACCCAAGACGCACTCATTAGTACAATCGTCAGTGATAAAAATAGAATTTTTCCATGGTAATAATGAGAAAATTTTCTATATAGGGCTATTAGCGTACGCTACGATCAAAATCCTACGAAATTTATTGCAAAACAAATGGCTTGCGGCACAGTTGGCAGCTTAAAAACTATAATGAAATTAAATAATGGTCCGGGAATTTGATTATTGGGATTGGCATATTTTCAAAAAATCGGTTCACCTATAAACAAGACGTTTGCACTTTCATTTAGGATGAAACAAAATATACACAAATCGCTGGATGCCGATCTGATGCCAGTATTTATCGTAAATAAACATAAAAAATCGCCATAATATACAGGACGTGCCACTTACCATGACTATTAATGAAATTAGCTAAGTACAAATCCAATTCTCTAACAGACACATTTATATGATATGGATTCACGCACAATCCCGGTTGGGAACAGTCTGGATTTTTTTCAAGCCGTTCGCCATCGGTGCTTTCCAAAGGGATGGCCTTGAACAGTATCACCATTACGAGATCAAGTCGCCAAACTTTATCCGCCTGCCTCAGGCAGTCTATCCTTCGCATTTTGCCCTTTTGGTCGGGGTTGGACAGCACACACACTGCCGGTCTTTTGCCCGTAATACTCAGGACAAAATCCTCCCGACACTCCTGCGTGATGTCCTTTCTTAATTTGCCTAGTAGCCTGGATGCCCATTTCTGCTTAACTTCCGCTTTCTCATTCTTTAACAAAAATAATGCAACTCAGACCAAAACATCCACATTACATTTATATATATATATATATATATATATATATATATATATATATATATATATATATATATATATATATATATATATATATATATATATATATATATATATATATATATATATATATCTATTCACAGGCTGGTACAGCACGTTTGACAAATTCAGCGCCATTTTGTTTATTTGGTTATTAAATTTACATCAAAAAATTATGTGGCAAAAATAGCAATATTTGGGATATTTTCCATATAACTTATATGGAATTTTACATTTTAAATGTGGTTCTTTTCTGCTATTCAATGTTTTAATTTCAACCATTTTGACCTCTTGACCGCTGTCCGCTCTGATTTAAATCAATCAAAGTTGGTTGATGAAAAATGAGGAGTTTTTATCTAATACATAAATGCATAAATTTAAAATAAAAACATTTCACTCAACCCACATTAACTTATTGAAATTTGGAGTGTGGAAAAGTTATTTCAACTTCGTATCACTCGTGTTTTGTGTTTTTCTATTTTTGATATTTCCAAAAACCGAAGTAACGAAGACAAAACTCGACCGTCAAAAATACTTTTCTTAGAGGTTTCAAAATGTCTCACTAAGCTTGAAAAAACATATATCTTTCTCATTCCAAATTTAAACGTGCTTCGAAACGTCCTTACGGCGAATAACAATTTTTATGTCACTCCAGATCTAACCTATGGCTGCAATTTTTGTTTCCAGAAATAAATTAAAATACGTCGGTAATTTGGCCCGCAGTTAGCGTTTGATGCGTCTAATAATAGTGTGGATACGAGAAATCACTTTTATACAAGCCATAGTTATGACGTAATCTGGAAAAACACGTGTGCATCCAACAACTGTTTTATAACCGAAATTTAATTACCTATTGCCTGGACGGCGGCATAATTCTATCAAAAGGTAATAAAGAGTAAAAAACAATTAAAATTGCACTCGGATGTATATACCGTAATACGCAAATAAAGTTAATATGCGAGTACGACGTAAAACTGGGTTAATAGATCTTTCTAAAATTATCATATTTAAGTTATGGGTACATTATATGTCGTTTTTTATGTAGTATATTGTATTATTCGTATCTTATGGAATGCATTATCAGTAAGTCTTGAGTAAGTGTGCGCCAGTGTACTTCAAGAAGGTTTTATTTAACAGGCATGTCCAAAATTAGTCAAAGAAAAAACATCGTCCAATTTTAACTGCGCGACATTTCGAATTTAATCCTATATCGTAAACTGTAAACGACATACACATGCATGTGTGTATGTGTGTCTAGCGAATCGTCCACTACTAAATCCAATGTCTTAAACTAAAAATAAGTCCACGTTCTTAAATAACATGGCTTTTTTTGTTAGATAAATTGCAATGTGAAACTTCTGCACTGTGCATTGCTAAATTGAAATAGTGCATGAAATAAGTTGCTAAAATAAGCGAAGAAAAATTGAAAGAGAAGATTTAAAATAAGGAACCTTTTCGAGATAGCCGCGCGAATTGTTTTATTCGATTAAAATCGAAGTTGTTTGTTATCGACGTGACAGTTCGATCTATATATATTGTATCGGCTAAACGTCCCATTCTTGAATTTTTCTTTTCAAACAAGCTAAACAGTATACCGACGAAAATAGACCGGGTTATTTTTAATCCGTTATAGTTTCTGCTTTAATGAGTTTTTTCGTCTATCGAATAGCTTACGCAAAATGAAGACGAATCGCAAAACAAACGGATTATGTTAAAAAAATTACCTGCAAAGCTTCTTTGCATTGTCGTTCCTCTTCGAGAGACATTCGTTTTTCGTGTTTCTTGTAATATTTTCGCTTGGCCGCTTGTAGATTGAACCACGTGTAAGAGAAAGACTTGACGAAGGGCAATAGCGCTTCGATGAAAGGGTGGAACTCATCCTGCATTTTGAAAACCAACTAGTTTCAATTGCAATGCTCGACGAAACGGTTTGAGTTAATATATGTATAAGGCAAACTCGTCAAGCACCAATGACAGATGAAATTGTTCACATTAAGAGGAGCAAAATATATCAACCGTCATTAACGTGCCTCGGTAATATTTTGCGGATCACATTGTATATACTGCTGCATCGAAGATTTACATCTATAACTCGCGAAATCAGGTAAAATTTAAAAAATCTCCGATACAACAAAGGTTGAAACACAAATTTAAAAACTACAATATCAAAATGCGTCTAGATAAACAAATAACCAGATGAAGAAGTAGATTTCCGTTAAAAACGATAATTCAGTGAGGGAAATATTTAAACAAAACAAAACACGCAATTTTATTCGCATACTACAGGGGGATTCAAATGTCAGCGCAGGAACAGGGAGAAAATTCAGAATGAGTGTCTTATTAAAGAGGTCCACCAAAAGCAACTTTTCCGAATTGGTATACAAAATTTTGACATATTCAGAAAACCCTATATTCTATTATACTTCTACATAAAACAGATTAAGTATTCAAAAAACAGTGGATGAGGTAGCTGAATTCCTGATCTATTTGAAATTTAGGTAGCGATTTAAAAAATGTTTTTTTTTTAATTTAAACCGTAGGCGGTTCATATCAACAAAAGACACTGTTTGAACCTGGAATGCTGTATTTGTCAAAATATATTTAGATCCCCTATTATGGCCGTATTTACAAAATTTGGAAAATTTTCATATGTCCGTTCAGCAGCATTCTAAAGGGGGCACTTAACATGAATCACCCTATAGAGGTATTTTTGTTACACGGACAAACCCACGTGCCTACGCGATTCTTGGATCGTAACCTACGTCATCTTTTTATTACTTGCCAACGACGTATTATCTCAAACGCGTAACATTTTACTGCCGATATTGACGTCTGTTGTACGTCACGAAATATCCCTTATTTAATAATGTTAAATTTGTGGGAGAAATGATTGAAAAATTAAAAAAGAAAAAAAACAAACAAAACCACTTGGCGGAAGTTTTAGATCGTCTATCCGCCGCATGGGACAGTAACCTTTCTTGGCACACCGATGGTGGGTACCGTTGCCAGAATAACCTTCCAGAAGTTTAATTTTCTCCGTGCCAAAAGGTGTTTTGAATTGAAGGTTATACGCTGGCCTCAAGGCAAACTAGCTGGCCGAATAATTTTCATCACGAGCTTTTCATTCCAGTTTTCGTATTTCGACATAAACTATACCCGACGTATTTTTTATATTTACGGCGTGCTTGGTCATTTTTTTTCTTTTTTCCAAGGACTTCGGTACTTATACTGATTATTAAAATTTGATTATTTCAATGAACGCGCATAAAATTAGATCATTAGAATCACCCCGTATATATGCGTTTCGCCGTGTACAGAGCCGACCAAATTCGATTTGTATGTTTTGGAGGTTTCCGGTATATCTAGCAAAGACAGTCGAAAATGAGTATTTAATTTCAGGCTACACCTTTTTTAAGAAGTTGTTGTCTTAAAACTTATAACAATAGCGGCTCGAAAGGTCCCAAAATAAGCTTAGTGGATTGACGATGATGTCTATTTATTTTTTGACTCTATAAGTGAAGCTGCCAATTTTTTTTTAATATTAATATATTTGGTTATTATTCCGTGATAGTTCTCAAGCAAAGTTTGGATAGTTATTGTTTCTGTGCAGCGATTATTTAAAAAATAATTACATTTTCCACAACAAATTGAGATCATAAATGCCTTTAAAATTATGACATCATCTGTGGAGTATGATAATCAGTAAAGAGACTTTTATGCCTGAAACTCAACTCAACACACATATTAAGATGCCGTTTTCATATATATCGTCGTTATTAGAATACCGAACATCTCCAAAAGACATCGAATTTTGCCCACACTGTGTAATATAATATGGAGGGAGACAAAAAAAAATTAAAACACACGGGGGCCATCGGCATCGGGTAATGTTGAAGCCCGTTTGGTCACGTACAAACTTTGCATGCAAAAAACAACAATATTGCATCGCACAAACAACAATCGTATGACAATAAATGCGTCGCATGGGGACTCGCACTGAGATGCATTTAAAACCAGCTCGAAAAGGTGGGGCTTTAAGCAAGCCATTACGCTCGCACTTCGAATTCCAAATTTCGAATATGAATCTGTACATCTGTCTACCACACCACACAAAATTTTACGTCAAACCGACCAAATTCACGGGACGGTAATTTATAAAAAAAAAATTCGAAATACAGGCTGAACGTTTTAGCGATGGGCGAGAGGGGCGTAAACAGAAAAAAAAATACATTTTACGCGTGATATTGCGCGTAAATAAATAATCAGTAACGGACAAGATAAGAGAAAAGGTTTGGAAATAGCTCGCGCTAAAATCCTAGAATAGACCCGGGATAGAGAGAGAAATGAAATTGCGCAATTTTTAAGATTTATATCGGATACATTTGCATCAATTGTCTGGAACAATTTGAAATTGAGAAACCCGTATTTATTATACGATCGCATGTGCCCTCGTCTAAATAAAACGGAATTGTCGCGGGGGGTTGATTTTCGGGAAAATATTCGCGTTTCGGGACGAGATGCGGCGAAAACATGATTATCCACTTAGAAAATGTTGTAGATTCGTATATACCTATACACGTTTAGGCGACTCGTATAAAATCTGACTATTTATACCGTACTATTTATAGTTTGGTGCGGGTAGCGGCAAAATGACACAGCAAAGAGACCGAACGGATGAAAGTAACTTAAGGACTTCGCGTACTTTTAACTTCCGAAGAACAGCGTGCGAATAAACCGTCACTGGAGGTGGATATCAAATAAACAAAATGGAATTGTATATCGAGGACGAGAACGATCGAGGCGTTATATATATATATATATATATATATATATATATATATATATATATATATATATATATATATATATATATATAGCGAGATTATATAGCAAACAGCAAAAAAAAAACAGTTAAAAAGACATTGAACATGAACACCAAGTGCATGTGTTTTAAGACATGAGACAGAACAGTCATGAACATATATCAAACACGTCAACATCGAGGTCGGCGGTCTGGCCTAAGGGTGAAAGGGCACCTACTACTCCCTGGACCGGACTGCGAACTTTTTACAGTATACAGATAGTACAAGTACAGGTACAGAACAGAATAACACTCATGTTAATCATGTTAATTACATATCACGCATGACGGCGCGAGAGGAAGAGGGAGGGTAGCAGCGGGTAGGCACCTGTCCCGAGGACGGCGTCTGCAGGTACGACGAAACATCGGGCTCCACCATGCAGCTGCGTAACGTGTCGGGGATGAACATTCCTCAGGGTCACCGTCACCGGAGGGCGGCGCGTGCCGTCTCTTGGCCCATCACCAGCACTCCGGAACGGACACCAAATGCCGATCCAGTCACACAATAACCACCAACAAAACACCAAACACTCGGGTCCAGTTCCAGTTCGAGCACATACCAAAACGCGGCCGATACGAAGGAAAAAGCGGAAAGTTAAACGGAACGTTGGTGAGAAATACACTAGCACTGAATGTCCACGACGCGCGGTCCTCCGCTATTAATAAAGAAGCGTCCGACCTATCACCGGTAGCGTCGGCATGTATTTATAACGCTCCGGCGACGCTAGCGACGCTGATGCTGTCCGGGCGATATGCTGGTCGCTGTCGCTGATCTCACAAAACCTCGACGAATCATGTCGTCGACTACTGCTGCTGCTGCTGCTGCTGCTGCCGCCGCTGCTGCGTCCATGTGCTAACACCGCGTCCTCGGTGGCGTCGACGATGCCTTTACCGAATACCGACGACGGCAGGGACGCACGGCGTCGACGCACACGATTATGTCGACTTGCGGCGTGTCGTCTGCCGCCGCCGTCGTCGCCACAAAGTTGCCGTCGTTTTTCGTTTTTTTCACGATTTCTTAACTCTAACGAAGGAAACGCGACCTCAAATCCAACTCTTCTAATGTTGAACAAAGTTCCTTCGAACAACAATACGAGATATTAATAACTAATTTGTTTCTCATCACAACACTATGTAATTTTATTCAGAATCGTTTTTGTGTGTTTTCTAAATTCCTCGTATTTTTTAATTTATTATTATTATTATTATTATCTAACTAAACTAATTACGTCGACCATGCTTCGGATTATTTTTAAAATTTGTTACACCACCAGAAACTTCTACATCATGGGTTGAACTGTCTTCTCAAACGAACCAATGGACTGTTCAAACCATAGGTAGCATCATTAAATGGAACATAAAATGAACGCTTTCTTTTGGAAGAATAAAACTACAGTCGATATCGCCGATATCGTCGATATTTAAATGCAACAAAATGTCAATTTTAATAATTTAATTTATTATTTATTATTATATTATTATTAATTTAATTAATTATTAATTTTAATAATAATAAAATAAATAATTTAATAATAATTTTAATACGTTGTTTAGTGTTTGGCGCATTCATATTTGCGTGCTGTTTCCTGTACTAATTTCCACCTTGAAATACAAAATATTAATTTTTTAACGGAAACCCCTGCTAACTAATTAATTAAGGCTTTGCAAAAAGAAAAAAAGTGTGCTTATATCGTTCGACTTGGCAAATCCTTTACAAAATTTGCATCGCGATAGTATTGCAGAATATTGCCCCGTTTTGGGTGGATGGCGATGATATTTTAGTGACGCAGTGTGATAAAGGCGATTCGGCAACACCGCGCACCGACGGCACGTATCGTAACGATCGCTGCCACAAGCTGCAGTTGCAGCGAAGGATTTATGAACGGCTGGTTGTTGGATAGAACCAACCCCTATGCTTGACGGGACGAACTCATTGAAACGTGAATAAAATAATAAATAAACTTACATTAATTACGGTTCCATTTTCCTCAATAAAACCATGTTCTGAAGGAACCACTAACGAAGGTAACGGAGTACACCAGCATAGGGTTGGGATAGGATAAGTCTTACAAAATGTACTAGGGAACTTTTCATATTTTTCTTACACCTACAATTTGGAAGGAATGTATTATTTAAACTGGTAGAAAAATCATTATTTTGACGCCATTTTTGGTCTATGCAATTACTATTACAATTATACCATCTCTTAATTATTAATGTTCATTAAACTAATGAGCAATATTTTATATTTGTTATCGTGCATATTCGGAAAAGTAAAATTTGTAGAACTAGAAAAGAGCTCATTGAATTTTTCTAATTCTAATTCTAATTCTAATCAAATTATAAAATTGTGACATAAGAACTACATAAACCTCCAGCATAAGCAGCTCAAAAAACAACGCCTGTTAACGGACCAAAGTGGTAAAATGGCTTTCGAGAATATGGTAATAGTTTCTCCATAAGCCGAATATCAGACGCACACGAATATGCAGTGCAATAAATTATGAGACTAAAGCGAGCAGTAAATAGAAAGCTGTAGTTTAACTTTAATGCACTCATGGATATATATTCTACGCGAGCTGTCTGACATAACGTAGGTGTCCATTTTCTTAAGCCCAATTAAATGCAATATAAATTATGTCGGTTATCATTTTGAAAACTTAAAAAAATTATTTACCTTTTCAGCATGCTTTTAACTGAAGGGCACCCCTAAATTTTAATAACCCAGACAGGTAAGATAATAACAATATGGATAAGAGGTCAATTTTATTACAATCAAGAATACAAGATTCCCTTGACTATTAACTGCATTACAGGATAGACTTGAAAATATTTGCATCCACATATTCGTAAGTACAGTCGTCAATGATGGTAGAAAAGTGGATCAGGGGCAATTTTATTGCTACCGGCTTTAATTAGACTATTCTGGTAGCCAAAACTTTAATCATATTTTCCACAAACAAGTGAAAATATTGTTTCACAGCCAACCGCGAAATATTTTATATATTTACCCTGCAATTCCGCTCTTCGTTTTAAGCGTTTATGCGGCACACAATTCCAATGGATATGCTTTAAAGACTCTAATATCATTATTTCGGCAAAATTGCACCTAACTGTGCCAAGAAATGTTATTGCAGATTAATTCTGGTCGAGGATATTGCGCTCACTGTAATACCACCCCTTTATGTAGATAATCGTATAATAGGACGGTGCATTTGACTTGAAAGCAGAATTGGTCTACGTACGACGACACCACAAAAATAAATTTAGTAATAAGGGTTCACTTTGATTAGCCTTAAGCTAAACTTCACCCGGTATATATATATATATATATATATATATATATATATATATATATATATATATATATATATATATATATATATATATATATATATATATATATATATATATATATATATATAGGGTTTTTCACTTAAAACTCCGCACGCCAATAACTCCAAAACGAAAAGAAATATTTAATTTATGTAAAAAGTAGTCAAAGTGTGGGGTCAAATAGATATTTCTTAAAGTTTAAAAAATGCGACGCCTGCAAAGAGCTGGGCGTCGCGACGCGTCGAAAAATTATTCGATTGCAGAGACTTTGGAAATACGCGCATACAAAAGTACATATTATTTAAAAACTTTTTTGTTATTTACTCAAACTTATTTACTTTACCCGTTTCTAAGTTATACCGATTTAAAGTAAACATTTCTTGATTAATAAAAAATGTGATTAACGCTTATTTTTACAAGTATGCCATGAATGTTAGTTACTATGGCAACCATTGTTATCGCAGTTGTTTTAAGTGCAATTACAAACAATAGATTTCAACTATTTTAGTATGATTTTATTTATTATTTTTTATTGAATTAGTTCTGATAACATGATAAATAAATGAAAAAACAGTAAAATACCTACAAGTTAATAACCAAAATTATTATTGCAATTAACTACATAATAAGACATTTCAAAAATTTTGTTCAAAATTATGTCCATCTGCTCGAACACAACTATCAAAAACTTTTAACAGATGAGCTTGGGTCACTTGTAGGAGAGTCCTTCTTGTGATAGCGGCACACGCTGCACTAATTTTGTTAATGAGATCAGCCATATCTTCGATAGGTTCTTCATAGATAACGTTTTTTAGCCCCAAAGAAAATAATCTGGTGGTGTAATGTCCGGGGACCTCGCCGGCCACCTCTCTCTTCTCGGTTCAAATACCTCGTTACTATTTGGGCATTATGTGCAGGCGCTCCATCCTGCTGTAGTCACATATTGATTCTAGTGTCAAGAGGCACTTCTTCTAATAGTTCCGGAAATGTAGTTTGAAGAAATCTTAAATAGCGATCGGCATTTAAAGTTCCTTCGTAAAAGTAAGGTCCAATAAAGAATCCATTTAATATGCCGCACCAAACATTGATATTAAAAATTCGTTGGTTACCTCTTTCTGTAATCCAACGAGGATGGTTTTCGGACCAAAAACGACAGTTGTATCTATTAACGATTCCATTATTTTGAAATCGACTTTTGTCGCTCCATAAAATTTTCGAGAGAAAATTTGCATCTTGGCTATACAAATCGGACAATGTCGCTAAGAAATACATTCTTCTAGCATAATCGCCTGGTTCTGGTTTATGAACTAGTTTACTTTTGTACGGGTGAAAAGAGTTTCTATGTAGAATTCTCCACGAAGAACTTATGGTAACACCGGTATTTTCTTTTATCTCTGATAGGAATATCTTGGGGTTATTATCAACCTGCTGAATTACAGCAGCAGTATTTTCATCATTTGTAGCCGTCCTGTTCCTATCTCTTTTAGGTTTTATGAAGCTACCATATTCTCTTAAGTTTTTACATAAACTTAAAAAGGTTTTTGCATCGGGGACTCTTCTATGCGGATAACGCCGTGCGTAAACTCTTTTTGCTTCTCTACAATTGCATCTGCATTCTCCAAACACCAGTAACATGTCTACTTTTTCCTCATTGCTAAATTGCACCATTTTCACATAATAATTCTTAGTTTTTTTTTAACCGAACAAATTTGGATATTTCTCGTGACAAAATGTGACAATTTTTTGATACAGCAATAACAACTTACGTTTGTAATTGCACTTAAAACAACTGCGATAACAATGGTTGCCATAGTAACTAACATTCATGGCATGCTTGTAAAAATAAGCGTTAATCACATTTTTTATTAATCAAGAAATGTTTACTTTAAATCGGTATAACTTAGAAACGGGTAAAGTAAATAAGTTTGAGTAAATAACAAAAAAGTTTTTAAATAATATGTACTTTTGTATGCGCGTATTTCCAAAGTCTCTGCAATCGAATAATTTTTCGACGCCTCGCGACGCCCAGCTCTTTGCAGGCGTCGAATTTTTTAAATTTTAGGAAATATCTACTTTGACTACTTTTTACATAAATTAAATATTTCTTTTCGTTTTGGACTTATTGGCGTGCGGAGTTTTAAGTGAAAAACCCTGTATATATATATATATATATATATATATATATATATATATATATATATATATATATATATATATATATATATATATATATATATATATATATATATATATATATATATATTGTCGTACATTTATACTTTGGTTAGTTTAGAACTAAGAAAATATCTTTCTTGAATTATGGCAAAATATTAAAAAATATTTTATAGTTATTTAAGAGTAATTATTTGCCTAATAAGTGCATTACTGGTAATGGTAATACTTTCGTTATACGTATTTCGTAATACGTTCCTTCTTTTAATGCATCTAAAAATAGACGTCATGGTGACCAATTTTGACGTGACGTATTAGATTTAATATTTTTATATTGAAGGTAGAATCCACAACAAAGAAAGCGAAATTTACGCATTCGTGGGACAATAGATAAAAAGAAAGACTCCTTAAATATAAAATCATTTATTACACATTACAGTTAACAATATAATTGAAATTAAGACGAGCAGATAAATATTGTGCTAAACATATAAACGTGGGATAAGAAGGGGTCAGAGGAACGTAGACCAATAAACAATGTTCAAAATGAGGAAGGAAAAGGGAAAAAAAAATCGGGAGAACTGATCGATACAAAGTGCTATGCTTCTTCCGTTGCAGAATGTTGGATATTGAGGCTGACTGACTGTGCTAAAACGCGGCCTTTCCATTCCCTAAAACATGACACAATTTTAAGTGTCCGAGTTTAGTATTAGGTTTTATTCACCCTGTAATTATTTAGTTCGGATATATCTTCGTCGGAATAGCCCTTCATCGCTTTCGTAGCGACCGGTCCCATGTAATTGTTCACGATAGCAAATTCCATTAAAGACATAAATACAAAAACGGAACAACTGGACATCCATACGTCTATTGCCTTCACGTACGACACTGGCGGCAAAGACTGTTGCGATTGAGTATTTTGCGTGGCTAAAATATACATCGATTTTTTTAATGGAATTTAATAATTGCACGCGTGCGTGCAATGGTAAAGTGAGGATTCGAACGGGCGATTTTATAACACGTACCCGTTCTAAAATTCTTAAGAAATTTCGAATGCACCGTAACGGCGATTAATTTCGATTTTTCGGTATAGCCGGGCTTGCAAAATCACCGAAATTTTTGGCGAACCGCACGGTTTGATTTTTGTCGAACTTGAACAACTAATATCGAGGTTATATGAATGAATACTTGATATCACACTCGCTGTTAAAAAGTGATAAAAAAAATCACGAACTTAAAAATTTCATTTGAAAGGTTTTCCGATTCTCTACGCGAAGCTTTTCTAATTTTTAAAGCTAATTTATTACTTAGTGAAAATCTTAATAGGCCATTTTGCCAAAATTCCGTCCAAATTTGCAGATTTGCATTCCAATTGAAAATTTTAAGTTATTAAGAAGAAAGTACATCTTTAAACGACTACATAAATGAGTTAGTTACCTAAAGTTAACAAAGATGTAACACCTAATGTCACTCGGGCAGGTATGGCTTCCGGCTTAATCCAAAATGAAATCCACGACATCACGACGATCAAAGCCGAGGGAATATAAGTGTGAAATAAATGATATCCAAGTCGTCGTCTCAAATTGAAGACAACAGCAAGACATGTGAAATTACCTAAAAGCGTACCAATCCGAAACTCAAATATCAAATTCGCTCTTCCTAAATCTCCACGAAAAGTGAGTCATCAAAGAGATTTTCCTTAATTATCGCAACGAATGTTTAAGTTTCGAAGTCTATTTATACTTGGCAGTAAAAATATTAATCATCGAAATTAGGAAAAATGATAAATACCGGTCGAATACTCGATAGTGCAGTCAGTGGTATAGTTGTTGGAAATATCAAGTTGAGGCAATTCTATTTCGGGGTTTACTACAAGAGGATCCGTCATATTCCATATGAACACCAAATCGTGATCGGTATGAGACACTAGAAAAAAAAACAATTGCGAAATAAAGATTGTTAGACATTTTTCACGGATATCCATATCGGTAGAGTTTTGATTGAAATCGTGATGAACTTATATGGAGGTGGCACGTAATTTTACTTACAACTTTCAATCATCATAGTGCAGATTTGCGTATCGTGTGGGTAAGACTCGAATTTCATGGCACACGATAATACCAACGTCAGTCTGCAAATGAACTAGTTGTCGATCGATGCTGGACTGATTTTTAATAACTAATAGCTAGCAGAGGATCGTAAAATTGATTTCAATTACTAGCCACCAAGAAACAGATTAACTGACGTCTTTATCACCCATTAAATGAAATAAATACGACTAAAAAGAGAGTCCTATGTTTGGAATTAATTTCATATAAAAGTGACGATCCTCTGCTACCTGAGAAAATTCAATTTGGAGGGGCTCACTTGGACATGTAAAGCAACGTTTTATCGTGGTAGAGCCAGAGATAATGGTTGGGTATAGTCATTTCGTGGAAAGTGACGCTTTTGGCGTTTTTAAAGAAACAATCGGGCCTCCAAATGCTGTGCAACCATTCCACGTCCAGTATTCGATATTCCTCGCTCATATTTTCGGGGAGACGTAAACGAGGGTCTCTCCAACTTTGTGCTAAGAAGATGTCCGTTACGTACGTCTGTATAGAAATCGTGCGATATTAAAATCTTTCATTCCCGGCAAATAAAAAGCGATGCGAGCCTACTTAGAAGACTATTAATTTGACAACAACGCATTTGAAAACCTAGCACTACCTAGAGCTACCTGGATATACGTTCGAGGATCTCGCCTTGGCCTATTTTTCAAGCGTTATAATATAGACCAAGTTTCAAGGTGGGAAATTTTGAAAATAGATAGCCACGTCTGCTCTTTATGGTAGTCCCTCAAGATTGATTACGGAATAATTTGTTTTTACAACGGCTGACAAAGCGAATTTAGAGGGAACGGAAAGGACAGGAAAATTAATGATAAAAAAATTTTACTTTACCATTGATTCCTCGTTTATCGAGTCGAGCGAAAGGACTGTGACGTGGAAATAAACAATGGTGGGTTGTCCGTGGTATTTTGGAGCCCTGTTTTTATCATAATGTTTGGGTCTCAGCGGTAATATGTCTCGGAGAGATAAACTTGTCTCGTCCATATAATGTTTTACTTTACTATTGGAATGGTTTCTCCTGTAAGGTATAACCACGTTGCTCAAAAAGTTAAATAATTCAATTACTTACAACGTATGGGTGCTGACCACGCAGGAAATAGTAAATAGAGAGAATAAGACACAATATTTTAAGGCGTGATGCATTATCCATATAACCTCTATTGAGGTATTCGAAACTATCCTACAGACTGACTGTTCTTCCATCACAGATAATTAAATTATTGTATTATAGGCTTAACAGAACAATATAAATGGTGTGCTATACCGGATGTCTTTAACGCGCCAAAGTACACCTAAGGAACGATTTAAAAAAAAAACTCATACTCTTAATATATTGCTTATATATTTCGCTAAGAAATCACATTTATTTTTACAATTTTTTTTTAAATTAAAATCAAAATAAAAATTACAACGCCAACGTGTAGGAAATATTTTTCACTCAGATTTAAATCGAATTATTTTTTGTCTTTCCTGAAACTAAAAAAAATATCAATTTATTTATAATTTATGTTACAATAGTTATATACAATTTCACTGGGATTTTATGTCTAATCCACCGAATTTACTCCCATCTTTTAGAGAAGTGTGGAATATATACACGCTTAAAACTAATTTTGGAAGCATGGAATCCCTTAAATCACTGACAATAAGTTCTCGTTTTTGAAACCTTTATCTACACTGGTAGAATTCCGATATCGTCATAAAAATGGACACAAATAAGAATATCGCAAAATTTTTCACTGGTTTAAAATCGGCTATTAAAAACAAACAATACCGGGAAGCTTATTAGTGATATCGAAAAACGTTGAAGGATTTATACTGGATGAAGTTTGATCTTTGGTTTGTTAAGCGATTAGCGGTTTGATTTTACCCATCGTTCATTTCCTTCCGCGTCTTCTGGATAGACTTAAATTAAAAAGAAGATCGCTGCCTGAAAAACCTTATCCAAAAATCTCGATATTTTAAAGCTGATTTTTTTTACTACTTAATGATAGTATATACAAAACGCTAATGAACGAATAGGGTGTGAAGGAAAACCTTCTACCTTGAGGTAAAGAAAATTTATCCCAAACGACCTAAAATCTTTTCCGATATTTAGAAAAAAAAGTGTAATAATAATTTTTGTCACAATTATTCTATAATATCATATATACCACACATTTTGTTTTACCTTGATGAATACTAATTAGTAACATTTCACCCTATTACAAAGTGCTATTCTCTAGCAATCGAAGAAACCATAATTTATTTACGATGAATGTCATCTTACGTTAACCTTGATAGGGACCCATCTATTTGAATCACGCCGACCGGCCGCAAAATTTTAAGTAACCCCTCGCCATTTGCTTTCAATAAAAAGCAATATACTAAGCGAACCTTCTCTACTTAATTTACACAGGACGAATATTTAAATAAAACAAGTTATTTACAATTTTTTTTAGAGAAACAGATTTACGTCTGAAAATAAATTTACTTAACCTAATGAGTCAATATATGTTCATATATCCTTACCGATAACTGCAAACAGCAAGAATTCGAAATTATTTTTAGCGATTATCACAAGTGGACCTGAGACCCACATCTAGAGCGGTTGTGTGAAATACATAATCCAAAAAAAAACAATTTTACCGCAAATTTGAATTTATGTATTATTGCTAGTGGCCATTGTGACAAACATCTGCTGGAAATCTGCTAACTCTTGCCCTAGCGACTCGATACCCTGACCTGAACGAACGGTTTGCAGCTGTTGAGGTAACTGATCCCCTTCTTTAGGTACCACATTCGACTTTTTTTTCTCTGATTCGCCACTGTCGGGTCTTCTTGAAGCTGCTGTTTTGTTGGGAATGACGGGTTTGTTTGGCGGTATAGGGGGAGGCACTCCTCTAGCTGCCGCGGAACTTTTTTTGGGGGGAGTCTGTGGCGCGGTTTGCTGTTGCAAATGGGGATGAAAACTGGGTTTCGGAACTGGTCTAATTGTGGAAGATCCCTGAGCTGAAATACCCGCGATGCCTGGGCTAAGCTAAAAATATCATTGCCCCCTCGTAAGAAAATATAATGAACATAAAAAAAAAATTACCTTGGCTGAAGGTGCTATAGGAGAAGGAGAAGCTATAACAGTTTGCCTGAGGGCTTGACCAGGAGTAACAGACTGTGCAATTCCAGTAGCTAAAATTTAGCAATTCATTTTATATAACAAGCTATCTATAAACAACTATACTTGGGCCTGAGACAGGAACACTGGAAACTGTAGCAGTAGGTTGAACAACTTTGGCAACGCTGCTTATCATAGCAGTTCCACTATCAGTTAGCTGGATTCTACTTCTTATTGCATCACATTCGGCTCTTAATCTAGCTAGTTCAGTCTCTATTTCCATTATTCTAAAAGAATACACATTTACCATAGCGTGATTGGATTATAAAATATAAAACCTTTGATCTTTTGACAAAAGCAGAGTCTTAAAATTCTTCTTCTCAGCCTCAAATTCATGTGCTTGCTTCTCAAGTTCTGCTTCCATCTGCAATGACTTTTTACTCTCCTCTTCTAACCCTTCAGCCATACTATCAATACGTGATTTTTCCTCAGAAAGAATTTGAGCCAGATCTTCACTTCTTTTTCTTTCTTCAATATATTTTACTATAATCTTCTTTCTCTCTGCTAAAAGTACTAATACTATTTGCTTCTGTCTGGCCCTTTCTTCATCAGCAAGCTCAACTTGTCTCTTGACTTCTTTTTCCAATTTCTTCCTTGCAGTCCTTTCCATTTCCAATTCCTGCCTCAAACGTGTTCTTTCCATTTCCAATCCATAAGTTATGTCATCACCTTGGGCAGTATCATGTTCATGCTTGCATTTTTCTTCTTCTAATTCTTGAATTACCTGCACAAATTAAAATGGTTAATAGTTATCAATGCAGTTCTTGACAAATATGAGAACCTTCTTGTGTTTTATTTCAGCCTCTTTCAAAATGTTCATCATGTGTTGGTTAGCCCACCTCTGCTGCATAGCTAGCTGCTGCAAAGCTTGCAATTGATTTTCTGCTGCAGCTGCCATATCCTTTTCACTTAAAGGTGGTTTAGAAGAAATAGTATCAGCAATACTGTCTCTAAGCAATGCTGTGTAAGGGTCAGCCACTACTGCCGGTCGATACCTTCCCAAATTTGCTACTTGTTTTAATTTTTCCGACTGTAAATTTATATAAGGTTATGGTAGTGTGCTATCCACCATATTAATATTTTACCTTTAATGCGGCAATTGTGATGTCTCTTGCTTGGAGTTCTCCTTCAAAGCAGGTAACCAACTTAATTAAATCATTTTTGGATAATTCCATTTTAGTATTCCTCTGTGACAACAAACATTAAATATAAGTGAGATTAATAAAAAGCAAAGCAGATTCTAACCTTCAAGGTACTACTACTAAGGTTTGTCCTATCCATTTGTTCATATTGTGATGTTCCCGGTTGATTTTCTGGAACCGTTGACAAGGAAGGACCCAAATCAGCGGCAACCCCTAAACCTTTAAGCCAGTCAATTTCTACATTGTTAGTGGCCATATTGCAAAAACACCTTGTTTCCTTAAGTTTTTAAGAAAACATTGCTACAACCGGCTGGCTTTCTTCGAGACAAATAAATAAAACTCGCTACCACTTAACATTGTGTTTGACAAGTTTTTTTTTTTAATTTTTGCTTCACATTTGACAACAGAAAACACTCTTTTAGGTTAATGTCGAATCGATTATTAGATAGGGACATTTAACTTTAAAGTCAAGGCTGTTTTGGGAACAGTCACAAAATATCTCTGGTATAGAACAGGGATAGGAAGTTTAGGGTTAGACAAGCTTTGGCAAAATGCCGAAATATTGTAGTTGAATTTGAAACGAACCACATTTTTAAAAATATCAATCTCCTACCTCGAAAATAACGTCAACTTTTAGAAATAATAATCCATCTTACAAATTAATAATATATATATATATCACATTTAGCCTACTAGCCAACCGACCAAAACTTATCAATGGTAAACGCTTTCCCAATAAACCACCCATTGTTGGGCGCCAAGTTTTGCCAGCGTCGTATTAGATTTATAGTAAAAATCATAGCTTTTATAAAAACTTTATTCAATGTTAAAGGTGTGAGACAATACTGATGTTTGATTATCAATAATATGAACTGGTTAGTAAAATTATGTTTTGAATTAATAATGGGCTAGTCTTCAGGCCTGCATTATTTTCCTTTTGCTGACGGTGACCTTTTTAATGTCAGAACCGGCCATAACAATAAAACAGATCCTATTAGATAAGTAAATTTGTAACCTATGCTCCAGAATGATATACTAGCAAAAATAGGACCTAACGCTCTGGCCAAAGCTCCAAGTGATCTGAAAATGCCCATCACGGTTCCTTTCTGCTGTTCACTTCCATATTCTGAAGCCAAGGTTGTCATACACGGAACAACCATAGCTGTGGCTGAAATAATAATCCAACATTAATCTGAATGGTATTTTATAATATAATGTAATATTAATGAGAAAATAAAAACCAAAAATAAAATCAGTCAAAATTGATTAATACATATTATATTATTATATAATTATCAATTATAAAATTACATACAAACTGCATATAAGAAGAGCCCAATGTAAAGCATAATAGGTCCAACAGCTAAACCAACACATACATAGGAGGGGATTATTATCCACAATCCCAAAATGGCAGTACCCTTCGTTTTATGGGGGGGAATTTTCCTTACGAAACCTCCCTGGAGTAGGGCCATTGTTACACCTGAAAATATGTCATATATAAAAAAGTTGCAAGTATAAGTAAATTTATGGACCCCTTACCAATGGCAAAAAACATCCAGCCCTGTTGCATTGCATTATAATTAAAAACGTGATGTGTTAGGAATGTTAAAGTAAATTCTAAGCCACTATAAATAAATAAATATACAAAATACACTTTTCCCAGTCTTCTAAGTTCCGTGATATCTTTAGATTTAAGGCTACTAACAGCGGTAAAATGGAATAAATCTTTCATGTATATTAAAACTTTGATATTTCTAAGTATTGCTGTTATATTTTTGGCTCTCTTTTCCTAAAAAAATGAATATATAAGCGAAAATGTCACTTAATCACAATTTTATACCTTTGGAAGCGATTCTTGAAAAAAAAACATGAAGTATAGCAAATCTGCTAATGCAAGAAAGGTGGAAAACAAGGCAGGTGCAACAAACCAGTTTCCAGTTCTTTTTGTAGCCCAGACGGTGAATCCAGCACCAATCATTGGTCCTACAATGAAACCAAGGGAGAATGCTATACCGACAAGTGCCTAGGAGGAAAATATTTTTAGAATGATTTATGCTGAATGAAATTCGACATACCATTCCTTTTCCACGTGTTTTCATTGATGATACATCAGTTACAATTGCCATGCTAAGAGAGACATTGCCTTTACTTATTCCACCAATGAACCGGGCAATAATAAAAAACCACAAGTTGGTAGCTAAAGCCCATACCACATAGGAAAGTACCAATCCTCCCTAATGTGTATAACATCATCAGTATATTACGTAAAGTTCATTATTTCTATTTTTTACACTTACCAAACAAAAAATCATTACCGGCTTTCTACCAACGATATCGGAAATACCTCCCACAATAGGAGAGGCAACGAACTGTAAAAAGCTAAACATTGAGCCCAGAAAACCGCCAAATAGCACGGAATTGAATTTTTCTGGGGCCCCAACGAGCTTTTGAAAACCGTAGACTTTACTTGAGAGCCATGAATACAACCCAGACGAATCATTTTCCCTGTAGTAATCTAACAACGATGGTAACAATGGCAATATTATAGTAAACGCCAGCAAGTCTAGCAAAAGAGATATGAAGACTACATAGACAGTAGGATTAACTTTTTCAATTTTGTTAGCCATCTTCGAAGTTCAGGAGTGAAACTGCTTTATTTGTTACCTCATTTTTTTTTAAGAGAGCTATTCCACTTAAATGGTAACTCGGTACTTTAGATAAAAAAATGTCCACTTAGCCACTCACATGTTTGTGCTTATAGGTTAAAAATTTGGAAGTGAAAGTATACATTGTACAATTATAATTTCAAGGACAGCTCCTATGGACTCCTATGCAGCAACACTGTAAAAGCACGAATTGCCATCATTTGAAAAAAATGTATAATTTTTGTTGATATCCAAGTTAGAAAAAAGCAATATACTGACATAAGAAACAACAACTCCGATAACGCTTTATCTAAGGACATATCCTACTCAATATCAAAATTTTTGATTTGGCATATATCTAAAAGTAGGATCGAGGCACGTGGCACTTATGAAATTTTAAAAAACGTGCAGCAAAAAAGATCGCTTGAATAAAAGAATTGGAACTGTTCATTTTAATAAGTTTTCATACCCTCAAAAGTTATTTTAATATATAGATAAGTGAAAATGATTAAATAATAAAAAAGTAAAGTTTCGCTTGATCAGGCATTCTATGTCGGTATTAAATGTTTTAACAAAATAAAGCCGTTTGTAAATATTAATTAAATTGGTTGAGAGAAAAAAAATATTAATTCGCAATATCAATCCAAAATTTCAAATAATCCAGATTTAAACTATTTGTGAACAAGCCAGATTAAATAGGAATATTAAAATATTTTGCAAAAAAAATTGCTAGGTAAAAAATTGGTAGTTTATAATATTTGGAAAATAAGAGTAGAATAATTTATAAGGAAAATTGAAAAATTAACTTGACAATTATTCGTAAGTAGTCAGTCATTGTGTTTGAGAAGTTTAATCCAAAAAACACTGTATAGTTTACGGTTGATAAGAATTTGAGTTGGGCATAAAATTATAAAAATTTGAATCACAATTGACGCGATGAAAGGAAAATATAGCCAAACTTGCTTGTGTGTACGCATTCTATGACTTTGTATTTTTGGAAAGTCCGAAAAGGTGCGTTGTTTTGAATAAACCAATCAAAAAACGTTAAACCCGTAAAGCTATTGGCTAGTTGTTGTTCCTCGTAAATGAATTATTTGAAAAAATGTTCATCTCATTTTACCACGAAAAACACAATACAGCTTCCAAATTTCAGAAAAGTTTATTACCTATAGAAAGTACACAGATGATGCACATATTTTTGTATTTAATAAGGTACAACAGTTTAATACATACACAATTAAAACATGGGATGAGCGGTATAAGTCTTTTAATCGGGAAATTTACTGTTCACTCTAAGAGTATATTACAGGCGTAGTCTACCCAGAGTTTACTTTATTAGTATCAATTTATCACCGAAGGGTTCTGAAATAATAATACATTTCTAATTTTCTATATAATTTTTAATAGCCACAAAAAGTATCGATGGTGCATGTCTGAAAAACAATTAAATTGTTACTAGACTTTCTGCATAACGAAAGCAGTCGATCGATTATCACTTGAGATCAACAACAAAGCAAAATTTCACAATGCTTAAATCACATAACCACTTTTTTTTTTTGAGAATTCCCTGTTCCTATTCATATTAGTAGTGACTGTTAAAAAATAAAACGTAGAATGTAATGGGTGCCTAAAATGGAAAACTGATATTGGAAAGTACCTAGATTGACATCGTTTAAATATATCGATTAAATGAATGTCATAACAAGCTAACTAAACGATAAACTCTGATTAAATTTAATACGAAACTCCTTTATTTACAACAGAATGGGGTCGCTTTCCATATGTTTTGTTCGGATAATACTTGCAACAGGCGTTCAAGGGGAAGTCCGGCAAAAAACCATCTCACAAAATAAAGAAAAAATTTAAAAACGTTAAAAACCGTACCCTTCCATGGCGATAAATAACGCAACACACGCTCCCCTAAAATATAGCAATTGAATTATTTGTTAAATAATAAAAACAAGAAACAAAATTCGGAGATTAAAAAGAAATAATTGCGGCGGAATTTATTTTGACTTAAAGAAATCAACAAAATTTAATTGTACAAAAACGTCATTTGTGGTTAAAAACGAAAAATAATTTTCACGTGATAACTTGGACGAGGCGGTGTCGTCCAACGAGGAGGTGATTTCGTTACGATTATTTCAATTTTTTATACTAAAAACTGTTTTTTTATCGCACGCCCCTTTTTCAGGTATCAAAAATCACATTCTCGGACAAGATAATAAAAACCCGCCATACTACAATAGTTCGATTGGCCAAATTCAAAAGTAACGCAATTTTTTGATGAAGCAACAGTTAACAAAATAGTAAAAAGATTTTTTTTTCCTTTAAAGTACCGGTGCGCAATATTTCCAAATATAATTTCGCTAGAAGAGGAAACAACCCCATCAAAACGCTTTCAGCTATAAAAACGTACGTACGAATAATTAATTTATAATGAAACATTTCTGCCAGTAGTATGCGGTTATATTCTATTTACATACTTGGTAATTTACATTGCTCTTTAAGAAATTTTATTATAAAACGTACTAAAATTGGCCTTACTCGCAAAAATCAACATTCAGCTAAAAACTTTCTCGCGAAAAACTAACGCTAACATGGAAAAAAGTTTAAAACTCGACTACCAAGAATGCACACTATAATAAAATCAAAATTATTTTAATACGAAACGCAGGATTTGGTAAATAAATAATGATATAGTACAAATTGATATTAGCAAGTAAGAATGAGCAATTAATGAATCGATGAAAGAAGTACAGAACCGACGAGTAAGGCTTCTGTAGAACATTCACAGATATGGTACGACTTAATGTAAACTTATACGTAATTAAGGCTATCCTATATTTAGCTATTTATTCCAAATAACAAGGTTGACATTGGTCATCTCAGAAACTAAATCAAGTCAATGTTGCCGCACTGCTGTGACCGCACGGCAACAGTGTGAGGTGTTGGTCGGTCTCACTATACTGTAGTCATTTCGTGCGCAAACCTTTTTTCTTCTTTCTTTTGAAGAAACAGCAACACCTGTAATTATTACGCCGCCTCTAGCGCGTTGCAACGCATCGACCTATCATTTACTCACTTAGTTTCGTCTAGCAACTCAATTTCTTGAGGTTGAGTAATTGGTGTATTACTGTGGCCGGCGGTTGGATCGTCCGCATTTAGTTCGCCATTTGTTGAACTTACAACTTGAACTGAACCGTGCCTATCGGCAGGAGTCAAATTTCCCAGCGTGCTCTGTTTTGAAGCTTCTGGCCAAGCGTTGGTCTTGTTAGTCTATAGTGGAAATATTCAATTAACGATTTCCACCGAATCGAAATTTGCGAATAGATATTATTCCTCGCTGCTTACAATAAAATGTTCCAATGATGATTCATGCAAAAATCTTTTCTTTTAACAAACTTTTTAAAAACAAAAAGGATTAAATATATTCCGTTTTTAATCAAAATTTTAATTTCAACACCCATTTGCAAGTTAACACGTCAGAATTGCATTTAACATTCGAAAAACTTATATAGGTTTGATTATTCGTGGCGAAAATAAAGAATAGTACGAGAGAAACTCAGCAATGCTGCTGTAACATGCCTTAATTATTTTAATAACAAGTCTGGTAAACGGCATTTGAGTTACGAGTTCGTTTTGCACGAAACGAGCGCAGCGGAGCGAGTGCTTAATAAACGAGCCACTTAAATCGTTTTCTACTCGCTTCTGTAAGTAATCGGATGTTTTCGGAGATATTACCGCACTGCTTGAGTTTTGACGTTTGTCAATTCTGACGGCCATGTTGGTAAATGTATTCGTGTTGTTTTACAAAAATGTACCCAAAAACTAAAAGTTGTAGAAAAAGTATACTATGCAACACGTTTGGTAAACTTTTTAAGTAACTCGTTTATTAAACAATCACTCCGCACGTGCCAAATAAAATACCTTACATCGATACACCGATCTAGCTTGCGGAAAGGGTCACACAGCGGATATTTTCGGAAATACTACCGCACGGTTTGAATTTTGACGTTTGTCAATTGTGACTGTCATGTCAGTAACTATATTCGTGTTGATATAAGAAAGTGACCAATTGCTTTTGAATGTATTATCCAAGGGTGGTCATTAACATACAATGCAACAAGATTATTATTATTAATTAGGGTAATTAGTAATTAATTAATTATTAATATTTAATGGTTCATTGTTAAGGTAATAATCTTATTGCATTGTATGTTAATGACCACCCTTTTATAATTCCAATTGGTCACTTTCTTATATCTATGAACATACCATACCTAAAAACTAACGGTCGTAGAAAAAGTATAGTATAGTATAGTATAGTATAGTATCACAGTGCCGAATAAACTCGTGACTCAAATGCCACTTACCACACTTGTTGCATAATATACTATTACCAAACGTGTTGTACACTATACTTTTTCTACAACCGTTAGTTTTTGCGTACATTTTTGCGAAACAACACGTATACATCCGATTGTTCCTCAACTCGTGCGGAAATGTCCGAAGTGGTACGAATCCTTGGGAAAAGAAACGTAACGTAAAATGACACTGTCAGCACGATTGGTGTATAAAGAAGAGAGTAGAAAGACAATTTTTACAGCAAACCACACCAGACCGGACCAAATTGACAGCTTCCAAAAATCTTCTGATATTTCTAAATACCAGAGGCAACTAGATGCAATAATCCATGATTTTTCGTATTTTGTGAAAACGGAAGGCATAATTTCGATGGGAACTAAAAACCACCCTAACGGATTAAACATATGGTGTTTAAATTAATTAATAGTCACTTAATTAATTCAAAGAACTACTACAAAATGAAATAGTCCGTCTCTTCTTTGCCAATTGGCGAATAAGAAAGAAATAACAAAGCACCCACAATAACACATAAGAGGAGTGCGAGAAGAAGGAATAGACACCTTAACAGATATAACCTTAGTAACCAAGCAGAGAAACGGAAAGCAAAAAAATTTGTTATCTATTGAAATATCACTTGTTGATGACAACTAACTTCATTTTCATGGCAGTTCTACTTCACCTGCTAGAATTTTAGAACTGAAACACTTTATCAGGTTTTACTGGAATTGCTAGTTGTAAACCCTTGGTTTTTATATGAGTTCATAAAGAAAATATATAAATATAAATATAATCTAAAATGAAAATAAAAATGTAGGCACTGCTAGCCTGCGTAAGGTTTTATTACAATTGGTATATTGGTATATATATATTTCACTTTTTGCTTATTTAAATGATTTTTTTAAATATATGTAACGTTAAAATGGTGTGCATTTTGACACTATTCAGATTATTTAAAAAACCTAAAAGTTTAGGTATCATAAACCTTTTTCAAAACCACATTTATTTTATACCCCTAGCATATCGTAGTAAAACTTTTTGAACGCCACACATATTTGCCGTTATAACTTGGAAAACGCCCATATTTACACGGCTACTTCAGACTCAATTAATTTAATAATAATATAAAAATTTTAAATATTCCAAGTGTTTAATGTAAGGCTACATTAGAACGTTTTATGAAATTATATTTTAATAAGTAAACATCACAAGTCTCTTTCTAGCAAGCAGTATGCAACGAATACGGTATTCAGATATTAGGGCACGGAACAATAAAGGGAAACGGAATAAGAAAATACCTCTTCAAGTCGAGATATCAATAGGAAAGCTTCTTCTTGCCACGAATTGTCCTTTTTATATGAAAACATTGAAAACGATATTAATTCTACACGTCGCTAATTATATTGAGCGCGTTTAAACGGTTGCAAATATTACCTTATTCGGTGCGGCGTGCCTTTCTCTGTTTGGCGATATAACCACGTCATGAGCAGTTGTCTGCAAAGAACCTACTGGTGTACTCTAAAGAAAGAGAAAAAAAATCGCTATCAATTTACTTCTTAAAGGACGAGCTGTGATAACTACATCTACCGAACTGAAATTATGCTTATGAGGCAAATTCTATTTAGAGTGAGGCAGGTAGTAATGGGAATTGTTTCCTTTGTCATACACGCTAATAGTAATGGCGGAAAATTGCAATACGAAATTCTCTATAATTATTTCTTACATTTTCTACCTGCCTGGGCAAATGGCTAATCATTCCAATCGTTTAGACTTCTTTGAAGAAAGTGCTTGTGATATATTTTGACTAATATTATTAATGATTCTTTGTTGAATATAAAGGGCAATGTATAATATAAAAGTTGGGTCAACGTTCAACCGTGCTAGAACTCGGAAAAATTGGGTTTTTATTTTTTATATTAAAAACGGTATTTATTCACAGTTAATGCAATAATAAATTAGTTTTATAAATTTTTCCCAATAAATCATTTTTAATATGGAATTATTTAGAAAACAATTTATCAATATTCAATATTCTTAATATCTTAATATTCTTAAATTTAATTTTCTCAAATAAATTTCTGTTATTCGAAAATGCTTTACCTATTATTTTTTATTTGGAAACGGTTTCATGAATACTACAATACAAGACACAAAAAAGTTTCTAAGTAAAAACGGCTACCAAAACTTGTGTAAGTTGTTCTTTAAATTTAATTACGAACAATGACTCTGACTCTACCTCTAAAAAAGATGCAGAAAGTGTGTCTTAATCATAATAATGATAATTACCTTATTTTTCTATCTCTTCTTGTTTTGAAATTAACAACTCCCCTCAAATTTTTCGCATTTGTTTTGAAACACCTCATATAAACGGCAAAAGAAAGTTTCTTTTTTAGGTAAATAAAATATATGTTGTAATAGGTGTTCAAATAGAAATGTGCTTTGGTTTTCGGGGAGAATTTTATTCAAAATATAAATAAATTAAGTATTTGATTGCATCATTTGTATGATGTGTTAATAACATAATATTTGTGCGTTTCAAAAGAAAATTTTAGTTTTCTCCATCTTTTACGAAACAAAAAATATTGACTAGTTGGAGAGTAACACAACAATTTCCATTACTAGCCGTCTTTTTCTATTGTAAAATATTGCCTCATTTTTCTATTTCCAGTTCATTGAAGGCGGAGAGCAAATAAATGCCATATTGCGACATGATTCTAGCGTCAGTTACGATAAATACCTTATCCGATTTGGTTTTAATTTTATTAGAAGGCGGGGCGTTCCGTATTTGCTGAAGTATATACACGTTAGGGGGCTGTATTGAACAAAATTTGACATATAAAGCAAGATCTTCTAAGTGGCGCTTACCATTGTCTTTCCGGTCCAATCGAATTCCCCGTCATCCACGTAACCTTTCTTATTGAATAAACTCGTAAATAAATTCCTTAAATATTCATAGTCGGGCATTTCGAAAAAATCTAATCTCCGCACGTATCTCAAGTAAGTGGCCATTTCTTCCGGGTGATTTTCGCATAGGGTATCGATCGGCGTCGCCCTTTTGGTGTCGCCGATTTTCTGGTACCGTTCTTTGAGGGTGTCCGCTTTCAACCCCTGCCAAGGCAGCGAACCCCTCAGGAAGTACATAAACATATGACCCAAAGCTTCCAAGTCATCTCGGCGGGATTGTTCTTTGCCTAAATGAGTGTTAATCGACATATACCTCGCTGTGCCCGTCAATGACTTGTGTTCTCGATACGGAATATGCTTATTCGTTTCCAATTCAATATATTCTTTTGCTAAACCAAAATCTGGAAGAACATTTAATTACGCACAAAAGAAATTGCCAATGCGAAAGTTGTTTCACCTATAATATGAATGATTTTTTCCCGCTTTGTACTTTGCCTGCCGATTAAGAAGTTCTCCGGTTTTACGTCTCTATAGATAAGATGCCTGGAATGGACGTATTCAATTCGGTGTAGCTACAATTTATAAATCGTTTTAATTGTCAATTAGACTACCAAGGGGCGAAATTAAACTCACTAATTGTATTGCGATCATGAGGACAGTCTTAAGGGAGAATCTACGTTCGCACAAATCGAAAAGGTCTTCAAGGCTGGGACCTAACAATTCCATTACTAAAGCGTTATATTTCCCGCACGGTCCAAAATAATGCACTTCCGGAATACCGTCTGTAAAAACAATCTATGAGTAAACCGTAAATGCGAAAAACCCACGGATAAATATATATTACCATGACTGCCGAGCAATTTGTAAAATCTATATTCTAAATGAAGCTGGGGCGCTTTTGACTTCATGGGTTCCAGCTTGATGGCAACATGCTCGTTATTATAAAGATTCCTGCCTAATCGAAGTTCTCCAAAGTTACCACAGCCTATTTTTTTACCCACACGAAAATTCGGACCCACCATCAGCACACCCGAGCTGGAATTCACGCTGTGTCTCGTATTGTGAGACTCGCTGGCACCTAAAACGATTAAATATTTATAACAAACAAAATGAAACGGTCCGAAGGTTGGTACGTATCGATTTCTTTTATAGTTCTATTATTTATATAGCTGGAGGCTCTTGCAAAAAAGGGTAAACAAAACGTACCAAAGAAACGAAACGGCATTATTTGAAATATATCGCGGCCTATGGGACATGGTATACCAAGAGAGTTTACAAAGAAAAATTAAGCAAAGAAAAACGGGTCGATGTGTATCGGTTCGAAAAAAATTAACAAGTTATTTTTTTTTTATTTACAAGGTGATTCAAAAAATTATTATACATATAAAATTACAAATTTCATCTGCTTCGCCACCAAAACATTTTTTATGTACAGAAACTTTTGAAGCTATGAAGTGTTGATTGCAATTAATGAGAATTATTATTACCATGTTGATTACAAAATCACGAATAATAAAAAAATTCTGATTAGCCAAATAAGTGCCGCGACTTTCTCGGACTTTTCAAATTATAATGGCAACCCTGGTAATTTTAAACCGGAATTAATACTTCCGGTATAAAGGCATTCGTAAATAGATTACGGGGAAAAAAATGACATTTTTCTGGTATCAGAGTAAAAATATTCTTTAACCACGTGGCCTTCAATCAATTTGAAAATTTGACCGGAACTGATTATACAAACACAAAACTTGGGTGTTAACATTGTTGAATAAAATGCGAAAAAATAACGTTGACAAATAATTTTAATTATCCAAATTAGGCAAAGAAAAGCCCCGACGTTTCTGGGATTTCCAGATTATAATGGCAATCGTGCTGACATTTACGGGTATTGCAGATTATAACGGTAGTTTTAGGCCGGAACTAATACTTCCGGTATAAAGGCATTCGTGTATGGATGGGAAAGAGGACGAAAGAAAATTACATTTTCCTCGTGTCGGATCAAAAGTCGCATCCTCTTTATCTACATTCGCATCGATCGAACTGGGAAACAAATTTGTTTAAAGGAGGGAGCAATATAAAGTGAAAATCGCTAGGAAAATGGCAATTTATCACTGGATAGACATTCGACCTGACTTCTAGGTGTCTAATTAAAATTCTTGAAAAAGCGCCACGTTGGTCAATGACGAAGAAAGTTATGGCACCGTCCGAGGACAAAGCCTAATAGCACGAACCGCATTGCCTTTAATTAACAACAAACGATAGAATTTTAAACACATCGCAAAGCCGACCAATGCAAATTCGCTTTATAACTCGTTCGAATGAAACTGACGCTAACATTTTTTTTTACGAACAACCCTTTCGTCCGTCTACATGCCAGTAGCTCGAATTTAAAATAGGTACGTGAGGGATTGTCAAAAGGGGTGCGTGATATATCAGACCAAAAAAGCGACCCCCTATTTTCAACGTTTGCCAGGAAAAGCTAATTATGTGTCGTGGGAATAACTGAATTCCGAAAAGCTCTTTCGGTGATTAGAGACGCGTCCGTAAAATCAAAAAATAGCAAATTAAATTTAAATGAAATCGCTAAATAGGTCACAGCAACATTTTATTTATTCCTAAATACCGGAGATCCCAATAATGGCAACGAGGTTTGGTATTGGCAAAACGAACGGTAATAGAAATTTATTTGTCCAAAAAAAGACAATATAATTTCATAAATTACACCACAAATCAAATTTTGACAAAAAGGACCCACTCTCGATTTTAATAAGCGTTTACCAACAATACCTTTCTAAAAGAAAAATGTTAGCGAGAAGGCCCTAGAGTCTACAATCATCATCGACGCTGGAAGCGCACTAATATATCGCATTACTATTAATTATACGAGACCCAGGCCCAAATAGATGGTAAAGTCTTAGGAGTTTAAACAAATACTAAATATAAATAAAAATTGCTATTGAATATTTAAATTAATTATTCTAAAAGTAAATTTTGTTCTATAACTAATTTAGATTGCAATCTTGATTTTTTAAAACGCGGTTTCAACAAAATTGTTAATTCAAATTCAAATCTTTGTTGTTCAATGCTCTTTGCTCTATCTCTGCAGCGAAAGTGGTGCGGTGTTCGAACGTTTTTGAAAAAAAATATCGATAACTCCAAAAGAGCTTCAAGCATTTTAATAACATTGAGGTGATTAAAAAGGGCTTTTCCTGGCCTGTCAATTGTCAACAATACGATCTTTTACGTTATTGCTATTAGATAGTGAAAAGGGCCCATCAACGCAGTGCAAACCGCATCTCCATATCCTTATCTAAAATATGAAAAAAAAGGACAAAAAACTCAAATAAAGTTGATTTTTATAAAACGTTATATTGATATTTTAAATCCAAATAAAATGTTATTTCAGTTTTCAAATTATATAGTATTATTAATTAAGTTAAATCAATAACTTGGTCACTAATCGATTTTATTAACTATTGACTACTTATTGTATTTAAGAATGAAATATGAAAAAACATTTAAGATAACTAATAATTAAAAATAATAAATAAAACATCTCCTTTGACAGAAATCATTCATTTATAATAATCAAGATTGCCATGAAATTTTATCTTCATCTGACAAAACCACGGATAATAGAGATATATTGGCCCTGCATGTGCCGTTAATACAGGAACTTACATAGCAACTATGAAAAAAAAAGAGAAAATCATTCCCTTCTTTATGAAACTATATTATATATTATATTATACGGGCAAAACACTAATACGCATCATGGATGGCGTTGTTTGATGCTTGTCAAAGTCTCTCGGTTACCGACCGTTTTAAATGTTAGAAATTCACGTAACATTTGAATTGTCTTACTGTGGTTGTGTTTATTTCTTTAAGAATGTCTTATTTAAACCGGAGTTCATCGCAATCCATCGCGTAGAGCAAATAGTATAAGATAGATGGGAAGGCCCCCATTATTGGCAATGTTAAAAACCGTATACGAGTTTCAACGCCTCTAGTGTCCATTCATGAAAACGGAAAACGCGCGGGCCGTACGGTTCAATTCTATACAAAGTTTGAAAGGTAAAATGTGCAAAAAAAATTATGCCGAAATAGTTTTAATTTTTATCTTATTAAAATATAAATAAAGTGCTGTTATCCTTTACAAAATACTGTAGTATTTTCAGTGACGACACTGACAGTATTTTAGTACTTGGACACATATTAGAAGGCATTCGTAACAGCATACGCGACCTTCCCCATTTCAATTTTAAATATCGTTTGGTATCCTAAATAACAAATTGAGGATTTATTTGACAAATGTTTACCAAAATTCAATTTTACTTTAGTTTCATTTTCTATTATTCATATTTTGGGTTAAAATAAAGATGTTAAGATACGATTTTTCGTACGTTCCTCGGTCCTTACTTGACTTATCTAATTCAAGTCATGTCGTTGCATTTTTTTTAGAAAATGACAAAAAAAAATCCGCATCTATTTCAGATCACAGAACAATGTGTCAGACGTGGAGAATAATTTACTCAAAAGCCTTAAACAGTAAATATTTGATAATAGCATTATTCACTATTGTTAGTTTTTTCAATTATTCGACGATCTATGTGCAAATTTGTTTAAATTATTAGGTTCCCCAAGCACACGCCAGTGCAGGTATATGTACATTAATGTATTTATAAGAGACGAAATTTTTTTGACACAAATAAATTGATAAAGAGGCCAAATTTCGACTTTGGTTAATTTTTCCTATGGTTGTATTATTTTTCTTCTAGTTTTATTTCCTTTTTCATATTTTTCTATATTTTATTTTATTCTATATATACATTTTATCAATAAAGGCCATTGATTATTATTATTATTATTAAAAACCCGTTTTAGACAAGTTATAATTAAACAATATATTATATTATTATACGAAATAAGTAAACATAGAAAGTGTCGAAGAGATACAAAAAACGATGGGAAAACTTATATTTCCGATATAAATAAAACCTTACCGCGGTGTTTCGAGTTTTTCTTCTGATCCGTTTTGTCCATGTTTCCTGAAACGAAAAGTGAAAAAAACTGATTAATATTCGAATCCTCACAATACGTGAAGGGTATTTAAAATTAGACTACGACTGGAAGTGGAAAATTGCGAGAAACATTAAGGAAACGAATCATACCCAATCAAATATTGTTGATTTGAAAACCGCAACCTAGACACAACAGAATAATGACGGCCCTTACTTATAATAAATGATAGTTTTTTTCTAGGAAATATGGGGGGAACAAAAACAATTTTCTACATCGTAAAATGGAGTTTTATTTATTACCCCACGAAGATTCAAACAGCTCTCGTAGTGGGGTCGCCCTTAACTGCGGTATAAGGGAAGGAACGCAGCAAAATAGAGCAATAAAAACCACCCAAGAACGTTACTGGCATATATTTTTCTGTATCTTTGACATCCTAAATTTGTGGACAGATCCAGGGCAAGGACGAAAGAGATGGAAAAAGGAATTACGGAAGTTACCTACATCGGCGGCATTTTCTAGGCAGGCAGTTTCAATCTTTTATAGGCACCGTATATTTTTCAGATCAATTTGGATAATGTTATCTATCCATCATTCATTGCCGAACTATTTACATAGGTTCTGTTTAAACATGAATTTAGCTCAAGAGTAAAAAAAAGAGTAAAAAATCGAAAAATGTGATGACTACGTATAAGGGTGTGGGTTGCGTCACAGATTAAGCAACTGAAATCCACAGATAAAGCCCAGTTAGGGTAATCGTCCCAAAACAATAATCGGTTAAGATTTATGTAAATATAATTAAGTCTAACGACGATCCTCAAGGTCCTTCGCAATTTGTTTTTAATAGCTGAACGCATACAAGGTGATTTTGAACGATGACGACTGAAGAAATCGAGCGAGAAATTTGCTCGCGACTTTCTCAATTTGGAGTAATAAAGCGCAAATTGATTGAAAATTAACTAGTGCGTTGATGAAAACGAAAACTCACAGTAGGTGTAAATATCAATCGGAAAGCTGCTGCGAGCAGCTTTATTCAATAATAATAATAATAGTTATACAACAAAAACCGTCTGGAAGCGAATCACTTCGGTGCCTCTAAATAATAAAAAAACCCTAGTAAAGCGAGATCCCATTCGAATATTTTTAGCTGAATCGATGCAATACGGAAAAAGAACGTTATAAAATAATCTGCCAAGCAGCTTGTAATACAAAACAAAGCTTAACGCTGAATGGATATGCGAGTATCGATCAGTCGCAACAAATTTAGAAACAGCTGTAAGGATATATTTTGTTGCTTACTGTGTAAAACGATGACAACACCTGTTCGGATATAATAAATATTCTTAGGGTTTCGCATGTCATTTTTGCAATGTAAAGAAGCCCGGTGTAATTCTGCAACTTTCCAAATTGATAGCCAACACCACGAGTTCTATTTTTAACGTTGCCGATAGTTCTATTTTTACGAACAATATAGACTTTTTTTTTAAAACAATATAACCTCCATCTGGTACTATAACACACTTACCCAGTGTATTATAAAAGTAGCCGGCGGCTATTTCGATATGCCCGTATACATAAAACGAACATTTTTCGGTACACACGGTATAAAGTCGAAATTTACTTCGTTATTTAAATAAACAAAGATAAACTCCTTTTTAAAAAATCAAGTCGCTGTAATATCAGGATCGTCACACTGGCGTAACGGTTACGTCAGTACCGGGGCTTTGCAACAATTGTAAAAATACATTTTGAGGAAGTTTTAAAAACATAAGACTCGCCGATGAGCGCTGATTGCGATAAGTCTTATCTGTTGGCGCGATTGTTCATTGTTTGGTACAAAGGTTTCGTATTTGCCGAAGAGAATATCGCGGACTGATACATTAAAACGTACAATATCGAAAAAATAAATTTGCACTATGCAAAATGTTTCAATTATTCAAATTCGTTTCTGATATAGGTGTCAATCAGCTGATTCTCGCTGCTAGGAAAACGCAAAATTCTTGTCGTCTAAGCGACACTGACCAATGCTATATGGTACGAATTTAGAATAGTAAAGTAACAACTATTTATATAACGAATACACTTCAGTGAAACTATGCGGATGACAAACCTTGCTTTTAGAAGCCGTCCAGTGTTCCAAAATCAATTTTATCTAACATCGATAACTTAAATTTCACCGAGTTTTAGTGCTATCAATGTTTCGCATGTGATCCTGATAGATATGCAATGGAATATAGGAATTACAATTGGATAAACAGGCAAATGCAAATAAAACGACTTAGATAAAACAAAGCAAATACACTTATCGGAAGAATAGCGAAACTTAAAGAGTTATCGATAGAACAGTAGTCCAAAAAAAAAAAGAAATCGCATGTACAGAATGTATGTTAATCGGGGTTGTTTCGGAAAATAACAAGTCTGCACAAGTTTTGGGACCAACACAAATAGGAGAGGCTTAATATATTTTATTAGCACTTACCTATACTTTTGTCGCGTAATTAGATGAGTACCACCCGGCGAAAGCAAACTGAAGAGCAGGTTTTTGAACTAAAGTATTGTCTTAAACATTAATCTTTTTGGGTATATCACATTTTGATCTATCACAGTCATTTCGAAAATATCAAGAACAAAGTTGTTTCTGGGGCACTAAGCAGTAACACGAGTATGACGATTTGTACCGGAATAGCAACAAATACATCAAACTAAAACTGATTGCAAACTGTCTCGAGTTTAGAACTTCCCTTCAGGTGTCATTTCAATCCCATATTCCGTGATTAGATTGAGAACGGCTTGAAACGCCATTACGCACTGTGCCGGCCAACGTCATTTATCAGTAAACAATTCATCAAAGTTTACGACGAAATTCAATAAAATGCACTTAAATAAACACAAGTGGACATCCACTACACAAATCTAGCCTAAAACGTTCATCCTATGCTAAGAAAACACCATATTCATACACTCTTCTTTACGGACAGTCTGCCGTGCAATTGACTTTTGGGTCAAAACATTACTGGGCATGCGCCGAACTCCCACAAAATTCCCAATGTCATTCGTCAGCGAAAAATCCGAAAATTTGATTTTTTTCATTCTTTGGCGAAACTTTTCTTTAGCAAACGCTTCTCGTTTGTCTCGACAAACATCGTTTCAAAGAGAAAAAATCGTTCCACAGCCTTCTATAACGACAAACCCTAAGAATTTACTACGAAATGAAAGGTGTGGTGAATCATATGGTCTGTTGCTATGGCGACGTTTAATTAATAACATTTTGAATATTCGCGCGCATCATAAATTCCATTGTTTTAGAAAAGAAAAATATTTTTAATACTTATTAGAACACTCTGTTGAAAATACCCTACAGAAAAATTGCGATGGCTCTTTTTTATAACTAACAACAACTTTTTATTAAAAGTAGAGGTTATATCCAATATATATATATATATATATATATATATATATATATATATATATATATATATATATATATATATATATATATATATATATATATATATATATATATATATATATATATATATATATATATATATATATATATATATATATATATATATAATTTAATGGACTCGTTACAGTTGTTCCGCTAGAATAAGGTATGACTTTCCGATGATAATATGTATTATGCAACCAGAACAACAGGAATTTTTGCAGTTGTGCAAAAGTGTGTAGCTCTTCTTCGCTCACAGGCCTTTAACTGATAGTGATTTGTTAGGTATTTTTGAAAACCGTCTCCCACACATGCAATTAAATATTTCTGTTTAAAATTTTTTCTGATCTGTGTTCGCTTTCCTTTTTTTGTATATCCTTCGTAGAAACTATGCTACGCTACATCGTCGGCAGTATAATAATATTGTGACAACCTTAACAAATATTTTTATTTTTTTTAAATAAGTTAATAACAAAAAATACAATAAAAGCTGTTGGCAATTTTATCCTGTGGTGGGTTTTTAAATGTTCTAGAACGTAGTCCATCTTCCATTCATTTTAAAAGTTTGCTTTTAAAAAAGAAAATTGTATTTTGACAAAATGGCCAGCCATAGTCCTAGTAAAAAGTTAAGAAGATTGTCTAATTCCCACAAAGTGGCTGGATTTAACGTGGAAATTCAAAACGCCGTGGAAGAAATAGATTCACTTCAAAGGGAGTTGGATAAAATTAATGAGGATGCCAGTCAAGAAATTTTGCAGCTCCAACAGAAACATAACCACATCAGAACGCCGTATTTGCACAAACGGGTCCAAATTATCAGCAATATTCCCAACTTCTGGTTTACAGCTGTATCCTTTTTATTCAAATGCTCAAGTGATTCTGGCATGAGGAAATTGATTTGTTTCACTACTTGAAGAATTTAATAAGGAAGTGTCAGGAGATGTTATAAAATTCTATTTTGATGAAAATCCGTACTTTGAGAATATTTGTCTTACTAAAGAACTCCATCTCCGCAAGGGTAAACCTATGACCACAATATTTCCCAAAATATTTGCCCAAAAAATTACATTTTCAGAAGTTCCCTATTCCAGAAGTAGAACAATCATCTGGAACGGACAGCAATTGGGCTTTCATCATCAGGAAGTGAACAAGTCAAGAAAACGACGCTTAAAATCAATGAATCATAGTTTCTTTAGTTGGTTTAATAATAATGTTGATCCACACACAGATGATATTGCATTCATCATCAAAGTATGTAGTTTTGGGTTAACTTTATTTTTTTTAGTATATATATTTTTGGTTTAAATTTTTAAATAGGATGACTTGTGGTTAAGTCCACTTAAGTACTACCTCGTTGCTCATAGTGAAGAAGAAGTGAATGGAATAGGAGGTGATGAGAATAATAGTGAAATATAAAGATGAAGTGGGTGAGAGCAACAACAGATCATCATCTACGCGTAAGTTTTGTGTTTTAAAATAACTGAAATATGTGTATAAAGTGCAACTTATACTTTTCAGTGGCTGGATATTTTGATGTGAGTGCAATTTAGATAAGTATTTGTTTCCTGTTATGTACAGGTTATAATTCTATATAAGTTTATTTTTGTAAAGAAGTACTTATCTGAAAGGAATAAAGTTTTGCATTAGCGGTGTATTTTTTCAAAAATAACATTTGTGGCAACCTACACACTACACGGGCAACGTACATTTCAAAAAAAAAATCTATTTAAGTACAAAACATAAATCTAACAACGAATTACTTTAAAATGAAATCTAATGAATAACAGAACACAAAACAATTCTCTACCCTAAACCCCTAACTGCGTTGCGCTACTGTGGGTACTGCGTATCGATCGCGTCTTTCCAAGAGAAATCAGCAGATTACGAACGTGAAGTTTTATCTTATCTTAAGCGCATTTGATCCATCTATTAAAAGCCCAAAACGAATTTTTTGCCTACTCTTAATAGTACCATACTCAATTGTAAAAGGACAACATTTTAGTATAGCAAATAACTTTAATGCTTTTCATTACATGCAGAGGTTATAACCAATATATATATATATTTTTTAAATTAACTTTAAATTTAACGAATTGATTCTAGTTATTAAGCAAGGATATTGATGAACTGCTTTTACATACAAAATTTGAGATTCCCATGGCAATACGTGTTATGCAACCAAACCGACAGGAAATTATCTGCGGTTTTGCAAAATGGTGTGGCTGCTCGAGTTTGCAGGCTATTTTTGGTCCTTCGAGTTGGATTAATATAGTCTATTCTTTCTCTAATAATGATTTGTTAAGTATCTTAGAAAACTATCTCCCACACTTGCAATTAATCATTTCTGTTTCTGTTTAATCTTTTCTTATCTGTGATCGCTTTAATTTTTTTTGTACATCCTTCGTTGAAGCTAGTATAATAATATAATAAAAATATTTTTAAATTTGTCTAAAGTAACTTAATTAAAAAAGACAGTAAAAGGGGGTCTACAATTTTATAGTCCTTGGTCCGTACGTACCAATATATTTGTCGTGGGTTTTTTAATATTTTAGAGTGTAGCGCTCTTCGATCCGTTGTAAACGTTTGCTTTTAAAAAAAAGTGTATATACTCTGACAAAATGGCCAGCGATAGTCCAAGTAAAAAATTAAAAAGATTGTCTGATTCCGACAGAGTGGCGGAATACGATGTGGAAACTCAAAAAGCCTTGGAAGAAATAGATTCACTTCAAAACGAATTAGATAAAATTAATGAGGAAGCCAGTCAAGAAATTTTGCAGCTCGAACAGAAATATAACCATATCAGAACGCCGTATTTGGACAAACGGACTCAAATTATCAGCAATATTCCCAACTTCTGGGTTACAGCTGTATCCTTTTCATTCAAATACTCAAGTCATTTTGGCATTGGGAAATTGATTTATTTTCTTTCGTTTTGCAATTACCGATATACATTGTCCTTATATTAATAGATAATGAACCATCCTGATCTAAGAGGACTTGTTGGAGGCTCTGATGAAGAGGATTGCTTGCATCATTTAACAAAACTTGAAGTTGAAGAATTTGATGACATAGTGTCAGGCCATGTTATAAAATTCTATTTTGATGAAAATCCATACTTTGAGAACTCAGTGCTTACTAAAGAATTTCATCTTGGAGAGGGTAGACCTTATGGGGACAATATTTTTTCTCCAATAAATAGACATTTTTAGAAGTCCCCAATTCCAGAAGTACCGCTATCGTCTGGAAAGAAGGCCAGCAATTAGGTAGTAATCATCAGGACGTCAACAGGACTGGCACAAGGAAAAGACGCTTGGAGTCAATGAAACATAGTTTCTTTAGTTGGTTTAATGATAATGTTGATCCATATACAGATGATATTGCAGACATCATCAAAGTATGAAATTTTGGGTTGACTATTAATTTTGTTTGGTATATATTGTTTGTTTCAATTTTTAAATAGGATGACTTGTGGTTAAATCCTCTTCAGTACTACCTCGTTGCTGATGGCCAAGAAGAAGAGAATGGAATAGGAGATGATGAGAGTAGTAGTGAAGATAATGATGAAGCAGGAGATAGTAACAACAGGTCGTCATCTACATGTAAGTTTCATATTTTAAAATAATTGAATCTAATCTAATGTGGTAACTCATACTTTTCAGTGGATGCATCTTTTGATGTGAGACCGATTTAGATCAGTATTTGTTTTCTGTTATATATAGGTTATAATTCTATCTATGTTTATTTTTGCAAAGAATTAAATTTTGCTTTAGTTACTTATCTGTATTAAATAAAGTTTTGCATTGGCTGTGTCTTTTTTCAAAAAAAATTGTACCTACCTATAGTGCCAACCTATCCTAAAACCGTTTGCGATCCTAATCTGTTCGCGCCCATTATCTGAATTTTCGCTATTTTGGTAAGTACAAATCCAAGGCCTAACAATGAATTACTTTAAAATCTAATCCAACAATTAACAGAATACAAAATAACCATTCGGTACCCTAAACCTTTAACTGCGTCGCGCTACCGCTTCTACTGCGCATCTATCGCGTCTTTCCGTGAGAAATCAACAGATTACAAGTTTTAATTAAAATTGTATCTCTGTCCTAAAACGGAATAAAGGCAGAATCAGTAACGTCTTTCATAGACGATTTAAGACTTCAGCGCAATTGATTCGTATATTAAAATTTCAAACGATTATTTACAACACTAATGTAAATAGTCGGATTTTACCTCTTCTTAATCGTACCATGACGTTTAGGTACTGTCTGATTAAGGTTAACAGGAATAACCATCCAATGGAACTGCCGAACGTATTTGAAAGTGAGCAAAATAAATGTGGCTCCATATCCTGACAATAATTTTTGAGTCAGTTAATTTTACTTTTTTGTGTTGGAAGAAAATATGTAAGTAATGTGAAAAACAAATAAGTGTTAAGGCATTCTGGAAGAGAAAATGATCTGTAAATTTTAAATTACTCTAATACAAATTATAGCCTGTTTGCTGGTGTTGAAAGATCGTCATTTTAAATATGCACGTTCAAATGCGAAGGTTGCATTTTTTGTATAAACGTAATCTATGCGAAACACGGAGAAGGTGCTATTGGGACTACCAATATATACAAAGAAGTAAAATCCCAACGATGCATTTCCAAGCTTCTCTACCAAGACTTCCAATTCCCAAGCTGGAATTAACGTGCGAAAGGTACTTAGCTGCTCAGAAACCACTGTTAATAGATGAAGCCTATAGAAAAACTGAGGCGAATGTTAATCATTTTAAGGACAATGTTGGAAAACATTTGCAAAAATTATTGAGGGATTTTGATAAACAAAACAAACATACCAGCTATATATCGGAGTTTTGGTTTGATAACTATTTAAGAGACAGGAAACCAATACCTATAAATTATAATCCTATGTTGGTAATGAATAATGATGAAAGGGAGCAGTACAACACTCAGTTAATAAGAGCAGCAAATCTTGTGATTAGCAGCCTAAGATTTTATAAATCGCTACATAGTAACTGGTTGGAACCTGAAGTCTATCATCTCGATCCTCAAAAAAGTGATACTGAAATGTTCCGCAATATTTGTGCTATGCTTCCCCAATCATTATCGTGGTATGGAGCCTATTTATTTAAGGCCTATCCCCTAGATATGAGTCAGTATCCAAACCTATTCAATTCAACTAGAATACCTGAAACAGATATAGACAGGCTTGTTAAAGGCAAAGGAAGGCACATTACAGTACAGCATAAGGGTCATATTTATGCATTTACAGCGCTTTCAAAAGAAAACCAAATATTACCGCCTGAACAGATTTTAGCAAGACTGAAATATATCTTAGAAGACGACATACCAAAGAATACATTTCCAATTGGAGTTCTAACAACTCTAGAACGAAACAAGTGGGCTACAGTAAGACATGAACTGGCTGAAAATGGAAACCAGGCGACTTTAAAATTAATCGACACCGCATTGTTTAATATTTGTCTTGATGATGAATACGTTAATGATGACCCTTACGCCATTATAAGAAATTTCCTTCATTCCGACGGTGAAAATCGGTAAGAAAATAATTTTATTTCAATCTTATAAACAGCTCCGGTTTCAATTTTAGATGGTTTGACAAGTCATTCTCTTTACAAGTTAGCAAAGATGGAGTGGCGGCTGTCAATTTCGAGCATTCTTGGGGCGATGGCGTAGCTGTATTGCGATATTTGCAGGATATATACAAAGATTCTATTGAAAACCCAGTAATTCATTCCGAAACCAGGCCCTACGACGAAGACATTAATAACATTATAAGACTAGGTATTTTTATTTGTTGGAAAACCAGAAGATGAGATCGTTTTCAACGGGTTAATATATTTTTAAGACATGAACTTAAGTGACCGACTAAAGGTGCACATAGAGGATGCGAAAAGGGAATACAGACTCTTTTACAGTAGCCTTGACTTTGATTATTTAATCATGGATCGGCTAGGGAAGAACCTTTGTAAGAAACAAGCTGTTAGTCCAGATGCGATCGTACAACTCGGAATACAAGTTAAAATTATCCATTACTACTAGGAATAATTATTTATCAAAATATAAATTTTAGGTGGCTTATCATAAAATGCAGGGAAAATTTGTGCCCACCTACGAATCATGCAGTACGGCTGCTTTTAAGCATGGCAGAACAGAAACTGTCAGATCTTGTACCATGGCGACTAAGGCTTTTACTTTGGCGATCAACGCTCAACAAAAACCGCCACTAAATGAACTAAAAATGATGATCGCCGAGTGCTCAAGAACGCACAGTCAGCTTACAAGGGAGGCTGCCATGGGGCAAGGATTCGATCGGCATTTATATGTTTTAAAAAAATTTGCTGAGAAAACCAACATGACGTGCAACATTTTCGATGATCCCGATTATGCCTATTTGAACCGTATTATACTTTCAACGAGTACTCTGACATCGCCAGTCATATATGCTGGAGGATTTGGACCTGTAGTTCGCGACGGCCTAGGAGTGGGGTGTGTCTTTTTGAAAAAAAAAATTGATTAATTAATTTCATATTTTTAATTTTAGGTATACTATTAAAGACGACCAACTCCGAATCTTGGTTACTTGTTATCCACCGTATCATAGCGCCTCAAAGGGCATTGATGCCTTGCGACAGTCCTTTGAGGAACTGACAGCGATACTGGATACGAATTAGCCTTAATGTATCTTTAAATTTACCTCGTGTATTAAAAAAAAAGTGTATTATTATATTTTGCACCGTTAAAACACAATAAATTTTTGATTTTTGATAGATTTGCTGATGGAAGTTATTTTACTTGCCCTTTATTGACTAGATATTATTAACGTGCTAGTTAATTGTAGACCAATTAACAGAAAGCAAAAATTAAGAACTAGTAAGTAGTTTTTAATGTACAAATGTATTTAAATGAAATATTTTCCATTTTATTTTATTACTTGCAACAATTTTAGAGGTATTAAACAATCATCAAAAATTGTAATTTACACCGCTTTCAAAAGTAACAGAAAATTTATAAATTACTGTCTACGTAGACACGAGTTAAAAAAATGCAAAAAACAGTAAAATATAACGATGGTGTATTATTTTCTTTTCAGTTTATAAAATTTGTCTGGGAACAAATTAAATCACTAATTACAGGTACGTATTTATATATTGTGAACGTTAAAAAGGTTGTCGTAAACTAAAACATGAGTCAATGAGTAAAACATCTAAAAAAGTGTTTATGTTGGGCAAATATATCCGGAACTTAATTCAATCTGTTTGAACTCACTATTGGACTTGATGGTTTTCTTATTCATCATATTTTATTACCAATTACGTATTATTACACACTGAATGACGTCACTGTTAAAATAGAACGCGGATTAAATAAAACAACGGCATTATAATAAAGAGAAATGTATTTAAATCCTATTAGTATGATATATAAACATGACTTAACGCTACATACAATCACATCTTTGCTAGAAGTTAAAACAGTAGTTAGTCAATCTTAGCAGGGTAATTTTGTGTGTAAACTGAAAAGTCGAATCTTATATTTTCCTTCCCACAAAAATCTTTTGAAAAACCATCGTGAAGTGTTAAAGGATAGCGACGACGATAAGAAAATAAAAACAGGCGAAAGGTGGTTTAAAATCAAAGTAAAATCCAAGACGAAGATAGTGAATATTTTCGTTAAACTTATATACGAGATCAAGCCCTATTTTGCAGCAGTCGGCAGTTGATGGTTATTACAACTAATTAATTAAAACTAATAGCAAAAAACAGGAAAATGTCATATTTGCTTTTTATTTATTATCCAGAGACGTCCGTTTCTCCGAATAAGTGACTATTTAATTTTTCTAAATAGACATTCTAAAATTAAGTGAAAACAAATTAATATTTAAAAGTTCCGTTATATATAACGATTTACGTTGAAAATTAATTCGCAATTAAACAGCTATTTGAGATAAAATTTACTGAAGCAATTATGGGACGCAGAGTTTTTTGTATGTCAACATATTTACTGAAGAACCCAACTTAATAGACCTCATTTTAAAGTTTCAGATATTTTTAAAGTACAGAGTTTTCATTTATATTATTAAAGGGGATACGGGGGATACGCAAGGACGTTTTACATAAAAGCCTGTGCAGCACTCTGTATATATGGTCGGACAGTATTTGGATTTTTGAAAGTATTAAATTTTGCTAAATAATCACCATCATTGTTGCCTTCGAAATTAAAACATTGTAAATTCTGATGACACCCTGGTATTAATAGTGTCACTCAGACTGATTATAATTCCTACAAACACTATTTGTTTATCATATAGGTTATTCAGAATACCAAAAATCTTGAAATAATTAGTCTTTTTTATTCAAACAATGAAAACGTTTAGTGAAAATTGTTTCAATAACGGCTAAACTAAAATATATATTTATGAAAACGGGAAACAAAGAACTTTTACAATGAGTAAAAATATAAGTGCTATGAAGTTGGTGATATATTTATCTTTACGACCATCATGCTTTTACTGTTATGTTCAGAAAATAATCGAGAAAAAAATCACAAAACTTTTATATAAAAAGTGTTTAACTACCGCTTTTAATAAACTCTGTAGGCGGGCTGTGGTCATAGCTCGGGTCTAAGCAGAGATGGACCTCTGAACAAGCTTGTTACTTATGCTTGCGAAACGTTAGGAAACAATGCTAACCAACAAAGGCCTTTAGACCGGAATCAGAACAACAGCTCATCAACTGGCGGCAATTGCGTTAACCATTTGTCTGTGGGTGGGCGTCATAAAATGTACACAGAATAAAAATGGCCGAATTTATTCTCAACGTAAATCACGCATTACAAAAATGTTCGAATCACGGGTGAAGTGAATGTTATGCTGCAAATTAGTATAACAGGTGCTTCGTTTTTTTTTAAAGGTGATACGAACATTTATTGTTTCAAATAAACACATTTAGGAAGTTTTGTAAAATGTGTGCGTTCAGGAAGTAGTCCTTTTTCAGTCAAAAACTTACTTATCTAAAATAAAACGAAATAATAGCAAAACACATATGAAAAGTGCTCGAAATACTGCAATTAAAAAAAAAAGAGGTACAGTATTTTTGTCCAATACATTGTTTGCCTTTAATGATTAAGGTTTGAATGAGAGTGCCGAAATTACATCCCCTAAATCAATATATTTACAATTAAACTCTAATAATTACAGTTTGGACAACTTACTAACGTATTGATTGGCTTGCTTCAGTAGGCACTCTATTTACACAGCCAGAAGAAAAAAACAGTTAATTGTAGAAATTATTTAAAAAAAAAAACGAACTTTCTTCGGAGGGAAACAATATTTCTGGCTCTTAATGCGGCTTCAATTTGCTTTGGGTTGTGAGTAGATCACCACTGCTAGTGATTCACACCACGTAACTATTGTCCGTACAAATCTGCTATTTTAACATCGATCCTAAATTCGCTAGTCAGGCCAATGTAAACAGTCGTTGCACATAAGAAAGAACTGTTTTTAGGATACCCTGACACCACGTTTATCCTTACGGTACCATTGGGCAATGAAAAGTACCCTAGATACAAAAAGAATTCTAAAAGCAAAAAAAAAAAAATGGGGATACTTTCCATCAATCCGTCCGGTACCTACGCAAACATTTTCGTAAAGGGCAGTACGAATATTAAACAAACAAAAAATCAGAAAATACTAGTTTTCTAAAACACCTTGTACACATTAGAACTACGCATTTATATATATGTACACACATACTTTAGAAGTAAAAAACGAAAGCAAAACTCAAGGCGACTCAAAATTATTTTTAAGCTACTCATATATATCAGTATAAACTAAAATTATAACTTATCACAAAAACGCCGTCTAATTACCACTAGTAAAATAATGGGAACATCCTAATCCTTCCCAGTTAGTTTATATACATCGGTTTATTGGTTGCGTTCTAATTTATACTGACCAATATGGTTTTCGCACTGTTATATTTATCGACCATTGAGCAACTCATTGTTTAAACGGCTTTACACATAACTGCCGAGCATTAACAAAACAAGAAACACCCTCCATCGGAGCTCGAAGCGTTACTCGTCTCTCTTGGACTACTTGACATTCGGTGACGACCAGCATACGAGTTTCGGGTGTATATAGAACGGGCAAAAGAAAAACAGGTATTGGGATTTACGACCAGGGTGTCCTTTCTTGCCTATGTTAATATTCGGTGACGTAACTTACTAGCATAGCGCGTTTGGTAGTTATACATATATGAATGATCTCGTAAAACAAAGATTCCAAGTAAACTTAAAGATCGAAAAATCACTCTAATGACGTTAAACTGATATTAGGTACCTAATATCACTGTTTTATCACAAACAAAATTTTTTTTTGGATTTAAAAGTAGGTACAATGCAACTTCGTTAATCTGAACATACACGATCATTTTAAAGTTCCAAATGTGTTTTCATTGATTGAGTGTTTTATTACCAAAATATTGTTAACATCACGTTACATGACATTATATATGTATATTCGAAACATTTGGGTAAACCAAATTTTAATTTAAAAAAAGACCTTATAAAAGGAATTTTTCAAAATTCCAAAACAAGTGATATGTATAAGGTTTGTTTATGCTAAAAAATGTCAGTCTGTATTGTAGTCATTTTTGACATTTTCACCAAGTTCCAAGAATGTAATGTAAAAATAATCAAATACTCTTATTATAAACTTATTTTTATTTGGTTATATCTTATAACATATTTAAAAATGTTCAACTAGTATGAGAATCCAAAAAACTTTGCTTTCCTAATACTCTGGGGTAAATGGCAGTATTCTTGAACATTTATTATACTGTATACAGGGTTTTGCAGAATTAATTAATCAACAATAATTAAAATATAGTTTCCTATATAAACATTTCCTTTCCTATATGCACGGTATTGAAATTCTAAGAAAAAAAGTATATTTTTTACATAATTTTCAAACCAACCGAGATTTTCATTAACATTTTATGCATTGCTTTCAAGAAGCCAAAGGTCTTTATTGATGCAAAATCCTTTACAGAAATAGTTTGAAACTTTAGAGTATTAATTTTTAATAATTTTATCATGAAATGGTTTTTTATTTTTATTCTACTGAAAAGGGTGCAAAAAAATCAACAGATCAAATTTGTTTCATGGGGATTTCATTGCATTTAAGGAAAAGGCAGTGGCGCACCGTTTTTTCTTTGAATTTATTCCATACAAATCTGGTACGGACGGCACTGGCAAATGTTTTAAAAAAAATTTCGCGTCAAAAAAATTATTGTGTTGCTCGAAATATGTTTATATAGGAGACTAGGGTTTACTTTGGTCCTGCATTAATTTCGGAACGCCCTGTTTATTTATCTAAACATACCTTAACGCTTGCTTTTAGAATAATTTTTTTTATGAATTAGAAATGTTGGAATTAATGTACAGTGGTACCTTATTTTGTTTTACTGGAAGGCCCTATAAATATATATATTTTTTCTCCGATGATGGAAGATATACTTCACCCTTAATTTCTAAAAATATTTAAAAAATTATTTAAATTTGAAATTTCAAAATTAAATATAAAAATCCATACTTTTATAAGCCGTTTTCGAATTACGTCAATTAAGTTTAAAATTTTAAACTTAAATAATTCAAAAGTGGTTTATTGCAATAACAGCAACATAAGTATTTTAGAAATCTGGAAAAAAATATAGGGAGTTCTATTAAGTAATATAACTTGCGACGCGAATATGCTTTTTTTTTTAAGTTTAATGCAAAAATACGAAAACCGACCCTGTACATTCCTATGCTTTTTTTGTATTTTCTTGTTCGCATTAACGAGGTTGCAGTTCATTAGGAAGGTATTTGTAGATATTTACAACAAGCTCCAAGAAGTTTTCAGCAAAGCTCGCGGATACCAAAACAGTATAAAAGTACAAATGAAATTTAAACCGATTTCTATGTCAATTAAGTAGATATTACACAGATACAAATTGGAAAAAAAATCGTCTTAATTAAAAAGAAAACTAATAGTCTTTTCAGTAGATAACCTAAATAAAGGCAGTTTTAAATATTACAAAAAAAAACACAATGATATCTCCTTATTGCACACCTAAAATGACGATGAAAATGATAATAAATATCGCGAAAACGTGATGAAAACGTGGTGAAATAAATGTATAAATAATTAGAAACACATCGTCCTAAAAAAAGTAGTGAAAAATCGTCAACTTTACGAATTATTAATCAATAATCCAAGGATTATCGAGACTCTTTTTAAAAAAATACTCATCAAAGTGCAATACTCCAAAATTACAATAAAAAAAAGTCCCAAATTACTCGACAGATCCTAAATATAAGACCGTTTTATTCGCGCAGTTTCTGTCAACTTGGCAACGTCTACAACCCATGGGGATGGCGGGGAAATACCGAAGTAAACTTAATGGGTTTGGATATTCAAATGGAGATTTGACTTTATATTTACGGCAAAGTTTGAAAAAACTATTAGAAAGTCCAGCGGATATTTTTTCCATTCCCTCTCCCATCGAATACGAAATAATTATTCCCGTGGAAGCGATCACTGTGGTCGCGAAAATTGAAAACGGTTTTACTATTATTGTCATGTTTCGCGTTTAACCTCGAACCTGGGGGGAGAAAAAAAAACCTGCGGAGGGAAAAACAATCCAGCATATTTTCACAGTCAACTGCAAAGATTTAAACATCGATCCTGTCATAACGTCCGCACCTAAAATGTATCCAACGGTAATAAGCCCATAAGGCTGCGACGTTACACTGTCGTATGGTATGCCTTTCAACACAACACTTATACAAAAAGTAGTATTTACCAGGTCATGCATCTCCCTCTTGCGTTTTGGGGGTTCGTGGACCGGTAGATGTGCTCCTGGACGCTCCCGCGCTATTTTGATCTTTCTCGTTTGGTGGCCTCGGAAGTCTTCTTCGAAGCCACGCGTGACGTAAGGCAGCACTGGGAGTCATCCTTTGCTCGGGATCCCATTCAAGGCAGCGCTGGATAAAGTCCAGAAACAAGGGATCGTCGCACCCCTTAAGAGCCCGTTTGAGATCCTTACCGCCTGGCGGACCACGCGGCTTACCCCTCCGACTTAAACCACCCGATAACACCACCGTACCTAATTAGTATCAAGATTTTAAAAAACAACGATAAATTCATCAGAATAACTAACCGTCAGCTAAAGTCGAACATGTGCAGTATCTGGGGATCCCTTTAGAACTGATAAAATTTTTGGCCCGCTTTGATTGGTCGAGGAGCTTTTGTGGGGGCAATCCCAGAAGTTCCATGATGCAAGCTAATTGATCGGCTTCATCTTCGCCAGGTAATAGGGGAAATCCGGTCAATAATTCGGCTAATATACAACCCAACGACCACATGTCAATCGGCATGCCATATTTGGCACCCAATATTACCTCCGGGGCACGATAAAATCTCGACTGTATGTAGGTATACACCCTATTATTTTCGTAACATGACGATCCAAAATCAATTACCTGGCAATAAAGAGAAAAAATGTATACAAGCATGATTTCATTTTATTTTATTCATAAAATTAATAAGTCGGGGTTTAGAGCAACTGAAGAGCATAAGGGAAAAACGAACCAAAATATCTAAAATCAAGCATGTTGTGCTAAATGGTAGTTCAGCATGTACATTGTATTTTCTTTATATCAAAGTCTATGGGAGTTGCCGAACATGCCTAACAATAGGAGTGATGAAGAATTTGATATTAAGTTTACTGATCATTGACGACAAGTAAAATATTTTCCGCTGTTATTTTTGCTATTTATTTTACAATAAAACACATGCAAACATTTTGGTGAAACGCTGATGACCGGCCGCTTGAAAATGAAACTTTAAAACAGAACGTTATATAAAGGCAAAAAAAGTTTAAATTGCGATTTATCTTAAGTTAATATTGAATTTTGATGTAAGCTATTCTAAACTACGATTTTGAGTTTTGATTTCTGATATAATTTTAAATTAAAAAAAAAAACACGTCCAAATTTTTTTGAGTTTTTAAGTTTGTCTAGTCAAAGACAAACATCCGATGGGAAAAACACACTATACAAGGCAAACTAAGCAAATAAAACAAAGCAAAATATTTTATCTTCAATGAAAATCTAATAGTATCAAAATAGAGACGTCTACATTTAAATTCTATATTTAAATGTAGCCATAAATAAAAAACATTTTTAAACTTCCTTAAGTTTAACAAATCTATTTTTATCGCCTGTTTGGTTTTGTTGTTAATGACAAGGCGAAAACTCATTTTTTTTTCTTGAACAACCTAGGAAAGAATTCAGCAGTTCATCAATCACGCTGAGAAAAAACGGGACATGCAACAGGCAGTATTGGACAACACAGTTCTTAAATTCTTTACTATAAATAAACCCAGAAATCAAACCAAAAAAATGATGTAACAAATTTAAGCTATGCAATATAGACAATTAAAATAAACCCGACCCATTAGTTTAATAAAAGAAGTATGTACTCACTTTAAGACCGCTACGTCCTTGTTGCTTAAGAAGAACATTTTCGGGTTTCATGTCACAATGGATTATCTTGTTGCGGTTGAGGGCATCCAAACATAAGAGTAAAGAATGACTGAATTTTCTCACAAGCTGCAGACTGAAGCCTTGAAATTTATTTTTTTTTATAAGTTCGTACAGGTTTATGGAGAGTAACTCAAAAGTGATGCACATGTGGTTTCTAAATGTAAATGAATCGAGCATATGAATTATATTCATAGTGTTATCTTTGTCTTGTTTCCTTAGATGCTCTAAAATCCGAACTTCCTCCTGAGCTTGTCTGTGGAACCTCTTCTCATTCCTAACCATTTTGAGTGCCACATGCATATGATTCTTGTGATCATAAGCTTTTACCACTTGTCCAAATGAACCTTTTCCAATGCATTTAAGTACTTCATACCTATAAGCAACATGATCATGAGGAATGTGAATATAAGACCCTTGGTCATTGTCATAGTCAGAATTGTTAGGATTCCCTATAATTCCAGGTCTTTTCTTAGCGTTAGCTCCTATAAAATAGATCTGCGGATAGTTAAAAATTTCATGATGCTCGTAAGGTGTTAATTTATTCATAAACAATTTCATAACTTGCTCAGGAGTTGCTAAAGTAGTCCTTGGCTTGCAGTCACCACTGATATTAGTCAAAGACACTTGTGAAGTTTTGATAGGAGTTGTCACAGTGCCACTTCTTGCTAAACATTGGAGGGCACAAGTAGCCCCTACATTTAATTCGGGAAGACCAGCGGAGTTTGCTGAACTCGCAGTTGAAGCAGCAGGGGGACTTTGTTCTTTCAGTGAGTTTTTGTTTAGAGGGGGCAAATTACCACCCCCACCCTCTTGTATGTATGAATGTGAAGTTACAGGAAAAAGTTGCGTCCGTGACATCGGCATCTTCAGAGTGTTGGTGATGACAACACTGGACATTTCAATTTCTAAGCATTTCTAACTTAATTCAGAGGTTGTTATCCAACCATTTGAGCAAGTTAATAAAACCCAACTACTCATGCTTCAGTCAAGCAACTGGCTTCTCTTAAAAATACACCTATTCGCGTCACCGGAACTAATTGTGTGAACAACTCTTCAATATCACAATACAAATTCGAATTGCCAAGCACCCTCTCAATCATAACAAAACTTTCGTGAACTATTACCCCGTGTGCATCGTTTCTGTCATAATCACATCACACTATAAATTTTTCCTCGTTCCAGCGACATTTTTCTTTGGTTTCTTATTCACTGTATGGTAGGTTAACTTTGAATGTTTCCGTCGAAGCTCGGACAAATAATTTTTACCAGCATTTCAGTTTAAAATTAATAATGTTTGAACAAAGGCTTTGGATTATTTTACAGCCATATTTTTCAAGCCAAAGAAATTGTCAAGTTTTATTTGCTCAAAGCGCATGATCACTAAAAATTTCATTTGGATTTCTATCCCTCGGTTATTTTCGGCAGCAACGCGAAATACAGCAACAGGATCGTAATTGGAACATTTAGTGATGGCTAATGTGGCTAATCAACATGACCTCTACAACAAGGTGGTGAAATGACAGATTGTAAATAATCGATAAGTCATCACAAAAAGGAATATAAATGTCGATCGCTATAGGGTTATATGTTCGTTTATACGAGTTATTCGATACTGAAAAAGCGACTAAATAACAGAAATAGTATTCACTAAAACGCGTGAATAGTTTAGCCGTCGTTATCACTCTCACAATTAGTGTGTGAGATCAAAATATTTGATATTAGGAACGCCACGCAGCTAGATATATCGCTTCCTTAATGTGATGATGTGTTGGCTCATACTTCAGCTTTTAAGACAATAAGCATTATGCAATAATTAGTGCATAGTAACAATTTGATTTTTGGCACAATGTGGTATTACTGTCCTGAACATTTCAAGTTGGTTGCACTCATAGGCGGATTTTTGATGTCGTCACAGTTAAGGATTCAAAATAACGCGCCTAAAAACAAATCCAAATTTCGATTGGGATTATTGTCCTTTAACCTTGACTTAAAATCCTCAGGTCATCGACATACTTGTTTCAGCTTAATAATATGCAATGACCATATAATAATATTAATTTTTATAGTCAAGATTTAATAATTAAGAGTGTTAAAAGGGTAACCGCAGTAATTTTCTAGAAACACTAAACAACTAAGCCAAACTGAATTACATAGTTCGTAATTAAATGGGCAACAATTTATAAAAAGAATACAGCATTTTCTTAAATTAACGTAATTACTTAATAGCATTTCAGAGTTGCTTGCGTTTGTATAGTGATAAGTTTAGTTTAAATAATTATAGCCTTCTTTGATGTTTTCCCATGGATAGGAAATGGGCCTAACATAACCTCAACTCTCCGAACGAAGAAGAAGTCAAACTTATAGCATTTTGTAAACTGTCATGTTAAGTTGACGGGGGCGTATGTATTTATGTTTTACAAACGAGACAATACATAAAAAAATCATTTTGATATACTCCTAGCATAACAGACGATGTAATCTACTAAATCGCTAAATTTAGGAAGAGTAGGAGATGATTTTGATAAGATTTCCTTCAGGTTAACCAATACCAATGTTTGGATGTATTTTTTATATAGTTTAGGCAACTAAAGATGGTATTTCTGCACTACTGGAGATATATATGAAAAAAGAAATGCAAGCGAAACGTCGCTATCTTTTAGTATTCGTTGTGGCGTTCTTAACCCTATGGTATTTTGGTGGCTATCATTTACGGCACAATTTCGATTCCAACATAGATGTAAAGAAGCAGCTACCAGATTTTGTCAATTTAAATATTTTAGAGACTGGTTATACAATTGGTAGGAATCGAAAACATGTTGAAGATGTTCCAAAAAGTTATTGCCGCATGGAAACATGTTTTGATTTTACCAGATGTGAAAAAGACTTCAAAGTATATGTGTATCCTCAAGAGGATAGCAGTGTACCTAGTCCGTCCTATTTAAAGCTTCTCAATGTTTTATTAGAGTCACGTTACTACAGCTCCAATCCAAAAGAAGCTTGTTTATTCATCCTTAGCATAGATACTTTGGATAGGGACCGTTTGAGTAATGATTATGTTCGAAACATGCAAAGCAGGCTGCAACGTTTGCCACATTGGAACAACGGCGTTAATCATGTAATTTTTAATCTGTATTCTGGCACTTGGCCAAATTATACGGAAAATGATTTGGATTTTGACTATGGCAAAGCAATACTCGCTAAAGCCAGCATGTCTGAGAACCAAGTTAGGCCTGGCTTTGATATAAGCATTCCATTATTTCATAAAATCCATAGAGAAAAGGGTAAGTAAAGCATTTTGTAGTTTTCTGGCGACTTTGAGCCTTAATCTTTAAGATAACCTAAGAGACCCTAATGTAAGTGTTTGTTATTCTAAATCCATACACAGAGTGTTTCAATAAAACATTCTCCAAGGGTGGGCTGGAGATTCCTTATCTACAACATCGAAAATGTAGATCGGAAATTAAGTTTATGTTTCAAAGGGTTCAAAGAAATAAATGTCCATAAAAACATTTGTTCATTTTCATGATTTTAGTTTTTCGCTCTAAAAGTAAATAACAAAAATAGTAAAAAAGTCAGTGGAATATATCTCTTTCGACAATACTATTCGTTAAGATACCTCCCTGGACGACATAGCACTTCACTAAGTTTTTTTCTTATTTTTGGCTAACGAATCTCTAGTCGTCCTTTAGGCTATGTTTTTTGGAACATCCTGTAGAAAAGATTTGGCAAAAATAAATCGCTTGACTTTTTAACCATATCATATTAAAATTTTATATATATTTAACTGGCAGTTGGCAGACTGTTAAGCGGCCTATACACATGCAGGCAAGTGTTAAGACTTGCCTGTACAGGTTGAGACACGCGAGTAAGTGCGAAAACTCACGGCGCGTTCAATTCCAAGCGCGGCTCGCAGCGAGTCAGATTGTGTCTGATTTTTAGAGCAAGTGCGAAGGCCACCCTCATTTTTTACACAACAGCAGGCCCCACCAACTGGTGAACCTCGAGATTTACCTGAATAGTGTGTGGCCGCCATTCGTTTCGCACTTGCTCGTGGACTTATCTGGACACACTTGCGCGCGGACTTGCCTGCATGTGTATAGCCCCCATTATATTCTATTCCATACAAATTAACTTAATTTTTTAAACTTCCAATTTAAAGTCTCTATTAAATTTAAAATATGTGAAAGTTTTACAATGCAGTTACACCTTTTCATTGGATATAAATTTTATAATTTGAAGTATATTTTTGAAAATGGGTTTTAGGTGGAGATCCTGGGTCAGTTTCAGCTAACAATTATCCTCTAGAAAAGACATATTTACTAGCATTTAAAGGAAAGAGATATGTGCATGGTATAGGTTCAGATACCAGAAACTCCCTGTATCACTTACATAACAGAAAAGACATGGTAATGGTAACAACTTGTAGACATGGAAAAAGTTGGAAAGACATGAAAGATGAACGTTGTGACCAAGATAACAAAGAATATGACAGGTAAAATGTTGTTGATTGATAACATTTTTGTCTATGTTCAAATAAATAAAATCCATTCCCAATCCCCTTTAATATGGTGCCTAGATTTTTGTCTAAAAGCTATTAAATTTGTATTAGCGGCGTTTTTGTTTAATGGTTTAGGAGGTTTAATAACTGCATTTTTTGCTTTAGGGGTTTTAAATTCAGCATATAAAGGTGTTATTTTGCTATCTTTATTGCAACGTTATTAACCGATTTGGTTGAAACCTGCTGTTAAATATTTTCATTTGTTTAATTTTATGCGGTATTATACCCTGTATTTTTTTGGTCAACCCTCATTTTTAACAACGTAATTTGTTGGCCTGTGATAAATAGGTATATCCCATCATTCATGAATCAATTTAACACCAGGGAACTTTTTAATTACGGTAGGAACCAAGCAAATGGCAAAAAGTAAATGAAAATTATTATGGTTGTGGTTTTAAATTGAGTACTGAAAAAATATATATTGACTGTGTTTGTTAAGCAAAATATCTTTATTTTTGTGCGTCTCTTGGGTAATTTCATTCATTTTTAATAATAATTTTAATTTGCCTTGCCTAGCATTGGGATATCATAGGTGAAGTTGGATAGGATAAATGTTATAGTTGATAGGGATAAGGGTTGGAACATCAATACCTCTCGGGATAGGGGATGAGAGATAACCAAGGCCCGCGTCTCTGAAGTAGACGTATCCCCTATTAGGACCACAGGGCAAGACCTAACCATTACCCTAACTTAATTTATGCTTTTTTTTTGAGATCCTCGGCCCAGTTTTTGCTAATCATGTTGTCTTGCAACAATAGTGGCAAAATCTCTTTTTCTTTGCATTTTAAAATGTGAATCCCATTGTTCCTTTTAATCCTCTACATTGAAATAATTTTGTTTTCACAGTACTCCTATATTGTTTTCGTTAACTTTTAGTACAAACCCATCATCTTAGCAAATTCCGCTTCTTAAAAATTCTTTCTTTCTTTAAATTTTCGTAAATCTTCGTTTCTCACGCTGTGCTTTATTAGAAAAATTGCCTCATATTTTTTTATATTTTGCCTTTTTGACTGTATGTAAGGGAATTTTTGTCACCCATTAATTTTATTAACACTCTTTTTTTACATTACTGTGTTCCTATCTTTCTTAATTCCATCTATCTTTATTAATTCTTGATTTAGATATTGCCCCCATCAATGTTATACTCTTATATTATTATAACTTTATTGGGTAACATACATTTCCGAGTTTTTAACTATCAAATTTTTAATTTAAATGATTCTAGTTTAAAATGGATTATATTTTCAATGTGTTTAAGATATGACTATGAGACTCTATTACAAAATTCCACATTTTGCCTTGTTCCTCGTGGGAGAAGACTAGGTTCCTTTAGATTTTTAGAAGCTTTACAAGCTGGTTGCATACCCGTTTTGCTATCAAATGGCTGGACATTGCCGTTTTCCGAAGTTATCGATTGGAATAAAGCTGTAGTATGGGCCGATGAAAGGTTGTTACTTCAGGTAATGTGTATTGAATATACTGTGTCAATGATACTAGAGCATGGGGATTTACGAATCCTAAAAATTAGAGAGATGATTAAATTATGAAAAATGTTTCTCTAGCGAATTTCGAGGAAAAATTTCTTATATATATTTGTTAATGTTAGGAGGTTTGAAAAACGTAAGCTGTATCGGTTTTGAATAGTTTGTTGGTTGGTAGTCGTTAGATTCTTGTTAATTTGTCGGTTAGTTTTGTTAATTTGAGGAAAATCCAGAGATTAGTCACTTTTCCACTAAATTCCAGAACGATTTGGAGGAAATATTTTATTTTTACGTTTATATATATTTTTTTGTGATTTTTGTTTAACAATATTTTCTAATTATTACTATTGTAGTGCTTATTCTAAAGGTTTTAACTTAGTAGTCATTTGGTTTTAACCAGAGATCGATTCTTTCCAATAAATTTAGAATTAGGAAGCAAATAAATAGAAGCAAATGAATAGAAATATATGTACATTATTGAAGTTGAGTTGATGAAGTCTTTGATTGTGTCAAATTGTAGATTTTTTGATAATTACTTAAATAGAACATCTTGTTGTCAACGCACACTCTAAATGGAGATTTTTTTGGTAATTTAACCGTCTAGGTGACTAGTTTTCGAGATCCCCATGTTTAAAATCTTGGACTTAAGCTGTACATTTCAATTTTTCTTTAGGTGCCACACATCATCAGGTCGATATCTCCTAGTAAAATATTACAACTCCGTCAACAAACTCAAGTGCTTTGGGATAGATATTTTTCTTCCATTGAAAAAATAGTATATACGACTCTAGAAATAATTAAAGAAAAATTGCCTAGAAAGCAAAAACGAGACGGAACTATTTGGAATAATTTCCCAGGAGCTTTAGTCACTTTGCCGACTTTTTCCGACGCAAAGGAAGACTTTCCTTTTCACGTTCAATCCGAGGCACTTCGATTTACTGCGGTTGTCTATTGCCAATTAGGTATTTAAGTTATTCCTTATTCTATCAGGTCTATTAAAAGTTTATTAGGTCAGGATAGGATTTGAAGAATTTTTTGTTTTAAAAGGTTTTCACTGAGCTATTGCTTCCTGGTTAACCGGAAGCGATGTCACCCTCAATATTTTAAACACCCTGTATATTTTATAAATTTGGATTCATTTTGTTAAGGTATGTTAATTCTACTGCCAAAAATTTTAAAATTTTAGCCAGTCTTAATTTAATTAACACAGAAAAAAGGATATTCTCTTCCGTTTAAAATTGGGAAACCGGGAGCGACAGCTAAGTGGGAATATTTTTAAATAGCACTGAAATTCATGCCTAAGTATAAGTTTTTAATGAGCGCTTTGCGTGAATGACGTTAAATTATGAGTTTACTTGATCATTTTTTTAGGTATACCCCTATCAACTACGTCAGCACTTTATAGATTAGTTACAAGCCTAAGTAAAAGCAAATACGTCTCGAAAATTCTAATAGTGTGGTCAAACGAGAAACGTCGTCCTAACCGTAGTCGTTGGCCAAGTTTACCGATACATATTCCATTACATATCATCGAAACTGGATACGGAATCGAAGCGAAATCCAGTATTTCCCAAAGGTTTTATCCCCACAAGGAGATTGAAACTGACACAGTACTTTCATTGGACGAGGATACAGTTCTGACCACTGAGGAAATTGATTTTGCTTTTGTCGTTTGGAAACAATTTCCAGATAGAATCGTTGGTTATCCCGGTAGATCGCACTACTGGGATGACTCAAAGTCAACATGGGGTTACACGTCAAAGTGGACCAATGATTATTCAATAGTTTTAACTGGCGCTGCCTTTTATCACCGATACTACAACTATCTTTACACGGAATGGTTGAGCCCTTTGTTGCACAAAACTGTAGAACAAAGCCAAAATTGTGAGGACATCTTGATGAATTTTTTAGTGAGTCATGTGACCAGGAGGCCACCTATCAAAGTGACACAAAGGAAACAGTATAAGGAACAATCTGGGGCGGGCAGTTGGTCTCCTTGGAACGATCCGGATCATTTTATCCAGAGGCAGACATGTCTTAACACGTTCGCAGCTGTTTTCGGTTATATGCCCCTTTTGAGATCTAACTTCCGGCTGGATCCTGTGCTTTTCAAAGATTCGGTCTCCAACAAACGGAAAAGGTATAAAAAAATTGAACTTGTGGGGAACTAATCCTTCATGTTTTTTATACGATATATTCAAAGTTCCACGAGAGTGTATATAACCTCGCAAAATATGTGAAATTGAAAATGATGCAGGAGCTAAACAGAGGCTAATATGATTTGTATTCCAGCAAGATAATTTTAAACATCCACCATATCTGTTAAGCAATAATGTACAAACCTAAAGTTTTTCTGAATTTTGAGAGGTTATTTATGTTGCCATACATATTATGTGATGTGTTATTATTATTAAATATAAGTCCCCTGGCAACTGCTATATTTAATGTTGTAAATACAAAGTGAAATTAGTTTTTATATAACAATTTTGGGGGGAACTAGTTTTGTCGGATCACTGCATTATTATTATATTGTTTTTTTTTTCAATTTTAATTCAAATTTAAATCGTATTAATTTAAATTCATTACGCCAAGTTCTTCGTGGATTTTTTAACGAAAGGTTTATCCTTATCAATAAAATGAATCAATAAAAATGAGAGCTTATGGACAGAATTTGTCGTTGTAACATTATTGTGATTAATTTGGTATTAGCTTTGTTCCAACCGCGGTCAGAAATTGGTTTTTGAACTGTAAATTGCTGTCACTGAACCGATTTTTGTCAGGCAAAATAACATTAATCGTATCAAAAAATCAGTTGAGTGACAGGAGTTTATTGCTACAAACCGGTTTCTAACTGCGGTTGGAACAAAGCTATTGTATTTTCGTATGATGTCGATTTTATGTAACAATGCCAAAAATGAGAGAAGCAGTAAAAATACCGGAAAGGAAAGGAATTTATAAATTATAATATTTGTTGAGCTTAATTTAACAGAACTGTTAGGTTGTGATGTGTAAAATCGAGTAACTACTTTTTCTTCACCAAATAAATTTCGTGAATTAATTCACGAAGAAATTCGCCATAAGTATTTGGAATATTTTTCGCCATATTCGTTCGTTTCTTTCTTGTTAAAAAAAATATTTCCAAGACAGAAATTTAGGCCATTTAGTTTAAGCGAATTATTACTTTAAATCGTATCCTAGTCAATTTAATTTTTGTTTAAACTTTGAGTGTACTTTTAATTGTGTAAATATCTTTGTATCGGTTTTATTTATCCAGTTACCATTGTATTGCTTTTTATTAGATCAAATGTTGTTATTTCGTTCTAAAGTTTATATCATTACGTTTGTGAAAATAATTTCTGAAAGACTTGTATGTATGTATCTATTTATTACGTTGAAAAAATTCAAAAATACATAATTTTTTTAAATATTTTATATGACACAAAGTGTTATATTTTCGATTTTATCCGCTTTCCTTAGTATTTCAGTATGTACCGACTCCTACATATGCATATCTAATTTACAAACTTGTCGCTATTAACCAGGCTGGAGAATCTTTAATACCGTATTCGGCACATAAAAATAAGTAAAAAAGTTCATATAGAAAATGTGTTGAAATATTGCAAAAAACGTTTTTTTCTTATTTTTTTATATTTTGATAGATAAACTTGTTTTTGTTTAATCAGTGGCGTTGAGGAAAGGAAAAACGCCGTCCAAATATTTAATTTTTAGTCGAGTAAAATTAAATTACTGATGGACTGAAAGCAACTTTATGTGAGGTAGTAAGGTATTTCCTGGTATAGTTACAATATTTTTAAAATATTGAAACCTTGAAACTTCGAGCAATGGGGAATTTTTATGGTTATCTATCTCACGTTTTTTGGTTAGTGCGCGAGGAGGGTGATTTTAATGTGATTGTACCAAAGGTAATACAAAGTCGGGAATTCCCATCTCGAATTAGAAAAGTAAAGAAAAAAAGCGTAGTTGGACGATTCGAATCGATTTATTTAAAACGACTTTCTTATCAAAGCGCTTACATTCTTCAAAAAAGAGAAAAATAATACTCTATGAAATATTCTAATACATTTAATCGATATCCCATAATAATAATTGTTACTCTATTCGTACAATACCAATTAAAAATTTGATAATTCGCTTAAAACAGCTATCCACTATTTTAGTACATTTATACAAAATGGGTGTGTAATCACTTATGAAACCATAATAAAAAAAAGACCACGAGAAATTCATTTTTAACTAGTAAGTAGAGCCACGTTGATTTCTTTGACCATCTTGACCCGGTGAAGCATTTTTTCTAACGCTTCTTTAGCCAATGGCATGGTCGAATACCATACGGGGCTGTCTGGGACGCAAGATCGTTCGGGTTGCAAGTAAAACACGTCATTCCTTGTTTTTACACTTTCAGGACTAGGAATAATAGTATAAAGATTATATTAGAATGGTTACGAAGATCGTTACTCACCATTTGGAAAGGTAAAATTCGTACAACTTAACGGGACACCTAAGCGGGTTCTCTTCGTTTTCCTGCTGCTCGTAGACCTTCTTTTTACGTTGATTATTTTCTGAAAATTAATGAAAATGTAGCGTGCGTTTCGTTGCAAATAAATCGACCGCGCTTACGAGTTGCCGATTGGGGGGGATAAAATCGAAGTAAAACGTTACGCGATCCGGGCACTTTGGACGCTCCCGGTTGATTCGGATTTCTTTTCCAATGTTTCATGATGTGCGAAAATGATAACTGCATGTGCTCGTCGACGCTCTGAAAATCGCCACTTATAGAAATCCATTTGGCACCGAGTCCCGCAAAGAACCTACTGTCAAGTTGAAATGTTTCGTATTGAAGAACATCAAAGTGCTGAGCAACACGTGCGGCGAATGGGCGCCGAGCTGTTTACTCTCCCACAAATGCTCTTCTTCCACCCTGGTCACGATGTAGTGAGAATCGTTGTATAAAACTGAAAATTTCTTCGCCACTTCGTCCAAGCAATCGGTGAACTTCTCGTAGTACGGATCGCAGAAGATGTTGTCTATCCTTCCGTTTTCGAAAAGGTATTGTTGAATACCGAGGCACAAGTAATATATTGTGTCCGGGGCGTACTCCTGTCCATTAGGTTTCCTCACTTCTTTCACAAATAAACAAAGCGAATAGTTCAATTCGTCCGCTGTAAGTTGGAGTATTTCCGTTTTGAACAATTTCATGCGTCGCGAGGACTTCTCTAGTTCCGCGTTCTTCGTAGTAACCCATTGCTTCCACGCGTTGACGCCGAACGTGTACTTTGAAAACAGTTAAGTCAACCACAAATTAATCGAGGGGTAAACTGCAGTAATTGCCTATAATTCTTTGGAATACTTCATACTCTGTTCCTTTGCCGTTTAGTCCTCACAAAGAAAGAAAGAAAGGAACGAAGGAAGACAGGATTGTTACCAGATGAAAGAAAAACCCCATTTTAGGTAATGTTAAAGCAATACGAGAGTTATTTGAGTATAAAACTTGGAAGATTAGCAGTCCCTTTATTATTTTAGTTCTGACAACTTTTTTGAGCGATATTTCCAAATTTCATCCAAAGAATCTTGGTATTATGATGCACAGCTAGGTTTATTTGATAGTACACATGCGCAATACTCCCTTAACCCCTAACAAGTAGATTTTCCCTTGGTGAGTGAAAGGAGTAGTGTAGTGTTATATACCAGCTTTTTAGGAGTATTAATTCTATGGTTTAACACTTATATACAATACCTTTAAGCACATGTTTGCGTCGGGCTTCTCTTGTGGCTCCGGCGGCGGTGGAGGTTGTTGCACCTGCTGCATCATCGGAATATCCACTTGATGATGCGACATCCTTCTGCCGCGCTTCGACTGACCTCTCGGGTTTCCTCTGATCCCCCTTTTTCTGCCGCGCAGAGGAGACCTTTCCATTAAATGATGATGCATCGGTTGTGGGTCGTCGACGTTTTCTTCGGTACCATCTTGGTGCGCGCCTTGCGGAGCAGTTATGGTATTTGCCGTCAATGCCCCTTCTAAATCGACAGCGGGTTCGTCGAGCTCCGTAGCCATTTTTAGTGCCATTTGAAGCATGTCATCGCCAAACGTATTGCTAGCATCGACCGGTTCAGGACTGTAGTCAGCTCCATCGGCTGTGTTATCTTCTAAGTCACTTTCAGAGTCTGTATTGTCTTCCTTCTTTTCTTCGGCCACCATTTCGGCCATCATCAGCAATTCAGCCTCGTAGGGGTCCGTCGGGATTTTAACTTGGATTTTCTGTAAAAAATGCGATGAACGTGTTTTTTGTTATTGACGGTTTTATGTTCAGGTACCTTAATTTCTTTCATGATTCCCGCAGCTGAATTTCTTGTGGTGGGAATAAATATGGGTATAGGGATAGGTAGCGGGAATGGCACTGGTATAGGTACAGGTGTGGAGTACATATGGCAAGGAGCTGGAACATATATGGGGACTGGAATTGGAATAACTATTTTGGATATTTCTTCTCTATCCGTTTGTATCCCTGCATCAACCATGACAGGGTTTGATTGTACTGCCCTTGCGGTTTTCTTAATGGAAACCATTGTCCCCACGTTTCTTTGTTCTGGACAAGGAGGCGGCCGCACAATAAAATGCTGTTTCACTTGAACCTGAATTGGGATTTCGGACAGATTCTGTACAGGAACTGGCGCTGTTGGTGACGTTTGAACGCTCTGTTGAACTAACGGAGTAGCTTTGGAACGAGTAATCCTAGTAGAACCAATAGGGGTTAATCCCGGAGGTAAATTATTACCAGTGCCATTAGCACTAGCAAGGCTCTGTACACTCGATATTACTGGTAGTGGAGGTTCATCACCACTAGCTGCTGTAGAAATAATTCTTATAAATATCAATCTAAGATGGAATATAGAACAGAACGCAAACACTTACCATTTTCTGTGGGAGATTTCTTGTTTTTCTGTGGAGCGCCCGCTGGCACCGGCACCTCCGCATCGGTGACATTGTTCATGGAAACAGGTTGCTTCATAAATTGATTTTGGAAGCTCATAACGCAACTGTATGAACAAAAATTGCGTACAGTAGCGTCGGACATTGTTAAGTGGTAAGCCGGATGGGCATTTTTTTGACAAAAATTACATGTAATCGGTTTCGTACTGACAGCACTCAATGAGACTTTGTATAAACTCAAGCAGTTTATGCTGCACATATTAATAACAGAGGAATTGCTGGAATATTTTTTAATCATGTCAAAATTATATTTTTTCACTTTACACCAGCTGCATGGTACTATCTTCCGATGTGCAATTATGTAAATGTTTTCGCAACTGTTAGAACAAAAACTATATTGCACATTATCATAGTACATTGTGTGCTGTTCCAGTATCGATTTGTGAAAGTAACGTCGACACATGGCACATTTTCCTGGGGATATTTTATTGACAAAATTAAATGCCACAAAGCATGGTTCCCCGCAGAAATAATTTTTAACATCGTCTTGTTCAAATTCTATAGTAATAACCTTTTCTGTTTTGCAAACGGAACAAATAGTTCCTGGGTCGACTTTTGGTGGGCGATCGTTGGTCATTATATCATACTTTTCCATACACGTTTTCGAACAAAAATCTTTGAACTGTCCTTTCTCACCTACGGGCGCTAAAAAACCATCTGGGCCACTGGACATGTCTTGTTGGCAGTAGGAACAAACTTTAAGTCCTTTTTTGTATTGTTCAAGGCATGTGCTGGTGCAAAACTGTCTAATGTCATTCCCAAAACGTACGCAATATTTACCAAGCGATGTCGCTTTGACTGTTCCGGAACAGCTAGCGCAATTCGACCCAATCATCTTTTGATATTTGGATAAGCAAAACTCATTACAAAAATCCATTATTTCCCAGGTGAGATTTTTTTCTATGTCATCTGTAACTTTTTTACATGTAGCACACTTTCTGATAAACGATAAAGACGGAGGTTCCTTTGCGGATGAGTCGATAAAATTTTTAACTCTTATGCCACCTTCGTCAGTAATTACATCAATTTTTTTTGAAGAACATTCTTTAAAAACACTTAAACAAGAATTATCACAAATATATAAAACTTCATCGTCACTTTTATAATGGTACTTGACTTTTCTTTTCTAAAAAAAAAAAGAAAAATTGATTTGTATAAAAAAATAAGTAAATTTGCAAGTGTTACCATTTTGCATTCATTGCAATTCTGAAATTCTTCTTTGTCATATTTGTAAACCTTTAATTCATAGCTAGAATCTGGTTCTTGTATTGATGATTCACTTGTAGTATCTGAAATATCCTTTAAAGGTGGAATTGAACAAGCGGCATCTTTCTCTGCCTAAAAACCATGTGCAAAATAATATTACACCAACAAAACCGATAAACAATACTTGTGTGAATTCCCTTTCAGTATCAGGAATAATGGTTAGTTCTTCATTTGCGCCCTCTTGTTCATCAGCCGGGTCTACAGAATCCGAACCAATCGGATCTAAATCAGTTTCCTTATTACCGATTGTATCCTTGTCAGATTCAGTGTCTTTTTCATGGTCAGCAGAATCAAAATTCACATGTGCAAACTCAATACTTTTTTCATTGATATCTGTACATTTTGTAGGGCTCTCTGTTTCACTACGAGATTTATTTGAATCGGCTTTATCCTCATCACTATCGGAGTCTTTTGAGTGTTCTTGGCTCTTCTCATATGTTGATAAGACAGTTTCAGATATATCTGAAGCTGCATAACTTCCAGTATCCACTTCTCCCAAGGCCGAGGTCCCCTCTTTTTCAATTCTTGAATAACCAATCTCCATGGTCTCTGAAGTTCCATCCTTACTGAGAACAACATCCTCAATTGGAGGAGGTTCTCCAGGAGGTTGCCGACCATCAATTTCTTTATCTGAATCACTAGATGGTTTTTTCAGATTCTCACAAGTTTCCTTCGCAGAGCGTCTCGGTTGTGATTCAATATTGTAATCCACATTTGGAAGCTCTATTGGATCAGACTGTTCTTCTATCAGGAAAGATGAATCATTTTCTTCATTATCTAGAAAAAAAGCTAATTAAAATAATTCAGTACAAAATATAGGGTATTTACCTTTTTCCGACGATGATTGAATATCAATAGGTTCTTGGGTTTTACCTGGACTACTGGTCTCATCAAGTTCTTGTGATAGCATTGTGCTCTGAGTTTCCACATCTGTGCTCCCAGTTTTAACATTTTCAGGACTCTTAACATTTTCACTAACAGTATATTCTGTGTCTGATTTGTTGTTGTGATTGGGTGATCCTGATGCCTCTGATTCTATAACATCTGTTTCTAATTCATCCAGTTGACTTTTTTCAGATGTCTTATGACTTATTTCTTCCAAATCATTACGACTTTTGTCTTCGCAATTTCTATCTTCACCATGACATATATTTGCCTCATTAATAATAGGTATATTGGCCTCATCACTACCTCCTATAAGTTCACTATCTCTCTCAAGATTTTCATTATTCTGGTTTTCTATAACATTTAAATTACTTTCTAAGTGAGTTTCTGCAATAACATTTGGTACTGGCTCCTGATTTACCCTAAGACTTTGATCGACATCTGAAGTGCGTGTTTCCTCATGCCTAATTTCATTTTCATTCTCCAAACTGCCCGCACTGGTGGAATTTACAGCATTTAAACAAACCGCATTTGAAGGGACACCATCTTCTACTGTCTCAAGCTTTTCACTATTATTTTTGACAGAGTCTATTACCATTCGCTCACTTGAATCTGTTAAAGCATTTTGGGTTGGAAGTACATCCGCATTTTCTGTTGGAGTGTCGGTACTATCGACATCCATTCTATCGAAATTTCAAACAAACCTATGGGGCCCTCATTATCTCCTCCACTTTATATTGTTCTTTAGATCCATATCAGCTTGTTTTACGGAGGAATATAGCTTGCTAAATTTAAAATGATTTTCACATCATCATTCCAGTTGTATAAGGTAACTGTTGTTCTGTACACGATAAACAGTAAAATATTAAAAATAACTGACTTGGTATTGAAAATCCCGGCTTTTTAGTTGTTTGGTTAAATTTCAAATTCAACACTTTTATTGCGATGCTAAAATTTTGCGCGGTAAACTTTTTAGCCCTGTCAACGTGTTGCACTTGAAACTGTTTAACGATGCTTCTTTTCCGATAAAACCTTGGTTTTGTTATTATTTCGGGAGCAACTATACAAAAACTTGCATTTTAATACCAAGCCAACATAATGGTGGAAATAACTAAATATACTTACCAACTTAACCATATCACATACCCTAACATTTGCTATTTTTGCCACTCTGTAATCGAGATAGTTTATTTTTCAAAATAATTCGCTTATCCAAAAAAAATCGCCAATTTATCTTTAAAAGTTAGTTATTTTTTTTTTGTATCAGTTTTGTTTTAAACAATTTATTGAAATAAATATAAATAAAGTGCAGCCAACTGAACTACGTTGGTGGGTTGTAACGCCATAAAATGATTCACTTTTAACATTTCGATGAATGCTGTAGGACAGTTCAAAAAAGATACGACCTATTAAAATCTTGATAAAGGTTTAAAAAAAATCTAGTAAATTTTTCTCAAATACAGAGTGGATCACAGAAATTTAAATACGATTTCAATGACGTCATAACATGGCGGCTGTAATATTTACGTCGTACAATAGGATAATTTCATAGCAGTATTCTGTCTTTAATCCGCTGAATCTACAATTGTCGTGTCCGTTTTGAATTTTCTTTAAATTAGTTCAAATCAGAATTCCCATTTTGCTGGTGATCGGTTCCGTTGATATTTACCCTTTGGCGTGACATATTCTACTTTACCTCTTTTGTAGACCTTGCTTTGCTAACGGAGAATACGAATTTTCGCGCAGGCTTAATGCAAGTGCTGCTGCGATTGGAAAGTGCTCCCCTCTGCTAAACGACTCACAAGAAAATACCGACAGTAGCGGTCGCTATGCGTTGACTTCATTTATAAAATCCATCGTCGCGATATTTCTAACATGGCCGCATGTTAGTTGCTGATTTTTTCTTTATTGTTTGCCAATGAACGTACATTTAGTAGTGGTGTTTGGTTAAGAAATCAAGATTTGTTGTCAACGATTATTAATACGTACTGGAACTCTACTGTAATTTGATAAAACGCTAACGCCGGTTGAATAGGTGCACTCCCAAACTTGTCGAGATTTCAGTTAGAATTTTTTATTATTTCGTTTCTATTATCATGCTTCAAGAGCATCACATAAATCAAAACAGCATGCAGAGAAATCCAAGGTAAATGCTTTCCTAAATCAATAGTGTTTCCCACACATTTCAAATTATCTTAACCACTAAATATGAAAAAGTGACCAATCATATACATACTAAGTTTGATGTTGATTTTAGAATGGGAATGCAGCAAATGGGGCCGCCTCCGAATCAACGAACTCCTATGATTATGAGCATGCCTGCAACTGGTGTGTAAATTTATTATATTCAAATATTATGTTAATAACAAAGAGAAGCATCTTTAACTTAGATGTGTTTTGAAAAATTCACAGAAAATCTGTAGTCTGTAATTTCTAATTCAACTTTCTTAGAAGTTTTTTGAAAAAAGTAGCAAAATCTCTTGCATTATGGTGAAGATGGGCCCTAATTTATATGATTTATAACAGGGGTACTTGTCTCAATGTCACCTGGGCCTGGCCCTGCTCTTATAACCACAACGTCAATCCCACAACCACAAGCTAAACCAAACCTCCAGCAGCCCCAAGTTTATCATTACGAAGCACCACCTACACAACCTGTCCCGCATAATCAACAGCCAGGTACAATTTGTGTTTAATAATGCGCCAAGACTGTACCATAAACAATTATTGCAGAGCCAGACCAACATTCACAGCAACCACAGTCACAACAGCTCATAAATAACCAAGATCAACAACAATTGAACCAAAATTGTCCAAACACTAGTACTTCTACAGCGCCCAACATGACTTTGGCAAACATAAAAGAAAAAACACCCATGTGCTTGGTAAATGAATTAGCAAGGTACAATAAAATTCAACATCAATATCGGCTAACGGGAGAACAAGGGCCCGCACACAAAAAAATATTCACAGTTACCTTGAAATTGGGTAAAGAGGAATATGAAGCCGAGGGTCCTAGCATTAAGAAGGCCCAACATTCCGCAGCCGCTAAAGCATTAACCAAGACCGAATTTAAGCATCCACCACAGAAAACAATTATTAACAGGCCTGGCAATAGACCCTCGAATCCAGGTGTTGTCACTCCAACAGTCGAACTTAATGCTTTGGCAATGAAAAGGGGAGAACGTACAGTGTACGTTGTTGAAGGTGGAGGGGCACCACCCCATCAGGGCTATATGAACCAGCCGAGTTATTATCCAAGACACAATCTCAACTATCCCCAGGCTCAACCCAGATATGGATATGACGCCCGGCGTAATATCAGAGGTCATTACACATATGACAATAGGTATTATGGCCAATTCAGACCTGGGGCACCCCATCATAATCCGGGTGACCCATATACTGTAAGGTTAAGAGTGGGGGAACGAGAGTATCCAGGTACTGATTACGGTAAATTATCTTTTCTTTTGATGTTGTAGTTAGTTCTGGTAAATCTTCATTTAACAAAATATGTATTTTTTTTTTTAATTTAAATATTCTCGTCTTAAGCACTGCAAGCAGGAATGCTATAACCTCCAGGTGAGCTCCTGTCGGAAGAATTCCTCCTGTGCGTTTGTTTGGGATCATCTGTCTTATCTCAAAATCTAGAAAGAATTTCAAAAAACTGTAAGAAGAAAAGTTGTTTTGACTCAGTTATATTTTTAAATTTTTTTCAAAGAACTTTTACAGGCCACTGTTGTTGTTTATAAAAAGTAACAACTCTAATATTTAAAACACAATACTCTATATATTAAGGCATTTTTGAAATCCTGTGTACTTTCTAGATATATTTTATAATAACCTATAACTAAGTTAAATTTTATGTCAAAAATTATGTTTGCAGGTCTAAATATATTTCTAGATTTCTCTGATTGGAAATGGTGTGGAACATGCTTTATTTCAAAAAGTTGTAGATTTCAAAATATTAGCAATGAAACATTTTTCCATTGTAAAAATGCAATAGCACTATTAATTGGCCAAGAAAATAACCACGAAATTAATTTATTAACAAAAAAGCTTTTGAATTTGTTTAACAGCTAAAAGTGGATCAAATTTTATCAAAAACACTATTATAAATCTTATAAATAATTCGTGGTAATTAATTATAAACAAAAAAGTTTTTAAATTTGTTTAATGTCTAAAAATGAAACAAAATTTATCAAAAACATTAAGTCACTTGCTGAAAAATATCCAGATGGTCAGAAATCTACAATAAACATTGTTTTAAAAAAATAATTAAAAATGTTGGGACTATTATAAAAATATACATTTTTAAAAATTTTTATTTTTATATTTAGTATTTTCTCCATTATTTATTTTTAAAATAACTACATTGATTTCCAAACCTACAGTAAGCCAAAATAGTGACGTTTCGGTAGTACACGCTTTCCTTTTTTCGCCATGTTTCATCGTCACAGGATTTTTATAATGAAAACCGTTTTATTTTGCTAATATTTCGAAATATACAACTTTTTTAAATATTCAACCGTACATAAACTCACCCTTTTTTCAAATGTAAAATATGGTAAAATTATAAAAAAAAATTTCCATTCGAAAAATTCATTTAAGTTATTAATATTACTTTTTTATTTGTTTATTTTTAAATTTATAACACAGATCACTAACGTACATCCCTTACTATAAAGAAATAATTTATTTAAAAAAAAAACTGAGAAATCGAGAGATATTATTTAGACTTGCGAACGTCACTTTTAACATAAAATTCCAAATATGTCAGGAAAGTAAAGGATATTATATATGAAAAAATGAAAAATTATTTAATATAGAGGGTGTTCTATTTAAAATCCGAAAGTTGTTAGTTGTACACCAATATAATATTTCAAAAGAATAACTGAATCCAAACAACTTTTGTCTCCAATTTTTGGATATTTTTAATAGAAAGATATCATCCCATAATAAATGGGACACCCTGTACATTACTTTTCGTGAGGTATTAATTGTTTTCATATACTTGCGGCAGTTAGAATTATTTACCTTCTCGTTTATTAAGAAATAAATTCAACCTTCGGGGAGGTTATTTATTCTGGGTTCATGTGCACTGTAATACTTCCTTGGCAAAATATATTTGGAGTGGATGATGACTGGTTCCGGGAAAAAGGGGAGGTGTCACACAGTCAGTCTTTGGTTTGGTTATTGACCTTTGACCAACGCTGTGGATTTTTTTACAGCTGCGTAATATATATTTATTTTTTCTAAATTAATTTCGCATTGCTGACGCGCTTTTTCATTAAATACCTATTTTCCTTACAACTGTTTTTATTTAATGACAACATTGGGGAAACATGGTTTTACCGGTGTCCATCTATCGGTGTCCAAAACGGTTGGCATCATTGGAATTTCGTCCACACCTATATTTTATTTACTAAATAGTGCGAAAAGGTCGTGGAGTCCTGAGAGTTAAATAACAAATCTCAAAATTTCGTTATGGATCGTTATGGATCCGATACAGTATGGAGTTTTCTGCAGGCGCTGCGCTTTTTCTACGTGCTTTTCGCAGAAAATTGCACCGTGTTATGTGTAACTCTTTTCCAATTAAACCTTACAATATTCCTCAGAGCACTATTTAGTTTTTATTTGTATATAATTTTATTTTTTTATTCGTAGGTCATGGATACACCGTGCAAGCAGCACGGCATGATGCTGCAGCCAAAGCTATAGAGCATATAAAACAACTCGGTGTAGTGGATGGTACTGATAATCCGACAAGTTCTGAAAACGGGCAAATAAATAATGACCAACAAACCATGTCGAATTCGTTAACCAATGATGTGAATTCGGAATTAAAGTCTCCCATTTCGTTGGTTTACGAGATATCTCTAAAGAGAAATCTGAATGTTACATTTGAAGTTTTGAGCGAAAAGGTTCGTAGGCTGGTTGCGAAAGCAGTACCGGTGTAAGAATATTTTCCGCAGGGTCCGCCGCACATGAAGGTTTTCGTGACGCAGTGTAGGGTCGGTGACTTTCTGGCAGAAGGGGAAGGTAATGGGAAAAAGATTTCGAAAAAAAGGGCTGCCGAAAAGATGCTGGAGGAATTATCCAAGTTGCCACCTCTTCCCAATGTGGCGAACATATCGCAAATGAAACGCAAAAGGGTTACTAACAAGAAAAAAACACGGAACCTCATTAAAGTGAATATGGATAAAAATTCGGAAACGCCTGAAGAAATTAATCCCATTTCTCGTCTCATCCAAATTCAACAGGCTAATAAAGAAAGAGAACCAGTTTACACGGTGTTGGAGGAACGCGGGGCGCCTCGCAGACGAGAGTTCGTTATCGAGGCTTCGGTTAACGGTCACTCCTGTACGGGAGTCGGGCCTAATAAAAAGGTAATTGGTGTTTAAATATTATCTTTTAGATGTAATAATTCCCTTGTTTTCTATTCGCAGGTGGCGAAACGCAACGCCGCAGATGCGCTGTTAACTGAACTCGGTTACAGTACCGCAGGATCCAAATCTCAGACACAAAACAAAAGCGATAAGGAGGTTGATGCGTTAATTGGCAGCAATGACAAAAATCGTAAGGTCACTTTTGTGGAGGAGAAGGTTGAACAGCCTCCCGCCCAATCGATTGGCGGCAGCGGCGGACGTCAGCTTGTACCGGGGGTTCTGTTGGTTACTGAGCAAAACGCGGGATTCAGTAAACCGAAAACTGAGAATATTGAACAAAAACCACCTGTTCAGATGCAACCAGCGACGATGAAAAATCCTCCGCCAGGGGTCAGATCCAAAGATCAGTTGTTGTATTTGGCCCAGTTGATGAACATTCAGGTATTTGGGTGTAGATTATTCGCGACAGTGACTGTAAAATTTAAAAATATGACTTTGAATTTCAGGTCCAGTTTTCAGATTTCCCAAAGGCAAATCATGAAATGTATTTGACTCTGGTAAGTCTAGGAACAAATCCGACTCAAGTTTGTCATGGTGAAGGCCCCACGACGGAAGCATCTCACGAGAAAGCGGCTTTAGAAGCTTTAAAGGTTCTTTCCGAGTTGGGCCTCGACATTGCCCCCAAGGACGGCAATGCCCAAATAGAGAAGTAGAAAACTACATTAGTTCGCTTGTTTTTTTTCGTACAAAAGAAAGTACATGTGTTTATTGGTTTCCTTAGAATACCTGTTTGATTTATTACCATTTGACCTCGGTTATAGTATTAGTAGTGACTAACCATGTGCTTTGGACTACTGAGGTTGCGTCTTGAGAAATTTTTAATTATTTATTTTTGAACGGAATGAAACAAACTCTTCGAAGAAACATAATTTGCATAAGTTTGATAAACTTTGAACTCTTTGTAGACTATACCAATGAATGTGGCTATTTTACATAACGATGAAAAATTTCTTTACTTACCTTTCGGAGAGTTGAAAAACTCCACGTATTTTTGCGGTATCCTTTTTCATTGGTACAGACGTCAACTACTGGGAGTTCCATGTGGCCATGTCAATTCATGGATAACTTTGAACTTTTATTACTCTCATATTTATGTGATGTAGTTATTATTTTTTTGATTTCAAGAACAGCATAGTTTAATAGTAATCAAAAACATAAATATATTAGGTGAATAGTTAAATCACCAACATTAAAACCCCCCTGAAGAACTCTGACGCGTTTAGTAGTTGTAGTTTGTGGTTGAATCCCAAACGGACATTCAGCTATTCAAAAATTCGAAAATTTGGAACTCACATTTAATGGACCAGAGCGAGAAGACCTTAAGGACAGTAATACCCAAATGAAGAAGTAGAAATGTTCATTACCGCGCTTATTTACTAAGTACTAGTGTTAAATGGTTTCATTAGTAGTAAGTAACCATGTGCGTTGGAGTGTAGAGATTGCGTTTTGAGAAATTTTTAATTATTCATTTTTGAACGGAATGAAACAAGTTCTTCGAAGAAAAATGATATATATAAGTTTGATAAACTTTGAACTCTTTGTAGACTATACCAATGAATGTGGCTATTTTATGTGACTGAGAAATTTCTTTACTTATTCTTCAAAGCCTTTAAAAGTATCCTCGTGTTTGCAGTATCCTTTTTCATTGGTACAGAAGACGTCAACTACTGGGAGTTCCATGTGGCCATGTCAAAGAAAAAAATTAAAAAAAAACAGAAAAAAAAGAAAAATGTTGCATTATTCATATACTTGGATAACTTAGAATTATTATTAATCTCATATTTATGTGATGTCATTAACATATGTGAAGTATATGAAATGATTTCATGTATGACATATAATTCTGGTTATTGCTTGCACTGTATATTTCAAAAAAAGAAAAAAAGAAAGGCAGTGTTTACCGCATTTCGTTTTAGTTACAGGGCGACCGAAAACGAAATCGGGTCCAGTAGTTCAGAATTGATTTGTTCCACTAGCATTTCGAACAACGTAAAAGCTGCATAAATGTTTTTTTTTTAATTAGCGTCCATATAGCGACGCATTTATCCATTTTGATTAAAAGTTGCAAATTTAAAGTTTTCTTTGGCAAATTTAGCCGAATGTAGCTTTAGACACTTGAATTTTACCATACGACAATTCTGATCTGCTGAAATGTATTTATTTCACTTATTGTTTGTAGATTGATTTCATTATTCCGGGGCCTTTGGATTGAACTGTTGTGTATTGTAGTTTAAGAACTAGATCATAATTCTTCTGTAATTTGGATATAAAGTAAGCATGTAGCCTCATTTGAATTTGAAATCAATAAACAGTATCACCAAATTTTGTTGTTGTTTGTGCACTTTAATATGTTACATCAGTTTAAAAAATAATAGTAAACACATTGGTGGCGTACCATGATTTATAAGTATAAATATCAATTAGATTACCCTTTCTGACATGAATAATTTTATTTTCACAAAATAGAGCCCTGATGAGGATAAACAATTATGCCAAGTTATATCAAAATCAGCCGAAAGGTTTTTGAGTAATTATTAAAAAAACGAATTTTTCGGAAGGTCCAGGCACATGGCAACGGTTTTCAATTTTTTATCTCGAAAACTAAAGGAACAAAAAAAAAGCTCATTTAAAAGGTTTAAAGTAATTAATAAAAAAATGTTTTATAAAACTCGAAAACAACATTAGTTGGGACGCATATGCGATTGCTTAAGCAATATAATTATTAAAAATGACTAAATGGCGAAACGGAAAAGGATGGGCTAGAAAATTGAATTTAATTCTATTTTTTTTTAAATATAAATCCCATTTAATTCGAGCCGAAGTTTTCAAAGGCCTGTTGGAATTTGTATAATTTTGGTTAGTTTCCCTTATAGGTGCTTGACAACCGGTCGATTTTTCGGAGGATCTATATCTGTATATTTTGACTAATATGTCCTGTTATTCGGACACAGTCGATAAATTCCGGTAAAACAAAAGATCTTTAAGAACGTTAAAGGCATAGCTAGCAAGCGGAAATGGTAAAGTCAGGCATCACTGACCATGCAATATGAGATTTCGATGCCAAGGTTACTAACGGATCACAATAAGGCACGGGTGCGGACTCGCTGCATATTTTCTATATACAGGGCGTCCCACGACAAAATTTCTCGCTCTATTGTGGAAAAACCACGAATATTAAAAATACGGGTTAAATATTTCATAAAAACTTCCTTCCGTCCATGGCTATGAACTCATTTTATTGGAATATTTATATTATTGTATTTTTAATAACTCCTAAAATACTTGACATGTATAATGCAGTTCTATAGAAAAACTTTGAGTTTGTTAAAAATTCCTATGCTCTGGGTTTTTTATAATTTAATTTTTTGATATATTGCCTTTTAAAGTAAAATTTCATGTGTGATACCGAAGAAATAATATATATTATCGGTTTTTTAATTTATACGGATTAAAATTGCAATTTGTGTGGAAAATCTTATAATCTAAAACGCCAAGATAATTTTGACACCCATATTGAAATAAAAAAAAATGTACAGCTGTTATTCTAATTTTTAATATCAAGAAAGCGTCACATTTGGGTTACATTATTAAACTCATCGGGATTATAAAGTTAAATATTTATAATTATTAATGAATATAAACCTACAAATATTTTTGCGATATTTGTGATAAGGTAATAAAGACGACAGTTTGGAAATCTTTATTTTAAACGGTACTTAAAATTGAGTTTTTTCATAAATTACTTTTATATGTATTCTAAATGTTATAACAGCATTCCATGTGAACCTTTTATCTGTATTAATTTTTTTATTATCAATAGTATCGGGAAATATCCGCCTATGCTTTTCCCAATGACACTTTTTCCGTAATAATTTTTTTTTATTGATAAACAATTACAACCACTCCCATATATATATTTACTTTGCGCTGCCACGGTTAATTATGGTGCAATGAACTTTATTTGGGAGGGTGAAGGCCTCGGCAACACTGCATTCACAGAACAGCAGTTTAGCTGAATTATTTCTATATAGATGTATTGATTATATCCACGCGAAACGACTTTAAGCCGAAGAGAGAGTAATATACCAATATGTATCGTTCTACCTTTAAATAATTTTTTTTGTAAAGTTGCAGAAGCTCCTTTCCTCTATTTAAGTTCCACTTCGAGCAGGTCGTTCAAAATTCTCGAGTAATTGCTTAGAAACACTTTTCGCAACGTTTTTTTATAAGACCGTTTGCGGTTGCCATTTTTTCAACATTCAAGACCACGTTTTCCGCTCTTTGTTTATGTTATTCGAAGAGATTGACTTTATCGACCTCTTGTTATTGTTAATGTGGGTGCAATCACCCCAACCTTTGAAATTATAATGTTTTATGAACGGATACGATTTTTTTTGGAAGCCAAAACAAGAGATTTAAATAATAGTTTTTTATTAGAAAATTACGAAAAGTACAAACACCAGACTTACTTTTGCGGTTTTAGATATTTCGAGTCATTACAATTATTCAGTTCAATAAACCACGAGATAACGTTGTTAACTAAATAAGGCCACAAAGTTTTAAGCTACGTACTACATTTTGATTTCGCAAGAACAGTATAGTGTAATAATAATAAACAATTATAAATATATTAGGCGAATAGTTAATGTTGAAAAGAAAATCACAAAATCAAATTTCATTGGAAATTTTACCACAGGCCGGAAGAAAAACCACCCGGAGGAACCCTCACGCGTTTACTAGGTGTAATTATCGGCTGATTATTTTCCGATTCCACTTTTTCTTCAACTGTTTTGCTTGGGGCCGTATTTTCGTCGATTCCATTGCTAGGTTTTTCCGCCATAGCGAAACAGCCGGAAATCGTCGACTGCGGATAATGTTTTCGTTTGCTAGGTGTTATAATTTGATTTCCGGAATCTTTAATTCCGAAAATATCAGAATGCCCACCGCCCGGCGGTCGCAAAACTCTGCTGGAATTTTTATCATCGCCGTTCATACCCACATTATAACTCGTAGACGACATGTCGAAACTGTAAGGGCGAAAAAGAAAGATAAATCCCAAACGTGCACTTAAATATTTGAAATAACGAAAACTTTTAACGGAAAACGCGCTTAAACGATATTTCGCACTCACATTTGAAGGACTAGAGCGAGAATGGGTAAAACAACCGTCCTCTAAACGGACCCAACGGTTTCTGTCTTGCTGATTTGAAATGTTTGAAACTTCCGGTCGCAATGAGTGCGCTTAACGATTGTCGATCCGACGTACTTTTAAACAAGGTAAAGAAATATATTACTCCTTGTTTCGCACAGTCAAAACTATACTGACGTTTTAGGTTAAGAGGGTTAAAATAAAGGGAAGGGACTACGCACGTTTCTAGGTTTCTACGCTCTATTGTTACCTAGCAACAATCCTTTCGTGCGGAAGCGGTTCATCCAGTGAAATTATTTTGGTTTGTGCGGATCTATGCAAATTTATTAAACGTGTTTTTTTCGTAATTTATTTATATGTAGAAATTATGTCGCCATTTAATTGTGAGAAATAAAATAAAAATAGATAAAACGACCAGAATAGAAAGAATAGAAAAATGCTTCAAAATCCACACCAAACAAGTGACTTTCAAGAAACAAATCTTTTGAGGAAAAATAAAAAAAAGCCTTTAATTTCTTGACTTAGTTTTTGTGACTACTCTTTAAAATTACGTCCATCCTAACCTGTGTGTTAATATTGCTTTCAGTATCAGTTGAAAAAGTTAAAACTAAAACTAGCTTATTTTTCAGGGATAAAGCAAAAAAAAACAAGTTTTGGGCACAAATACATTTACTCAACAATTAAAAGGATTTTATAACGATTACGACAGAAACATGCTTCAAAACACGATAAAGCGACTTCTATGTCGTAATGATTAAACATTTAAATGATTATCTAATTAATCAAAATGTTTCCTATTTAACAGCTTTAATGGGCTATATAAATAATATATAATTACATCTATTTATAATATATTACACATTTTCAACACATGATATATCGATTTTGAAACGGAGATATATTGCAAAGACATATGACTCAATTGATTGTTACTCATATTTTAAGGAAATTAGATTTTTAAACTATATAATTTATTTTCTTTAGAGAATAATATACTACTTTAATCCCTATTTTAGTGTAGACTTTCTTGTCGAATCTAATATTATCACTTATTTAAATATTTAACAGACAAAGAGATAACATATATTTAATTTAAAATTTGCTTTTTGAAATAATATAAATACAAATAGTGTCCATCCAAAAATCGCTTAATACATCATTAACTTAAACTATTATAACTAGAAATTTTACAAAATCAACAGTAAGAATAATCATTAAAAGTGACTAGAAAAGTAAAAAAAGGAACAGCCAACTTTCATATATAAACACTAATCAGTCAAAATAACTCAATACTTTGTTAAGATAATCCTCATTTCAAATCTGTTTCTTGTAGAATTTCTTCAATTTCCTCTTCCCAATTATTACCCTTTGTATCCACGGATTTCTGGTCGCCAATCATCTCATAATCGTTCAGTTCGGCTTCTAATTCTTTCTCCCAGTCTTCTTCTATGTAACAAATGAGGGAAAGGAGATGAAAGGTAAAACAAAAAAGAAATAAAAATAAGGAGATTACTTTCAAGGTATGGTCGCATCAGTAATTTGTTGACAAACCGGATGCTGAGTGTATTAGTTTCCTGCTCAAATAATTTTTTATCATGTGAGCTAACTGGCGAAATTCCAACAGTCTTATCTTAATGTAGGTCCGCAACTATAATTTTCTGCATTATCTTCAACTCATCCAAGATAATGTGAACGTTTACAGAAGCAAGTAAACCAATAATAGGCCATTGAAGCGCATATGCTTTCATTCAAAAATTGCATTTTGCAAATTGGGAAACGTGTGAGGCAAAATTGTAGGCAAAGTTAGTCCAAATCTGTGGATTTATATTTTCAATGAAATATTATTTTACAATATTAAGAGCACACCCATTACTTTTTATATATTTTTTTTAATATGTCATCTTAACAAAAATATATTTATTGCATTTGCATTTGTAAAAATTTCAATGACATTTTGCACATTAAATTCTATTTACATAAACTATTGCTGGCGATACACATTTTATGTAATAGCAGATTATTGATTCCAGAGAGAGAGAGAGATAGAAACACATTTAACCTTAATCTACGCTTTAGTTGATTTGTACTAACTTTACTCACACATTTTTGATAAAAATGTTCAAAACGTAACATTAGAATCGAAATTTATCTAAACAGCTGTTTTGAAGACACAATTTGAAAGATCCGGAAGCTCAAAGCTCCTAAAGCCCGTTTTATTCTCTATATATACATAAAATTATTGTTGGTACATGAATACATAGAATTTATTTATCTAAATAACTGTTCCAGTACTACTGTCCGTCAGTGTCTGCAGGCATCGTTCTTAGAACATAAAGTTACTAAATGTCATAACTATTTAATACTTTTTTTAATTATTACATACATATACTTATTTAATTTAGTATAACTAAAATAGTGTTAAACTAAACTCAAATCAAAAACAAAAGACGTAAATTAAAATAAGATTTTTGACATGCCGAAGTAAAACTAACTGAAATCGAACAGAATAAAACGGAGATGGAAGTTAATGGAATAGGGGAAGTGAGTTATAACGTCGATCTTCTTAAGCTGCGAGGAAAAAAAACTATGTATGTAAAAAAAATAACTATGTAACAGGAAACTAATACATTTTCCCACAAAATCCTATAGTCCACACACTCGCACACAAAACCCCATCTCTACCTTCATGATTTGGTGATAAAAATAAAACAAAAAGCCAAAAGCTATGTCTTACCCGTAAGTGTTTTGGTTCCTAAAGCTAGCTTTTTCATGCCTTCATTGACTTCAGCCAAATCTTCTTTACTAATTTTCACAGTATCTGATACAAACTCATGCACCATATCAGCCTTATCTACTGCACAGCAAAATAAAAATACAAACAATAATGGAACTATGAGAATGCAGAATACAAGTCTCATTTTCACACCAAAGTAATTAGCATAAACTCACCTATGGTATTGGAAACCAAATCTGCACCTTCCCTAGATACCGACATTTCATTGGCTTGACATATTAGACTCACGCGATAGAAGTAATTCCTCCAAAACTCTTCTTCGGATATTCTAAAAACAATAAAATTATTATTTTAGAGTTTGCAGCGAAAGCTAAGGAAATAATAACATTTTAGGCACGAGTTCATAACGCATCTTTTCCAAATTGGGGTCCTGTTCCATAATCGCCATGGCTACTGGGTAAGATATCTCATAGTCGAACTGAAAATCGACCCCTGTAGGCGGAGCCCTAACAAAATTCCTATAAAAATGAAATTAGTTCCTCAGACCTTTCTTATATAGAGATTGCCAGAACCTGCGATCAGTTGAAAGGCTTAAACATTCTTCTTTGAGGTGTTCTTCATTTGCGCAGCCCGCCCAAGGTGGCAGTGCTGTAGACGTGTTGTTAGCCTTTCCTTTCACAAATGCGTCTTGCTCTTTGTTAAATTCACCTAAGATGTTCTAAACAGAAAAACTGAAACTATGTGTTGCCAAATCATCAACCAACTTACATTTTTTTCAACAGTCTCTTTTATTTTAGCACTTGCCTCACTGACTGTCTTGCCAGCTTTATTTACAGCAGAATATAAGAAGCTCCCGAACGACTTTGCTCCAGCCAGTGCCTTGCTTTGTACTGAAGTACAAAAAAAAAGGTATTCAAATCAGGTAAAATTATGAGATTAATACCTACCATTTCCAAATTGACCCTCCTTGTTCTCGTCAGTTGGAGATTCGTTCGCTGACTGTGGTCCAGAATCGGCTCCGCCAGTAGCGCTGGAAATAAAAAAAATATTAAAATATGCACTATACTTGAGCTACTAGCCACCTGGAATTATCATCATCGTCTTTAGCTGGTTTACTCAAGGGCTCGGCAGCTACCGGCGACCCAGTTTCAGCAGCGGGATTCTCTTGCCCTAAAGCATCTGGATTGACGGCATCTTGCTCTCCTTTGCGAAGTTTGGGTATGCTCGAGCCCAGCCAACCTCCTATACCTTCAATTTGATTTTTTACGTTTGAAAACATTTCCAGCTTACTCCCTCCGCCTGACTGAGGCTTGGTTGGGCTACTGGAAAAAATTAAAATATAATATATTGCAAAATGAAATGGGGTAACTGTGAAAAACCATAATGGTCGCCTTACGTTAACAAAAAATGATACCTTACCCTTCTTTTCGCATATTTAAAAATAACCACATGAATTCTTACCTTAGTTTTGATTAGTACATGTGTCTTATTGATGGTCAAAAATCAATTTTTTTCATCTGCTTTAAAATTTTACAAAATTGCATTGGTCAAATTTTTTCACTAAGGCAACTGTATATATATATATATATATATATATATATATATATATATATATATATATATATATATATATATATATATATACATATATATATATATCAATTTAATCATTACGCTTGTTACATTTCTTCTATTCTATTCTATATTATGTCTAATATAAGATCTGCATGTAAAAAATCGCGTGTGTCCCTTTTTTGTTTGTAAATTGTGATGTGATTTAAATTTATCTCTGCGTAGATAAGTCATAGACCATAAGGGACTATCTGATGTCTGTCAACAAGAAAAATAAATATGCTTCTTAACCAATTCGGTTCTTTACAAATATACAATACAAATTATAAATAGATAAACTATAAAAAATGACTCTTGAGGTAATTTTTTTTATTGAAACCATCTGTGCGTCAAGATCACTTCAAAGCCCCTTGCGATTATTACAATCTGTGACTTAAACAATTATCATAAAGCCAATTCGATGTGGGTTGTGGGCCGTGAGTTTCTTAGGGTTTACATTTTATTACGTTCTTGTGATTTGTGAGAGTCAAGGAACTGATAAGGATGCTTTTTATATAAACGTAAATAGTGCGTGCATAAATAACACTTTAAATTAGAGAAAATGCTGAAATAAATAAAGGTATCCTTATTATCCTTATTGGCGTCTTAACTATGTTACGTGGCTGGCTCGGAAATGATCAAAATTTTATGCATAATCTATTGACCCAGTTCTTAAAAAGTACCTTATGCCTTCTTTTGGTTCCTGTCCTAGTAACGCGTTGTCTTCTGTAGGTGTGGGTACTTTTTCTTCGGTCTCACCTTTAACACTACCCATCCAAGAGGTAACTTGATTGGTTATTCCAGAAAACATGTTTTTTTTTCTATGTGGAGTGTATTCTGGTGTGGTTTAAATATGGAAATGTATAGGCGAATTTCGGATGTCGTTAGAATATTACATGAACATCATAAAATTCCCGTAAACAGTGTATCTTTATCACTTCGTGAATTCGTAAAATTCGTACAGCGCCTACTTGACGTAGTTTTTTCCCCGCACAGATATCAATTGTCAGCAACCTTTATGCGCACTCCAGATGCTCATTGGAAAATGTACTGGCCAATGGGAGACGGTTCTTACCCAATAATATCTATTAAAGTATGACAGAAAATGGAGGTTGCCAATTCTTCAAAAAGTGGCTTTAAATTCTTCTGGCATGTTATGCTTGGACTAGATTTTTTTGCTTGCCCATCAAACACATTCATTAATTAGTGGTCTAGTTCTGGGCCATTTTTCCCAATGCTTTTCGCTGTTTTTTTTCAATAAATATAATTTTTATAATACCCTAACCGACATTAATTTTGCTCATTCTTCCCTACTTTTTGGCGCTAGACAATTACGTTAGATTTATTGTTAAAATTATGATATTTGCATCCCGCTTGTTTGAACGGTCGGCAACGCCGCAGCCTAGCAGGCAATGCAACAGGATCCATACGGCTAGCACGGTTGTCATATTTTCGAATCAATTTTTCCAAGTTGCCCATCTTCGCAAATCAGAAAGCCAACCTATTGTTGCTCGTTTTCTAAGTCCGTCAGAAACTCTCGTACAATTAAAGAAAAACATTTTAATTTGAAATAAGTGAAGTGATAAGTTCAGTTTCATTTTGCTCGATCTGGCAACGTAGCCAGTTTACCTCGTCTAGTGGTGCCGTGGTGTGACCTCACGCTTGCATTAGTCAAGGTCGTCGCAGTCACAAGAGTCATTTAAAACGATTCGTTTGATTGGATCCGCGTTTATTTATTTTACATATTTGCTCTATCGATTGAACGTCAAGCTTCAGCTTGAGCATTGATTGGTATTACGTAGGTTTTGTTGGAGTTGAATCATTGTTATTCCTCTTTTTCTGTTCGGAATTCGATGTCTTCGCACAGCAGCCAATTATTGGATGTTTTCAGATTGAATTTAAATGACCTGGGTGCGTCTACACCACCAGTAATTGAGATATCCTTTAAATTTTAAGGTCTTTTACTGCCAGTTTAAATGTAAATTTATCGGAAAAGTTAATTAAGCGTTGTAGAAAGTCCATAAAATAAAAACCTATACGTATAGCTTCACAATTTCACTGTACTGAGTGGCGGAATTTCATCGATTAATATGTTGTTTTCTAAATGTAAAAATTACATTGTCAACTATTGAAAGTGCCTCGATTTCAGAAATTCCAATCCTCTTTTGTGTTAAATGATAAAGGCGTTGTAAACCCTGCATTCATAAAGACGAATTTTTTGAACGCGTTAAAATGGTTGTCAAAAGTAAAAACATAATTTCTCAATAAGAAAATATAGAGTTTTCATACATGATCTACCGGAAAATGTTTTCAAAGGCTTAGTTTTCCAAAAATGCAACTATCGAGTAAATCTTGCCTAACTTTTCTGGTGAAAAAATAATATCTTTTTTTGTTTCCAAATTTCAATGACAAGGCAAATTCTAAATTGCTCTTTTGACTATGGAGAAGACTGCCAAATTGCTAAACAATTGAAAGGCAACTTTTTTTGGTGTCAACATATTGCCTCTATTTGTTTAAAACTCAACAAAAACTTTTCTGAAAAATTCTCTCACTGAATGGGCAGTAGCAAATATTTACTTTCTCAACAATCTGCTATAACATTGTCGTCTGGGAACAGCTATGGTGTGAGAGTTCTCATTACATAAAAGAAAATGCTCCTTTTTGACCTCCCATGCAATGCTAGCTGTAGGAAAAAACACTTTTTGCTTGCTTTTTGCTTAATATTTTAAACTATGAAACAAAAACAATTTTGGTCTTCAACGAGTGATAATTGTGAATATTTTGAACAATTACCACTTTTTGCTGGTTTCCGTCTTTCCAAGCCGATGAATCAAAATAATTTCCTTCTCCTTTAATATAAACATCGGGCACTGTTTCTTTTTTTTTCATTTTCGCGTTTGAATGAATTTCTAAAAAATGTATGTTTACCATTCTTGTGACTTCTTCTCTTCTACTTATTTTTGTAGTGTTGGGCTAACTAAATATCCACCTATCTATATTATTTACGCATTTATAGCGAATTCAATAGTGTTTCAATATAGTGAATAAAAAAATGAATATATACAAAATCAAACTCGCAATAAAAGTATTATTTTACCTCGACACCAATTGGCTAATCGACAAAGAAGCTATGTGTATTATGCAGTGGAAAAATCCCAATGTCGACAAAAAACTATTATAAGTGTTACAATCGAATAAATAAAATGTAACAACAAAATTTAAGATATCTATGACTCTTTTTCAATTTTCACAACTAGTAGGAAGTAGTTGTAAGTTATTTTAGGGTCAACTTATGTACGGGCAGTACTTGTCCGCTATCGGTGCTTTACTGTAAAAAGATTTTGAATATTATTCTTATAATATTTAGTTCGGGCAGTGGTTCGTTTGCTGTTGTACTTTATTTCCAGTACCTTGTAGTTAACTTGGTGGGATAATTAAGCGCATACCCTGGCGGGTACGTGAATAATATTGCGATATTATTCATCCAGTGGGTGATGGGGGGCCACCGAAGTCTATTGTGCTGCAAAATCAGTGGCCTTCTGAATCATTGATTCATCTTCCGAGACCGGTATTATGACTACGGAACGTAAAAGTTTTATTCAGTTTATTAGCGACGACAGCGGCGTAGCCGCGTAAAAACATTTTCAGCCATAAAAACCCGCGCAAAATAATATTAATAATGTGTCGGCGGTATAAGGACGATTTGTTGGCGGAAAAAAAATAGACGATAAACAAATTGTTTGCGGTTGGGTAAAACGGCGAACGCCACTGCTAAAACTTATTGGTACCAGTCGGGAGGGGAAGGGAGTAACAGCAGCACTCACCTTACCACTTCCAACGAGATTCTAGTCTTTTGCTGCGAACGTTGTAAACGTTGGTGAATCGGTAGTCGGGGTATATTAGTATCGCAAAGCGCATATATTCGACTTCGTAATATAAATACCACCTGTCCATAAACTGCTGACGCGATGTTAAGTTTTCGTGGTAGTTGCTAATCGTTTCGAGTTTAATTTTCTTTTTTCTCTCGTGAAAACTGCGGAAACATGTCGAACGGGAAGCTAAACAATCACGCTGACAAAGTGCGATTGTGTTACATCAAAAAAGTGGACAATTTCGACGGTTACGGATTTAACTTGCACGCCGAAAAGGGTAAGCCCGGCCAATACATAGGAAAGGTAGACGAAGGTTCGCCGGCCGAAGCAGCTGGGTTAAGACAAGGCGATAGAATCCTGGAAGTTAATGGCGAAAGCATCGCGAATAAAACGCATAAACAGGTGGTGGAGTTGATAAAGCAACATTCGGACGAAACGAAATTGTTGGTAGCGGACGCCGAAGATGATGGTATTATTCATACCGAACCGACCAAACAAGAAACGAACGAAGAAAATCAAAACAACCACACGACGAAGAGAGAGAAGGAAGAAAATGGGACGCTGAATCTTAGCATGACCGCTGCGGAGTTGAGGGCCAAATTGGCGGCGAAGAAAAAATTCGACCCCAAAAAAGAAGCAATGGATTTCAAGCAGAAGTTTGATATCGTGCAAAAACTCTAATAACATACATATACATTAACGTGTATGAATTCAATCGCGTTATTTTCTGTGAAACGGTTGCTATTGTGATTTTTGTGACATTACGAGGAAGGATTTGTGTCGTCGGGGTACTAATAGACCGTAAAATTCTCTTAGCGAAAATGTACTTAAATTTTGTGGCGTTTTATAAATATAGCCAGTCAATATATTGCGAATTATAAGAAAAAATTAACGGCTAATTACAAACCAAATTAATGGTCGGCAAAAAGTTGTTAGTTGTAATCAGTATTAATTGAGGAAATCCAAGAAATCTATAAAAACTATCGTTTATTTTAATTTTCTAGAACACACGCTGGGGTCATTTAAAAATAGAAATCGCCCGCAGCTGATCCGTATTGAAAAAAAAAAACGGGCATCTTTTTGCTCTCGTATACGTATAGAAATAAATAAAGTCACTATATTACAGTATACAACTTTATATTAGCATCAGAATCGCATATTTATTTGTTATGAATTAATGTTCGTACATATAGCTTTGCGACAAGCGTTCCATATTGTTTTAAGTAGAATATCGATTATATTTTTGTAAAAAAATCTCTGTTGTATAATTATAAGCATGAACAAATAATAAAACGTATTATTATAAAGATGGCGATGGATATTTCGTTTCCGAACTGCTTTTAATTTAAATACAGCTTCTAGCACCCATTATTTCTATTTTATTCGACGCCAATGCCTAAAATCGCATAAGTTTCTGCAACATTCCAGAAAACGACGGTAAATACCAAATGACGAAAATACAGCTAATTTCTAGGGTTAGACATAGAATTTATGAAAAATAAGTCTTCATTTCTGACATAAGTCCTAATTTGTTAAATATAATTAAAACAGATCAGAATTTCTGACATGGTCTCTCGTAAGGGATATTACGAATCGTACCATCAGATATACAGAGTGAGTCAACAATAGAGTAAAGTTCATTATCTCAGTGCTTTCAAAAGTTATGAGAAAATGCTAAATACAAAACTTGTAAAGATTGTTAGGATGCAAACTTATTTAAAGTATACAGGGTGGCTAAAAAAGCGTGACGAATGAAACATACATTTTTTTAAATGCAGCACCCTATTTTTAATTTTGTTTTGAATAATAATACGTACCTAAGACTAATAGTTTTCCCAATACTAGTTTTCACACTTGCAAAAAAAAATACGATAGCGCCATTATTTTCAAAGATTGATCATCATATTCAATTAGATGCTACAGGGTGTTCAAAATAAATGAATATATTTGGATCATTTTAAATTTAAAAAAAAAGTATGTCATATACCTATTTTTAATATTTTGCGATTCAATTTAACTTTCCGAACATTTGCTATAACATTAGTTGGTTACTACAAGGTAACATTGTTAAATTTTATAAAATTTATTGTGGTGTCAGTAAATTATAAAATAAACTAAGTATGGACCCTACGAGACGTATAGCAAGTAGACAATCTCTTCGATGTTTAATGGAACGGTTTGATGCCCTTCGATCATGTGACTTAACACCACTTTTGGGGGGATATGTTAAAGATCTTGATTATGTGATTCCCCCTACAACACCAGACGATATGGAAAATAGGATTCGGGACGCTTGCAGGACAATAAAACTGTTTATGCTAAGGAACCGTCAAGAAAATATACAAAAAAGACTAAACATGTGTATTTTTGAACATTTATTGCGACATAATAATAAGTAAAAATAAGATAAGTGAACAGGTATTTAATATTATTTCCTTTTTCTGTGAATTTGTGAAAAATTTTGACTTTATTTTCACCAAAATTGCTAGCAACTGTCTGTTGTATTTACGGCTCCAACAAAGTTCTTTCTCTTGTTGATCTTAACAGAGAACTGTTGGCTAGTAGTTTTGTCATATCCAACTTATATTGTAGCAATAGTCTTAGAAAGAAAGAAGGGTAAATATTGAAGAAGTTAAAATAAATAGCAAAGTATCTGTCAGAAACAATAATAATATATATGGTGTCCCATTTAAGAAAATCAAATCAATTTAAAGTGACCCAAATATATTCGTTTATTTTGAACACCCTGTAACACCTAATGCAAATTCCGCTGCATATATCTTGTATTTCATCGAATATCAAATATGAGTGATCTTCAAAAATAATGGCGCTATCGTATTTTTTTGCAAGTGTGGAAACTAATATTTTTTAAAAAATTAAAATATTGGAAAAAGCCTTGTTCTATTAGGTGTATTATTGCTAATAAGAAAGTTAAAGAATTTTAGAATTAAAAAAAATGTAAGTTTTTATACGTCAACCCTTTTTATTTCTCACCATTCCATTTTTTCAGTTTTTATTTTAAAAAAATGAGAGTAGGCGCGGCGTTTCCACGAAAAATTGAAAATTCTTTTAATTTTCCAACCAGAACTCGACAGTTATAGAAATATGATTCGATTTATCGAAATAATATGGTAAAACCAGCTCCCTTCGAGAGTAACGTCCCAATAAGTTGCAAATTCGTAATTGCCATTTCAAAAAACCTAAAACTGCCAATTTAATTTTTTCATTTTTGCGGACCTCTCAGCGCTTTCGTAGAAAGCGCATTTCAGAAATAATGAAAAAAATTTTTGGGGCCTCTTTTTAACATCTGAAGCGGGCGGGAAAGATTTTTTTATATTCACAAACTTTTTGATTTTATTTATCGAATTAATTAAAACCATGTGTTTATTATTATCCGAGACTGAGTAAACTAGATATGGGATGTATCAAAGAAGATATCAGCCATAGCAGAGCGAATTGAATTCTGCATGCACGATTGTCATTGCCTTTCAATGTCGACCAATCGGAAAAATTATCTTCACCTTAAAAACTACTAACGTTGCTAGTCTGAGGTTAAATTAATTATATAAACACATAGAAAAAAATCATTAAGCTGTGTTTATTATTACCTACGTCGAATGAGAATGCTTGCTTTTTAAGCACAGCGTTGATTAGGTAGATAGTAATTACGAAAAATTGTTTACTACGAGTTTTCAGTGATTTATGGTATGGCGAATTGGATATTGCACGTGGACTTTAGGTACTGATTGGTCATTTGTATACGATCCTTCGTTGCGGTATTTTGTACAGGGACATCTCCGTGTAATTAAATGGCTTATAATGGCGCAATAGTGTGCGGTAAAGCACCCTGCCTCGCTTATTTATTATTTATATTATATATTTATTAGAGAGGTTTTAATTATTTTGATATAGCGGTGGACCAAAGGCCTCAGCTTGAGGTTGACGACGTAAACAAACCTAATAAAGCACTTTTAAATTTTTTCACTAAGTTGTGAAGAATTAGCTGGCAAACAAGCCCCATATATGACATTACAGTGTTTTTAAGATTACTAATTACAGCATCCTTTGAGCTATACAAACCTTTAGACGACGTAGCCCAAATATCTTTTTCAAACCGTGCTGCCTCGTTTTCTGGTGGCAGAGTAATATGGCCTATTTTTATCACTACTTCAACAGCAAGGCGCTTAAAACACACTGATAATTCTTTCAAATCGTTATGATATTATGGCTTCGAAGCTGCTGTGAGGCATCAAAAACATGTAGAGCTGCTTCAGCATATGAATGCTCCAGAAAATCTAAGAATTTTGAAGAAGCTTAAGAAACTCGACCCCATTCAAAATCTTCTGTTTCCCCCCTTGTTAAGTAATTTTTTATTACATTAAAAGATGAACCTTATTATTGCTTATTATTTTTAATATAATTTTGGTGTACATTTGAAGACAAGTAACTGATTAATAAATGAAAATAATTAATATACTAATCTATCTGAAATTTTCATGTTAATTCACAAAACAAAAGAAAGGACGAACTCGACAATACACCATTAAAAGAAAAGAAAATTGTTTTTTTTTTGTTACAACCTTGGCACATCTGAAACCATTTATTACTAACGAATCAAATATTCACGGAGCATATACCGGGTGTCTCACAGTGAAGTATTTCAGTCAATTAGCTTAGTTAAAATGTTTTCTGGCTATAACGAAGTCTCATGCGAATTTTTTTCTATGAAATTAATTTGTATGTAATTAAAATTAATTTAAATATTAAATAGGTATATCAACATATTAAAATTGTTGAAATTGAACTGAAACAGGTGATTCAAAAAATATTAACTATAAAATCAAATTAACTGACGAGACTACAGTTTTTCACAGTATTTCACCAAATTTTAAAAATTTTACGTATCACTAGCTAAGATTCCCTGTATTTAGTGCAAATTATAATGGCATGACGATTTCGCATATTTGTTAAGTGGTTATTCAAATTTTCTTTCGCCTTGACGCTGGATGCTTTGACTGAGCAACGATTATACCACAACATTTTTTGTTCCTTTTCTTTTCGTGCACTTTGGTCGAAATTAACCGTAAACAAAGAAGATTAATATACTAATAATAATAAATTAATTAATACATTATCAGAATTGTTTGTTATTATTAAGTAGTGCGACAAATATTGTTTTCAATTATATATATATATATATATATATATATATATATATATATATATATATATATATATATATATATATATATATATATATATATATATATATATATAAATATCGATCATCGTATTCGCAACATGACACGAAGAACAATACCACTTCACAAAATATATATGCTTTAAATGATTGTTGCTATTTTTGTGTCGTACAGTATACAGGGTGTTGCAAAAAACATGTTTCGACGCATTGATAGAGATAGATAGATAGATAGATATGTAAAAAAGAAGGCCTTTTGATAGATATTAATTTATTTCTTTAAAAGAGATAAGAACGGTAAATATGCAATTCTTACAAATATTTTTTATTTTGTAGGAAATGTACTGTTAGGCAAAAATGTTTTAAGGCGTTTTTTAAATATTTTAATAAGCAGGTGTTTTGACTTTTTTGAAAGAGGATTGTGGAGACGTTGACCAACAACCATTGGTGACGATTTAAAATATTCATGATTAAGTAGCTGAATACACAAATACCCGTTAACTTCGATTTATTTTTATGGACATATGTTAAAATATTAAGCCAATAGATTAGAAGCTACAATATTATAAGGCAGGTTAAAAAGGGGTCGGAGGATTTAATTTTATGTAATAAAACCCTCATGCCATCGCGGGCCTGGAAAACTGCTAACACTAAACATTTTCTAGCGCCTTGGCAGTGACAGCGATTTTTAAAGGATTTAACATAACAGAGTTTTTATTGAGTTTTAAACAATTGGAGGCAATATACTGGCATGAAGAAAGCTAACTATCAATTGTCACGAATAGAAATTTGTCAGACTTCTCGGTATTAACAGTATGGTTCCCAAACGTATTCACGTTTTTCGAACCTTATTTTTGGCTATTAACTTTTCCGGCTTCTAAATAAGTAAATCGCAAATAAAACATTTCATGCCGAAAATTCATTTTTTTTGTGGCAAATTTTGGTGATACAAAATCAAATGGAATTTAAGTTGTACTGTTGCGTTAAAAAAATGATTTCGTTCAATAACAAAATAATACGGGCGAAGGAAAACGAGTTGTGATATATCGACGAACGAACCTTGAAAAATTAACATAAAGGTGAAAATAAATGATGAAAGTGGCGAGGCTGTGCGGGACTCCCGATCGACATTGTAAGACAAAATGCTGGCCGAATCGGACGAGGAACATTTTAATCCATCCGTAAGGGTAATTGAATTCGAGAAAACCGGCCAAAATTGCGGATTTCACTTGACGAGAGGCAAATGGGATCCGTATCCATGGGTGAGTCGAGTCGATGATGGATCCGTAGCTCACAATGCCGGTTTAAAAGCTGGAGATTGCCTGTTGGAAGTGAACGGAGACGACATAGTCGGACGAAGAATATCCGAGATAGCAGATTTAGTGAAATCAAAATCCGGACAGGTTTCACTTTTAATTTGGAATGCGGGAGTTGATGCCCAATGCACACCCGAGGTAAGCTCCATATTACTTTTTGAACGGACTGGGATATATTTTTTGCTGTCAGTTTTTAGATTCAGATTACTTATTAATTTTAATGCATTTAAAAGATGTATGGAACTGGTTAAAGGGGGTTTCTTCGGAATTTTAAATAGAACAACCATGTAGGTGGTGCAATAGTGCAACGAAGTACATTATATCCCTGATTTAGCGTATATTGGAAAATTTAAAATATTTCAAAAAACTGTTAAACAATTATTTCAAGCAGGGTGTTTTCCAATCTTGCCAAATTGACTAAGTTTAAACAAATCCTTCTCTTTAACTTATTTATCGTTTTTATCTCTCGATAAATAATCGATTTAATACACTCTGCTTACTTAAAAACGCATTTTTGTTATAATTAAATTTGCAAATGTGTTTTAATTAAATTAAATAGTAAGTAAACTCAAAACGCTTATTTAAGAAATACCAGTTACTAAGTTATTAGCCCTTTTTTTCTTCTTGAAAAACTCAAATTTCAATACCCATATCTTGGAAAAAGGTTCTTATTCGAATTCTTCATTTTTTTTATACGCTGATGAATAATACAGAGAAACAATATCTAAATTTATTATTTAGTAATAACAGTAAATGTAAATGTATTACTTTTAATTTATTATTTATATTATTTTATATTCACTTCTTGGCTAGACAACGATAGGTTAACATGTAAACGATCAATAAAAACGCATACTACTTATTAAGGAAAAACTTTAATCGATAGGTATTATTAAACCTTAATAAAAGTGGTATATAACTGAAAACCATTAAGTGATTAGATACAAGATAGCTTAAAAGTTCGTGAAATTGGCAAGACTTTAGAAAACTCCTGTATAAAATAATTACTTATGCGGACATCTTAGTAATGACTGTCTTAAAGGCATGTTTTTTAAAATATTTTCTTTCTATTGTTTCCCAATAAGTTGTCAACGTCACATATATGTCAAGGGCACATATTTTTACAGGCTGCGTAATAGAAAATATTTTTTCAAATTTACGTCTTTCGATTTTATGCAATTCGAGTCCTAAATTTACATATTTACAATTAATTAATTAAAAAAGCTGTATCACTAGCGAACATTATGGAGTACACGGCACACATTAACGATATTTCAATAATTTCAATAATAAATCGGTAACACAACTTTATTTTATAATAAAAATTATTTGAAATCTAAACAGCATTTTTTAAACAGGAATTTACATAAGAACCACTCTGAACACAGTGACGTTTTGAATTACAAAAATTTTGCGCACCGTATTCTCTGATAGAATAAAATTAATGTCATTTTGATTTATCATAAATATTAAGGTCGTATCACTTTTCGTGGATGTGATACGATTTCCCTTTGTTTGTTCACACTTTAGCTCTTAGCGTAACGTCATTCTAGCATAAAAACCGCACATTTATCAAATAAATGATAGGGCTACGCGTGTTATTAATTTTGCCGACAATATTCCTACAGTTTCATTAAAAAAAGCTTCGCTCGAATGAAATAAGAGCGGTCTAGCGGATAAACAAAGAAGCTTTTCGAAAATTTCTCCTCCGCCATATTAAAACACGTATCTGGCTATAAATTTCGTTGTTAACTTTCCTTTTCATAATTTCGTATGTACAACAGACGTTTGCGATTTTAATACGCCAATTTTTAAGCCGCTAATCATGCGGGAATTATATACCCGGCTAGTTGTTATTCATTAATACGTGCAAAAGGTGAAACTAAATGTTCAGGATTAATTTTGGATACTTATATGCTGCTAACGTCATAAGAAGTGGCCAGCATTGTTATTGCTGCCATACGGGGAGGTTATTTAAAGATTAAAAATTATTATATATTTTTCCACACGCCAACAGATTTGGCAAAAAAAAATGTTGTAATAAACTCCTCAAACAATGGAACCAGTTAATATATTAATAAATTGAGTTACTAATTTTTTTTGTTTTTCGTTATATTTTTTTAATAATAATAAGTTAAAAGATTTTTTTTCGGAGTAATAAATATCAATAATGATTCCTTTCATAAACTGTTTTAAAATATTCTGTACACGGTATTTTAAAAAACATGCACCAATTCTCGGCTAGAGATTCTTAATTCAAAAATGGGTTTGATATACTTAGTTTAAATTTTATTAAATAATTAAATTAAATATTAAATATTATTTGAATAATTTTGTTGAAATTTTTCTTTAATTATATTAAAATTGTGCAGTATCGGAAGGTATATTAACCAATATGTTGGTAAAAAGATGTACGCCAGTGATTTTTTTTTGCGATTCTTGTTGTTCTCTTTTTCGAGCCAACAAATATTGAAACGAATCAAATGAAAATGAAAATTGAGAAAATATTATTTTTTTGGATCCTTTGATGACACAATAAATTTAAAAAAGTAACACTAAAAAATAGTAAAAATGGCCACCATTGACTTCATCGCAGGCATGTAGCCTACGACGCAAGGATTTTCGCAAGCAAATCAATTTTTAAAAATCTGGAAACTAAGCACGGCACATGTTTTTTGAAACCCTCGGTATAAATACAGTTTTCAAATAACTACGGTAGTTTATAGGTTTAAAACCGGAAATATGTGTCAGTTACTGCGTGGGAACATTTACTGTATGGCATACATACTTCGCTTTTTATTTAAAAACGATTTCAATTAATATCAAAAGTATATAAGTATTTCCGTCGTATTTCACTGGATGCCGGACCAGACTTTTTATCAAGTTCCATACAGTCATGGCAAGAATATTTTCTGAGGCTTGCTCCCATTGTTTTATAATCAAGCGATAAATGCATTATACTTTTGCATGGTAAAAAATCATGATTGTGGCATATTAACATATATTGTGGCCTTTAGAATCGGTCATAATGTTAATATGAAAGAAATATCTGTCAAATCCATAAAAATAACTATTATTTAGAGGAATTTGAATGATTGTTTTATAGAATATGATTTTGTAGAGATCTTTTCAGATTATCATTTTTATTTTGCGCTTTACTTAGGTTTAAAGTCATTTTATTTTATGGCTTATTAACGCTTTAGTTCTATGAAAAAATATGAAAGAGATTCCCAATAATGGTTTTTTGCGCAACGACCTTTTCATATAACACAAAAGATAATCCCAAAGAAATTTTTGAAAATAGGAAACCTTAAATTATCAATAAGTACCTAATTGTTTTTTTTTATATTTTTTATTTGCACATTGCTATTAATAGTTTGCAATTTTTTTTTAGGCATTATGTTGCGGACCTATTACGAGTAATTTTCAGAAGCTCTCGGCTTGCATGAGTACGATCCTTGCCTTCCTAGAATGTCCGGTTTGTCTGGACACTATATCTCCACCTACGTATCAATGTGACAACGGTCATTTGATATGTATCCGATGCAGAGCTAAGTCTGAAAGATGTCCTGTTTGTAGACATAGATTGGCAAGAGGAAGATCCCTGCTGTCTGATCAGGTTGTTAAATTAATGTAGTTGACATTTAAATTTTTTGTTACGACAACTTTATTTTTTGTCTCTTTTTTTTATATTTTTATAGGTCTATCATGCCATAGTCGATGCGTTTAATTTGCGAGACGAAAACGATGAATCGAAGATAGCGAAAATCCAGCAAATTTTTAAACCAAAAATTAAGAACAAAAGCATACCAAATATAAAAGTAATCCAGTGCCATACCAGCAAACTTTTAGCGAAAGTAATAGGTAAGGCGTCGTCGGTCGAAAACTTGACATCCAATTCGAAATTGCTTACACCGAATACGAATTGCTCGACATTGAAAGCGAAATCTTTATCGACGAATGAAATTTTTCACGCTGAAGTTTCGAACGTATCTAGAACTGGCTCGATAAGCCGCTTGAGTAGAAGAAATGAAACTACAATAAACGACTCGTTGACTAATATCAGCGATTTTAATAACAGACCAACTTCGTTTTATGGATCTTTTGAATATCTAAACAGAGACGACGAACCAGTAACTTTTCACTGCCCATTTCAATCTACTTGCCCGGTTATCATAAAAGGTCTATATTTTCTCATTCCAATTCTGTTTTTTTGTATTGAAATTTATTGGTTTCAGGTCACAACGTCATAAATCACTTCCAGACTGATCACAGTGGTCCACTCATTCAATACTTCGGATCGCACATTAAGTTGCATTTAAACAAACTAGAAAGTGAGAATTGTTTTGTGATAAACAATTCGGGTACCACCTTTTTCGTTAATACTATTTCAAATATTAGCAACGTCGATAAAAATTCAAGGTATAGTTAACAGCATCGAAAATTCGAAAATTTAGTACCACAATATATTTTTAGTTCGCTTGGCGACGTATTGATCTGGTCTTGGCACTCGAAAACCGACCAAAGCTGCGATCATTTTGATATTGAAATTGATCTTGTCGATAACGCCAGCTCGCAATCTGTATTTCGTACTAGAATTCCTATCTTGCCTTTAAATTCTGTATCTTCTCAGGACGTTAGACAATTTAAGAAAGGCGTATTTCTAGGTTCCAAAATATTGGAAATATTACCTCCACGCGATTTGATATTAAATGTAGATATTGTTTCATCTGAAGCTAATAATTTGGATCTATAAAAAATGTATGTAAAAAAATAAAACATGCTACAAATGTACAAAATAAATTATATAAAACTTTTATTGTGTAATTAGCTTTGCTGGGCTATTATTTAATTTCTGTATGTAGTAACATTCAACGTATCTCTAGAGTTAAACAGATAACTCTATATATAAGCAACTGATTACAGTTCAAGAACACATTTTACGCACTTGAAATGTTTTAAACGCAATCAGATAATTATTAAATTTATTATAAGCAGGCAGTATTAAATCGTTCTAATTAGGTAGTTTTAAAGAAATTCTTGTTTACATCTACTGAATATCGTTTGGCAACGCTGTCAAGCGTTGATTTCTGTGAATTAATATTCTATGGGCGACAGACCACCGCTTATGTCTGATATGTTTCTCCATCTGCAGTATTATTATATACGTAAAAAACTGCAGGATTAGTAGAACTCTTTTAAGTGAATCGTTATTTAATTTTGTAAAATGAGTAAGAAACAAGTGGGATCAGAGATTGAAATTGCACCTTTGAGGTCTCTAGATGATTTTCTTCTTGAGGCAGCTCGTTTCCAAATTCCAAATATTAAAGATTTGGAAAAATGGGGCAATCGAGTCACGAGCAACCTCCTTTATTACCAGACAAATTATTTTTTGTCGGCTTTGAGCATATTTGTCATAGTTGGGTAAGGCAAATTCGATTTTTTGTTGGTTATCTTTTGCTTGTCATTTCTTTATATAGATTGTTAATAATTATTTAGGATTATTCATCCGATTAAAATGGCTTGCGGATTCCTGGCGACTGCAGTGATTTTTATGGTATTCATTTATGTTACAAATGAAAAAGCTAGCGCAGCTCAATTCAAACGTCAACATCCAATAGTCTCCCTGTTTCTGATATTTGCAGGATGTTATTTTGTTGCCTATATGTTAAAATCACTTTTGATTTTTCTTTTCGGCATACTTTTACCATTTGCAGGTAATTTGTATATCCTCTTAGCTGTCTCATTTCCATACTTATAGAAATTTGTTTTAGTTATCTTCATTCATGCTTCACTAAGGCTAAGAAACATTAAAAACAAAATTGCAAACAAAGTAGAGAATCTCGGTCTTAAAAGAACTCCAATGGGGATTTTTCTTGAAGAGATGGGTCTGGAGAATGAAATATTCTGAGTGCCAGTTTAATTTCAAGCTGTTCTTGAGATCAAACTGTAAGAAGATTGTAAAACTGTATTACAAGATAAAACTTGTGTTATTACCAAAAAGAGAAAAAACTAAGTTGTCATATAAATAATTATAAGGTATTTATGTATTTTTGTATTGAATACTTGTGATATAATTGTTTTACCTTTAAAATATTGTAAGCAACTTACGCGAAATTTGTATTAGTTATTAGTTTATGAGGATTTGCTCATATGATAATATATATCTTATTTGATTAAATAAAAGCTGTTAGCTCTGGTCCCGTTTTTCATTAATTATTATAAAGCCCTAAGGATTGTAGGAATTAATTATTAGTTATAGTTGTTATTGACATTTGTGTTGTTTATGTTCTGGAGTTCAGTTGCAGAGATCGGCCGATACCAGCACAATATCGATTGATATCTTTCTCCTCTTTTTGTTATGACGTTTAGTACGAATTACAGAAATAGAGGATATGAGCAAATGGGAGAATAACCCCGATATGTTGCCTATAGAAGAAGAACGGTATAATGATCCTGGCAACTTTAATTGGATTAGATTTTAGTTCTAATGGCCACGACTACAATAGGTCACTCAGCCAGCTTACGACAAGTGTAACATATACAAAAATCCTGAAGAATGCCTTCCTTAAAGAAGGGTCTGGACCAATCCATCATCCTCCAAATTGATTAACATATACAAAAACGGGAACACCTTCTAAATAAATTGTCATAAAATGACGACCGATTCTTCAAACGGCTCCCGCAATTATCTTTTATGGGATATCCGGCCTGGCTACCAGCGTGAATATAAGACATCCGGAAACAGTGTTAACATACACATCATGGAATAACACATCACAAATCCGTATACATCCGCGTAAGACGAACACTATTTCCCAAATTTATAGGCACTACGCCTCTATCACTTCAGATAACAAATGTACAAAACAAAATTTACTGTAAACGACACTAATTTCAACCGATTTCTACAGTTTTTTGGAACAGAGCAGGAGCAACGTCCGCCATGTGCAATGGTTAATCGAAAGTCCTCTTAGCAATTTAGTTCTATGCAGAGAAGAAGAAGAAGAACCATTTGATTGTTTATTTGACACTTCTTGGAAGTCATAACCTAAGTTTTTATGATATTTGTTTACTGTTTTGAGGTTACAGTTAAAATTTACCGGTTTATAATTTTTTAGATGTCTTCAGAAAAGAAAGACCCACTCTTTGAATCTATAACTACGGTCTTAAGTTGTTTTCTTGATCCAAGCTCGGAGGCACAAAATGCAGCATCGGAAAAAAAGAAAATTTTGGAAGTTGTAGATGGTAAATTTTCTCGTTCTAGTATTGAGTTCTTTTGCTTTTATTTTGCTTTAAGAATACCCGCTGGTCCTTTCCGACATCATTGCCAGTGAAGAAGCATTCCCAGAGAGACAACTTGCTTCAGTGTTCTTGAGAAATTATGTGGGAGTGATTTACAAAAAGGCACAAAGTGGTTCAGTCACAAACATGGGCTTATTTCAGAAGGATATTGGCAAAAAACTATGTTTTAATTTGTTGGAAATTTTATCTACTGTTGCGGAACCAATCAAAAATATTGTTTGTGGATCATTGGCCATGTTATGTGCAATTGGATTTTGGCCCCAAGTAAACCCACTTGTCCTCAACATGCTTAATAGTGGGAATGCCCATAGTATAGATATTGCTGCTAGTCTAATAAAGGAAACTTTTATTGTGCAGTTTGAAGACATATTGGAACCTGACGCTGAACGCAGTTATGTAGATCACCTTTTGGATATTCTAAAAACTGTAAGTGTGTACATACAGGATGTTTCAAAACAAGTGTGAAAAATTTAAGAGGGTAATTCCCTGTTTAAAATAAATGGTAGTTTATTATATAAACGTTGCTACAATGGGGCTGAAAAATAATGCTTTTATTTTTTATCTTCAAAACGAAAATAGATGGAACAGTAAAATATTATGAAAAGGTTGCTATTATAAAAATACAGTTTCTGCATATATTTTTTTTAATTTAAGGAAAAGCTTATGCAATGACATAAAAAAATATTTTTTTAATTTATGTTTTATTTGGAAACTTTTTCGTCTCCCTTTGTTCATAAAAGGTGCAATTTCCAAATAAAAAAATAAAATGTCATCTCAACAGCAAAAATTATTTTAGAAAAATGATTTAATTTTGTACCAACATTTATCAATTATCTTATTTATAATAAATAGTTCTGAAACTAATTGATCTATTCATATATAAACGATGAATTAATACCTGTTTTAAAAAACATTTTATTTAAAAAATGTAACTCACTGACTCACTTTGAAACACCCTGTGTATCTTTTGTATAATCTAATCAAACAGATTTTCTTACTTTATTAGAACACTTTGACTTCAAAGACAAGGGCGAATGCTGTTTCTCCAATGTATGTAAAAATTAAAGCTCTAAAGAACAATGAAGAAGTATTGGCAAATTATTTACCAATAGTTGGTTCAATCTTTGAGCAGATTTTAAATGAACCATATTCTGAAAATTCTGATTTTCATCTTAAATGTGAAGTAATTCAGTGCCTATCTGAGTTTATGGAAGAGATTCCTAGCATTACAAAAATAAGCCTACCAGCATGTTTGTCAGCAATTGGAAATTTATTAACAATGTGTTGTACAAATTATAAAGCTCTGGTGATGGATAATGCATCTGTTCCTCATGATGCTTCAGAGACAGATATAGAAGAGCCAATTAATTTTTATCTGCTTGTGATGGCCATAATGCAATTCATGAAGTCTCTGTTTGGAAATTATTATTTTGAAATTTTGATGGATGACTTAGATAACATTTTATACTGCATTCTGGTCTTTATGTCTTGTCATCATGACATGGATAAGCAAGTGTTTATGGAAAGCTATGATAAGGGATATTATTTTGCCCTTAGAACTCTGTGTGTCAACATTATACAGGTAATTTGATTATTATAATTGGCAGTAAAAAAAAAGAATTTATGATTTTAGGAAATTGTTACAAATTTTGGTACTAGGCGTCCCAACGGTAGATCTATAGTTATTAAAAATTTAAACAATACCTTTCAAAAATTAAGTAGTGAAATTCAAGAAAGCAACAATACCCTTTATATGGTAAGAATCAATGAAGCCATGATGTTCGCTCTAGGAGAGTGTTACAATTATTTTGATAAAAATGGGGAGTACATATTCCCATTCCTTCAATACATGGATTATTGGACATCCCTGGCAAGAACGCAATCAAACCTAATGATTAAAGGACGAGTATTATGGCTTGGTGCCACTTATAACTTAGAGTTAACTACAGCTCTGCTTAATGTGCATTTGAAAACACTTCTGGAAAATTTAACCGTGGGCAATACATATTTATATTCAGTATGTGCCGGGTAAGTAAAATATTTAATTTTACTTTTTTTTTTTTAATTATTTGTTTATAAATTTAGAGCACTCAGAAATCATTTAATTAGTTTTCAAAAGATTTCTGTGGAAAGTCAAATGGTTATGAGAAATTTTGCGGAAGAAATGTTGATCAGCATTCTGAATGTTGCTGAAGATGCAGTACCTCACTGTTGCATTTTGACAGTCTTGGGACATTACTTGGAAGTAAGGATGCTGTTTTTTAGCTCCAGTTACTCTAAATGATTAATTTCATTTTTAGCTTTATTTGAATAGTGCCCTTAGACATTTTGCGCAAATAGATGAGTTGTTAATAAGGGTATTATGCGAACATGTTTCTTCAGTGAGAGTTATGAATGAACTTAATTTCATATTATCTCGTGTTGCTAGTATTTGGAGAATGGACAATTCTGTACATCATAAATTTTTATCCCTATTAATAAACGTTTTGCGCAAAAAGGGACCAGCATCACTGAAAGAGGATGAGGATAAAGTTCTTCAATTGATTAATACATATATTTTGTACAACTATGAACATGATGATTTGCTTCTTCTCGAAGTATTCCATGGAGCCAAGCGGATAATCTCAGAAAACTGTGATGCTACTACAGAGGTAATGAATTATGAGTGACAATAGGTTTTTAAACGCGATGGATTCTAGCAAGCTTTAATTTTGATGACGACAATGTTAGTGAAGGCATCAGAGCAGTTAAAGTACCTCGCGGACGAAAAAGGATTTCCAGTAGTACACAATTTACCTGCTATCATACAATATCAGTTGGTGTCGGTCAACGATATTGCGGGTGATGTGCCTGGATTGCTGACAGTAGTGACCATTTATTACTTGCCAGAAATGATGGAGCCCCATTTTAACTCAATTTTGAAACACATATTGACGACTGATAATAATTATTTTAAAAGTATGAGGTGTATATGGTTAGTGTTTTTGTTCATCTGTATGCTTCAACCACTCGACACTCTTAGGTTTTTGTCCAGTTTGCCTGGACCAAGTGGAGGTAGTGCCTTAACTTATGTATTGGGTATGTGGGATTCAGACTCTTATTCTTCAGTGACAAATATCGAGAGACAAATTCAGTAAGAATTTCAACACACTTGCTTTTGAATATACTTAACAACTTCATTTATTGTAGGGTTATTTGTATAAAGAAAATAATAGAACACTGCTTGTCAAATCAGCAAGATTTTCAGCGGATGTGTGACATTTGCATTCGTTGCCCGGGACAGCTGGAAGAATATACATTAAGCGGTTTTGAAACGCTTTATCTACACTTAATTTCTATTTTACGTTTCCAGGATGAATTTCAGGTACGTAATTTATGTTAGTGTTTAGTTATTCTACATCTTTATTTGTAGCAGTATCTCAGAAATTTGCCATTTGATGTCGAGGATTGTATGATGTTGATTGATAAGAATTACTTGGAGCTCTTCAAGAATCATCCTTTCAATATCGACATAATCACAAACATTGTGAATTTTTTGAAAGTCCCCACACCGCCTTACTTCAGTGTATTGCAAAAAGTTTTTAGTCAGAGCGAGTATATTATGCTACGTGAGTACGGCTGCGCAGTTCCTAACAATATTCAATTCCAAGAGCGTATGGAATAGTTCAAATGCAGACTCGGTCGCAATTAAGGCTGTGGTTAGTAATTTAGGTTTAAGATATTTTTTTGATACTTTGTGATATGCTAGAATTAAATAATATTAATATTAGGTTTAGGACAATCCAAATTTATTGTAAGTTTTTATTTAATAAAAGTATTTGCATACGAAACACACCTTTTGGTACACATGCGTTTGGTCTGGGATAACGTATCTCACAATCTGTTCAAAATATCAAAAAAAAAAAACGGAAAGGCAAAAGTGCGTTTAAAAATCTGTTATTATATATACAGGGTGGACAAAGTGGACAAGTAATAACTGTGTTTTAACGTTAATTTATTGGCAACTTTGTTGCATATAATATATGATTTCTAGGGGATATTTTACAATCGAAAGCAGGTACAATATCACAATCGCTTTTCGATTCCAAAACATATAATAGTCGGTCATATAAAATTATTGATTCAATCAACGGTGCTATTAGAATTTTAATAGAATAAAATATTACAACTTTGGTCCAGGTATCATTAACAATGCTTTGGTAAGACTCGATATCTCCCTTGTTGATTTTTTGATAAACATCTCTTAGACCTTTCTTGCAGTATTCATCAAAACACATGTCTTTGTGGTATTTCACGTTTGCTGTTTGCGAGTGGGCTAATTTCAGATCGGTTTTCACCATAAGCACTTCCAGGGCTGCTCTAAATGAATGGACTCTGAGGCTTTGATCACCTTGTCGGATTTTTTCTATATAATTTTCAATTGCATGGCATGCTGTTTCACAACTTGTATAATCCAAATTAATGTCCTTCATTCTGCAGAAAGTACTAAGTGGAAATCCCCTAAATGTGTCTGGAGCAAGGGATAATTTCATATAACAACAGCCAACTATATTAAGGAAAACAATATTAGCACTTTCCCTGTACAGCCTAAGAAGTGTTGAAGCCAAGTTTCCACAAGGATGAAGTCCAACAATTCCAAATTTAAATCTTGGGCAATTAGTTGCAAATGCTTTCTTAACTAATGAAATGAATTCTGTTATAGACATATCATTTTCGATTCTTTTGCTTATATGAACAATGTCATGACTTTTTTCATGAGGGATTTGTTTCAGTTTTAACATTGCCTCAAACTGTTTGTCAAATTTTTGTGCTGTGTCAGTTAATGTGGAGTTTGCTTCAAAAGTGCAAACTTTGAAACCAAAACCATAAGCAAGCAATCGACTTAGGTGCCCCAATCCAGCACCAACATCAACAATATAAAAACAATCTGTTTTTAAAGCATTTTGGTTGCAACTTGAGGACATGGAACAAATTTCATGTCTCTTCTTTAACTTGACATTCTTCCAAAGATATTTTCTGAATTCCTTACTAAAGAATTTCTCCCCATTCTCAACTTTTTGCCTTGGAACTGTGTAGGACCTTATAATTTGTTTTAAACATAAAATTGATAAAGGACATCCGGAGTGATTGGTTGAAGCTGATGTATCCAGTAGACTCGCGATTTCATCTACTGTTCTTCCTTCTAAATATTCCTTCCAACTCCCTGGAAGTTTCATCCAATGATTCTTTACATAGTAGTCGCACACATAAGCCTTGGATATATCGCGGTATTGATTATATACTTGAAAACAAATTGCAGTTGATCGTTTTAGAGAATCTTGTCTGTCATTTGCACTTAAATGAACGGTCATGTCGCATATTTTCAAAATATTTTGGATTTTTTTTTTCGGTCGTTTTAATCTTAGATTAATGATATCTAATAGAGAGCAAAAAACACCTTTTATTAATATTTCGAATCAACTAAGAAATTTGACACAACCATAGATAAATTTTAGATATGCAAATATTGTACAACAATAATTGAAGAATTCTGTAATCTGCAAAAACTGACTTATATAGTTGAGGATAGATGGCTGGCAGTGGGTAGATACTTTGGTAGATAATATGAAAATCTTAGTTACCGACAAGGTAAAATCATTTTTGTATAACGTTTTTCCGCTTATGTGTTGGTAGTTATTACTTTAGGGGATGTAATTTGCATCTCTAGTCATTAAAAACAGTCAAACGAAGTTTTCATTGTTATTAGTATTTGTGATGCCAGTAATGAACGTGATCGTCGTTTGTAAACAGAAATTTTAAATTTTTGACGTGGAGTCCCATTGGCTTCCTGTGTACTAGTCGAGTGCAATGTGATACGTAATGGCGGGTAAGGCGTTACAGTGGAAATTAGTGGCGAATCCCACTGGGCCCCAACCTAGACCGCGCCATGGACACAGGGCGGTTGCTATTAAAGACTTAATGGTTGTTTTTGGTGGCGGAAACGAGGGAATTGTCGATGAACTTCATGTTTACAACACAGGTATCTAGGGAACTTTTCCTTTTTCTAATGATAAATATGGCGCGGTATTTTGTTTTAATGTAAAACACTGTTGCCAAAGGCCTTAAGTGAACTCATTAGTTTTAATTGTTTGTGGATATAATGATCAGAACATTTGTTGCACTTTGTTTGGATACCTATATTTTCAAATGTCATTTTCATTTGGGTTTTGTTTAAGTTGGAAACAAATATGGCGGCGTATACAACCAATGCAAATTACCCGGTTTTTCTGTTTTTTTATTATATATTTACCCCAAAATTTGTTTTTTTTTATAACATTTGCACTTTGTATAGTCTATTTGGCAATCATTCGCATTGTTTAGAGGTTACAAGTTTTTAAAACCGGTGTGAAGTTAGCAGCTCAAAGTTGGCAGCCAAAATTGCGGAAACATCCGAATGACCAGTGGCGGCGGAGATTTTTAAAATATATTTAGGACGCAACTTATTCCAACTAAATAAATCTCTTTGAATATTAAATCACAAGTTGGCAGTATAAACCGAAACACCATATTATACACTATTGCAGACATCCCGATATTAAATGTTAAAATATAAGACGTTTTTTTTGTTCTACCATGTAAACAAAATATACACACATTCTTATCTCAATACAATGTGCCCATAGAGGATAATTTTCATTTCCAGCAAAAATATTCGGTTGCACTCCCAGACGAGAGTTGCGCCATGGTAAAAATATAAAACGCGAAAGATTTACCACAATCGAAATTTACAACTGCATTTCCATCACGAAGTGAATGTGTGTAAATTTAGATTAGGTATAAAAAAAAATTTTTTGAATTTTTTATTTTCACCCTATACCGATTCTCGTACGGGAGTGTAGGCGAATATTTTTACTGGAAATGAAAATTTTCATCAAGAAATTGAAGTGTGGAAATTTCGATTAAGGAAGAAAAAATGTTTTACATTTTTTAAATTCACCTTATACAACTTTCATACGAAATATAATTTTGCTAGAAATGGAAATTATCTTTTATGCACACATTTTATTGCATATTAGAACGAAAAATCGTTTTATATTTTAACATTTCATCATAAATACAAATAGAAATAGTGGTGTCTGGGTTTGTATTGCTGCCTCTTGATTCAATACTCAAACAGATCTATTTAGTTTGAATAAGTCGGTTCCTAAACATGTTTTAAAAATTTTAACCACCAATGGTCATTCGGCTGTTTCCGTAATTTTGTCTGCCAACATTTAGCAGCTAACTTTACACCGGTGTTTTTAAATATTACTCTCTTTGCCTACGATGTGCTATATATTTTATTTTGAATTTTACATAACAGTTTTAGCAGCTCTTTCATTTATAGCCACAAACCAATGGTTTGTGCCACTTCCAAAGGGCGATGTACCTCCTGGTTGCGCTGCATATGGTTTTGTTGTCGAGGGCACTAGGCTTTTAGTCTTTGGGGGTATGGTAGAATATGGCAAATATAGCAACGAACTTTATGAATTACAGGTATATTTTCAAGATTATTAATTTGTCCTTTACTTGCTGACAAAAGGCATATTTTAGGCATCAAAATGGGAATGGAAAAATATAAAGCCAAAAAACCCCAAATCAGGGCCCCCACCTTGTCCTAGATTAGGACATAGTTTTACAATTGTTAATTCAAAGGTGTATCTCTTCGGAGGCCTGGCTAATGACAGTGTGGATCCCAAAATCAATGTTCCACGCTATTTAAATGATTTGTATACCCTTAATATACGTACCATCCCCATGCAGTGGGAGATTCCAATAACCCATGGTCCTTCTCCACCGCCACGAGAATCTCACACTGGTGTAGCATATGTTGACAAGAAAATATCGAAGTCCTTTTTGGTTATATATGGAGGTATGAGTGGATGTAGACTTGGAGATCTTTGGTTTTTGGATACTGAAAATATGACTTGGAGTAAACCTCAAGTTTCCGGAATAACTCCTTTGCCAAGGTTTGTTTCACAAAATTTTTAAGTTTTCTGTGTTGTAACTCGCTGAACTTTCAGGTCTTTGCACACATCAACATTAATTGGTCATAGGATGTTTGTTTTTGGAGGGTGGGTTCCAGTTGTAGCAGATGAAGGAAAACTATCCATTAGTGAGAAAGAATGGAAATGTACCAGCACTATGGCGTGCCTTAATCTAGAAACCATGAATTGGGAAGATTTAAATATTCTTCATGACTCAGAAAACAGTGTGCCATGTGCCAGAGCAGGTCACTGTGCGGTTGGAATTAGTACACGTCTGTACATATGGTCTGGGCGGGATGGATACCGGTTTGTTTTTATTTTAAAAGTTATTGTTTTAGTCGATTTTAATGTTTTCAATTGTTATTAGGAAAGCGTGGAAGAACCAGGTGTGTTGTAAAGACCTTTGGTATTTAGAAGTTGATAAGCCACCAGCACCAAGTCGAGTCTCCCTGGTCAAGGCTGGCACACATTCCCTTGAGGTTAATTGGACTGGTTCATCATCAGTGTCAACATATGTACTACAGGTAAATGATTTGTGGTTAATCTCATGGTTTTTCTTTCAAATTTTTTTACATTTCAGATTCAGAAGTATGATCTTCCTCAAAACCAACCTCAACCTGCTAAGACGATTACACCACATTCGGCTGTCCCTCAGTTAGTATCCTCCCCAAAGTCAGGTCAGCAGGTTTTAGGAAGCCCATCTTCAGCACCCACTCAAACCAGGACACAGGTTGCATTAATGGGTTCACCTAGCAAGGTTCAGTTAAAAGGTAGGTTGTCGTTTGTGCGGTTTAGGTTTTTGGCTTTTTGTCTGTGTAAATGTAAACAGTAGTAATTGTTTATTTCATCGGGAATCTAAAGTATGATACTAAAAGAACTACCAGTAAAAAAATCACAAACATTAGACTTACTTAAATATTAGCCGGTTTGTAAACAACACTGTGACATTGTGGTTGCTTTACAGCGCGACAGCCTGTCAAAATTGTAACTACATGTCCTCCTGTAATATTTTCTTCTACACCCTCCACCTCAGTCACTGGTCAAACTGTAGTGGCTGCCATCGATAGCTCGACTAAGACGACAGGGCAGGCGGCTGGACAGATGTCTGGTATTCAGGCATTGGCTGCAGCCGCAGCTGCTACGCAGAAGATCAGTGTCGGCTCCACTCAAGCTACACAAATAAAACTTGGTAATCAATGATTGGCTTTTATGGTATTTGTTTTGTTTGCAATTTTATGTTTACCACTTGGAGCTTAAAGCTGTTTCATGTTATACAGATGTATGCATTTATTTTTCAGCGTCCCCTATGAGGATTGCGGGAGGTCAGGGTACCCTGATCAAGGCAGCTCCCCAGCAGGGCGGTAAACAGTTGTTAGTTAAGCAAGGAGGCAATATAATTCAAAAAACTGGAGCCGTGCAACAACAAGTTGTCACATTAGTGAAAACTAGCACCGGCATGACTTTGGCAACGTTGCCAAAGGGAGGGACGGTTGTTCAAAATAAAATCGCATCCGGGCAAGTGTTGTCCCCGCAAGCCAAGAACACTATTGTCAAAATAGTACCTGGAAATTCTGCTAATAAAGTATTAACCACACTCAAAACAATACCGTCGAACATGATACAGATGAATAAAACTACCGGCAAGTTGGTTTTGTCTAAGGGAGCTGCCAGTCAAATACCTACAATCGGTAATCAGCAAGTATTAGTTGTAAGTTCAACGTCGGGTTTAAAGAATATTCAAACGTTGACGAATGCCCAAGCGGTCAACATGTCGTTGGTAAAAACGAATACCGTCAATACCCAACCCGTAGTTACCGCATCGTCTCTAACGGGGCTGCAGGGGGTGAAAATTGCAAAGCCCATCACGATTTCTATGCCCATGCAAGTGGTGGGAGCACCAAAAACGGTGACCCTTACAAAAAACACGGTAAGTGACATTTTTTGGCTTCTCTCCAAGATGGCTGCTTATTTATTTATGCTTTACAATTTCGACAAATACTTCATTTTCTACAAGTGAATTAACACAACAAATATAATAGTAATAAACAATTTGTATTTGACACCCACTTACAGAGTGAGTTTATTAAAAAGGGTTAGGTGAAAACTTTTTCTATAAAGGTTGTATGATTTTTTTCTCTATTATCTTCTGAACAAATTAATGAAAAGAAATTATAGTTGTAAAAAAAAATTAATTAAAAAATTTCCTCTTTGATTTTTCCCGTATCTCTTGGGGCTTTAAAGTATTTAGTTACTTATGTGGCTGTAATTTAGGTGTTCAATTAATTGAGCAATTTACACAGTACTCTTTTACATTATTTTTTAATTTTTTACCTTCAAACATATGTTTTTAGCAGTAAAAAATAATTTGCTTCGATTTTTTCTCCCAAAACAGGGGAATGGCTAGGGAAGAGATGCAAAATATTATGGACCTACAACTTTTGAGAATTGGCATGCCCTCATTAAAGTTTTGAAAAAAAAAATCTCTGTTCAATTATCAGTCTGAAAAGGAAGGCACACCCAGGAGAAATTAAAGTGAGGCAAAGATGTTGTGTTTTCCCAAATTTCACGAAACACCACACCAATGTTAACAATAAAAACCTGGGCAGTTTATTGTAGAATTGGACTGAGGTGGCTCTTACGTGATGAAAATCCATTTAACACTATCAAATTAGAACAAAAAATGTTCAGATTTTCAGTTATTTAACTTTATGACAGCTGTTTCCGCAACACCGTCCCTTTATCAAATAGAAAATATAACAATATTCCCACATCTCTACATATATAATCAGGTAGTACCTAATAGATTCTTAATTTTTAAATTTAATAACCGAGACGCATTTAAATAAAGTTGGTCATTAAGTAATAGATTAAAATATCTCATTTTATTAATCTGCATAGCTTCCAACAAATTTACTTTTTTGCTTTTTGTTTCATTATGTGAAATATCAAAATTATCGTCAAGCTTGTGTATTTCTGATTTTAAATGCATAGTTAGAATCCGAACTTTTATTTTTATACTCTCTTTGTGTTCGATAATGCGTTATAGACGATATAGACTTTGCGGATTTTTCGTGATTTAGTTTTATTGTTTTTTTAAAAAAAAACCAATGGTGTTTTCAGTTTTAAAAGCAATCTTAAAACTAAATTTAGATAGATGTTTTAAAATCTTCTTGCTAGGCTTTCCTATATGTTTTATTGTTTTATAAATTTTGAGTTCCGAGTTATTTGAAACTGGTTTTGAGTGATAATTTTAACTATCAAAGAGGGTTTGTAACCATTGTTAAATGCTATATGTTTTATAATATTTAATTCATTTTCAAAATTTTCTGTGGAACTGGTATATGAAGTAGTCTATCTATCAAAGAATAAAAGGCAGCCATTTTATGTGTGTGAGGGTGACTTAAGTTATTATCAATTAATGTGTCCGTTTGTGAGGGTTTTTGATAAATTAAAAAAATTGTTCTGTAATTTAGTTATACTTAAGTTCAGAAAGTTTAAAAAAGTTATTTAGTTCCTTCTCTATGGTAAATGTTATACGCTTCTGTATAGAGTTAATATGATGCAAAAAGGACTGCAGTTATCTTTCCGTTCTAGTGAACAAGCGAAAACGTCATCTACATATCTATACCACCAAAGAAATCTTTTATTCAGAGGATGTTCATGTTTGGTATCTTCCACATTGCTCATGAAAATTTCTGCAAGTAGTGGACTAAGTGGGTTTCTCATAATTAATTCTTCTAAAGCAATATTAAATTGACCAATAAATTCAAAATAATTTTGGTTTAAACAAACAAAAACAAAGGTTGACTGGAAATTGATTTTGGACATCAAAGGAAACTAGAATTACCGTAGCAAGAATTGAACCTTGTTGATCAGTTGGAACCATTTTTTGATAACATATCTAGGTTTAAAGAGAATATGATATACTAAAATTTTTATTAAACTTTTACTGACTTTTCGCCAATCGTCCTGTTGGCCTCGTCAGAGCTTGAATAAAACTGAAGAAGTCCTGAAGAAACCTACAGGACGATTGGCGAAACGTCTGCAAATTTGTCTCAGCAAAAACCTACGCAAGAGGAATCCAGAAGTTTTGTAAAATGTATTACAGTTGTTTCTTTGGAAAATTTTATTAGTCTTGTTTAAGTTTAACTGGCGGTGCTGAAAAAACTACAGGCCGAATTGGCATATCCCGTGTGTGTAATTTAATTAAAGAATATAATTTTGGAGGTTGAGGATTCATAATTACTAATTGGTATTCTTCCCTGTCATTAAAAAGTCTTTGATTACCATTTTCATTTGTTTTCCTTATAACTCAGTGGGATCATAGTGTATACTTTGGTATGTATTATATTTTTAGACTTATTTTGAATTGATTTCACAATAGGCATATGTAGTATTTTTTATTGCACGCATAACAGAAGCAAGTGATGATCGGCGGGAAGCAGTTGACGGTTCAAATGGCGTCGGGCACAAACAAAACGTTGACGGTAGTTCAACCGTCTCAGCTAGGTAAGATAGTTCGTTTACCCTCATCATCCGCCGTCAGCAATAACACGGAACAACCAAAGTTAATGGTCGTGCAACGACCGAAACAGACCACTCAACAACCAACCGCCACCATAGGTCCGTCACTAGTCTCGCGGGTTAAGCTCCAGGTGAATTTACGTGAGTTTATTTTCAGCAGCGTCCGCTTCATTCGAAGGACCCGCTACTACAGACGCGGCTCTAGCCGCTTTGGCAGCCGAAGCGGGTTTGATCGATCCGGAACCCTCGAAACACGATGGTAAAGAATTAGGCAACGTTACAGCGGAGCAAACGATTGTACCTGACGAGACGCAAGCAGACATCCAGATCGCGTCAATCGAACCACCGACGGAAGGCGTCGAACTCGCGACGGGTCTCTTAGGAGGTAGTCCCGTGTACAAATTATCGCTTAAGGGCGGCGGGTCGTGGTGCCGCCCTCCGCGAGGTTATAAATTTAAAAAGATCGGACTTAAGGGCGGCGGCAAAGACGAAGACAACGCGAAGTCTCCGACTACCACCGCCGAAGCGGACTCGACGCAGAGTTCCATTAACGGTTTAGGAAAAGTGAAAGAGAACCCCGAGGCGGGTAGTGAAACTATGGAAATGGAGTTTGGTCCTACGGAAATTAAACCGGAACCTACACTGGACCTCATTGCTCAGCCTAAAGAAGAGAAAGAGGATGCTGAAGAACTAAGCGATTCGGCATTGGATATGGACGTTAAATCGGAAGAACCTGATAGTGGATTCAATTTTTCATTTAGCGCCTCGCCGAAAAAAGACGATTTGTTATCGAACGACGAAGACGAAGATAATCAAGGCGAAGATGCAAGCGAAGACCCTTTGGCAGCGCTAGCGTCTGCGGCACTCGACCATTCGAAAGACCTGAACAAGACTGAATTCAATGGTTCTTCTGTACCGCAGAAACCGGTCAAGGGTACCTGGTATACGGTAGGATTTATTAAGGGAACGACTTGTGATGTGAAGAACTATTATCTGTTGTCGGCCACAGACGATTTAAATCTGGATGATTTGCCGGAGTTATCGAACTTCCCCAAAATAAATCTTGAACCGGGAACGGCTTACAAATACAGAGTAGCAGCAATCAACTCGGTCGGCAGGGGCGAATGGAGCGAGGTAAGCGCTTTGATGTTCGTTAATGAGCTTCTTGAAGGATCTATTTATTTGTCCAATATAAATTTTAGAACAAGATCCGCATTTCATTGTGTTGTATTGTGTTGCTAGTTCTAAAAGCTATTTTTATTTTGACAAATGTTTTGAAACTTTTTCACTAGGTTCTCCTATGTATGTAATTGTTTTAAATTGTTCGTGTTCTGTATTAGGTTTCGGATAAATAGAGTTTACTGTTGTTGAGAGTGGCGTATTAACAGAAAATTACAGCAAAGAACTTAATATCATTAAATCAATTGCATTGAACAACGGCTACAATCCGTCCGTTATAGATAAAATTATAAATAAAAAACAAATCTGCTAATGTTAATGACTAGGGCGAAAATTGGTTTTGTTTAAACACCCTTGAATTAATAATTTTTCTACATTGCTTAGCGAAAACCGGAGAGCTACTGTAAGAAGCTTGAATACTTCAGAAAAATTATTTCAGAAACATATAATCTCTAAAAAGAGTATACCACGCTTATGAAGGCCCATGTAGTATGGCTAATAGCCCTGATTCTTCTCTAAAATTATTTTGTTTAACACACCTGGTATTAAAGCAAAGGAGCTAAAAGTGTAAAACAAATAATCACCAGACTATTGAGAATGTATGCAGTGGGCAACACTTTGGATCTTTATGCTACAACATATATTTTAAACATTCAGCGAAGTGAGAGCAACTTTCTTGCTCTCACTTCGGCGCACAGAATTCCGACTTTAGCGAAAATAAAACATGAACGACACTAGGGTATAAGCGACAAAATGCGTAACAATACCAACGCCGCTACAGCATTTTGAATTTCGTTTAGCTTGTATCTTGCGGTGGTTATTATTATTCTCAAATTCTTATACGACGATAATTGTGGTATTTTCCCAACCTGGGTTAATCTCTGATGTTCACTTGAGGCCTATTCATCTTCGTTCGGCCATTATGACCTGCCGAAAGTTTCGAATACTACCGTATGATGCTGACGCAACTTATTTCCTTCATGGTGCCTTTAAAGACGCGATGCTGACTCATTTTAGTCCATCCATATGGTGCTAAGTAATCTTCATGGTGCCTTGCTGAAACGCGATTATGATCATCTTCATTTTGCATATATACTTTGCTAAAACGTTTAAATATGGCCAGATGATGCTGATGATTGCGACTTGCTGAAACATGAACACGCTCGCATGATGCTGAGCGATCATCAGCGCGTAAAAAATTCTAATTCTATAAATTAATGCAGGTGTCCGCTTTCAAAACCTGTGTGCCCGGTTTTCCTGGTGCCCCTTCGGCGATTAAAATAGCAAAAGCTAACGATGGGGCGTATCTATCGTGGGAACCTCCGGGATCCAATCCACATGAAATTTTGGAGTACTCAGTTTTCCTTGCAGTTCGGGGAAAGGTATGTTGTCGAAGACCATTGGCGTTCTTGAACTGATCGCATTCGCTTATAATTTTTAGGAAAAAGTGGCCACAAATACTCCTTCGCAGTTTGCATTCGTAAGGGTATATTGCGGTCCCAGCAATCAATGTGTTGTAGGCAATACCTCGCTGCAAGCTGCTCACATTGATACTTCTACTAAAGCCGCGATAATATTCAGAATTGCAGCAAAAAATGACAAAGGTTATGGACCCGCCACACAAGTCAGGTGGCTTCAAGGTAAACGACCCAAATAATTTGCACGCCTGGTTCTCTATAAGGAATATATTTTGCAGATCCAGGATTACAAAGTAAAACAACTAAAAGGTTGGCAGACGCTCAGCCTGCTACAATAAAAAAAATAAAACTTCAAGACGAAATGTGAAATCTTAAAACGAAATTAATGTTTCGTGTAAAGTAGTATACATATTATAAATATATACATATGAATATCATGGTGGTAAGCTGCAGCCAGTCACATTGTTCACGTGGTTTTAGTTTAAAATGTCTTTCTTTTCTCTCCGGTATGGTGGAGATTAATTTTTATTTAGATTGTTTTAGAGAGTTGTTAGATTTTCCAAAGCTGTTAATTTTGTTTTTTTGTAAATGGTGCTTCTTGAACATTATAATTTTTTTACTGGTTTAGCAGATATCCGTATGATATCCGTTAGTTTAAACAAATGGGTGAAAGATGTGTGTGCGCGAGATTGATTATGTTCTTTTTACTTTTACCGAATTGGATGACGACGCACGGTAATCGAATCATGGTTTTACAAGTGAAATAATTTTTTTTGCGTTTTATATAGTCGCACTTATATAAATGCTATTTAATTTAACTTTTTAATTTTAAAATTGTTTTATGTTCAAAACACTCCCCACCCATTTTTTTTCATAGTGATTGTATAATGTAAATAGACATTTTAATAAGTAATAGTATAATAATCAATAGGCAATTGATAACAAATATTTTTACTTAAGTATACATAAGTGGTTTCAGCTATTTTTTATTTAGCGATGTCAACTCCAGTATAGCATTTTTTCATAATTTTATTTATATTCTGGCGCCTACATGATATAATCAAAAATAAATTATTTCAAAAAATTGGACTCTTATTCAATGCGTATTGTCCCCGCGCGACCGGCGCACTGGGTGCTGAACGATCTACAGACATCTACATTCTAACACTTAGACGCACACTCACATTTTGACACAAACACAATGATATTTATATATAGACACATTTACACACACATACACACACTTACATTCTGGCATATAGACAGGCACTCGCATTTTGACATTCACATTCTGACACTCATTATGACACAAATACAAAATGACATTTTGACATTCATTGACACATGTCACAGTCTGACAAATAGACACACATTCTGAGACAACTGATTAACGATTCGGCGTTTACAAAATTAAGGACATGTACAAAATGGTAAAAATTAGTTTGATGTTTGTAGTAGCGTTCTTTGTGGTTTAGGTGCGAAAACTACAAGCCCCTTAAACGCAACGTACGTCTTTTTGAAATTTTGCTGTAGGACCCAACCATGAGCCTGCGCAACTGGAACCGTCATCACAGAGCCGTAATCCTGGTGTTGGCTGTCAGTAACGGCGAAAAAGATAGGTAAATTTTCAAGATGCTTTCCTTTATGCATGTGTCGACTTGTTTACGGAGTGTCTTGTGACATATTTTTTGGGTAAAAATAATAAAAAAATAAATATAATAAATAAATAAGAAAAAGTTCATATTAAAAAAGATGATTTCATTGTTAAAACTTTGTGTCTGCCCCAAAAAACACTCTGTTAACCTACGAACCCTATATAGAGTCGAATTATGCAAACGACCTTAGCAAAATTGCAGGTGTAATTATCACTAATGTTTTTATTTGTTTGTTACAGAACTACAACGAACCAAAGAATATGCGCCTGTATAAGTGTTGTAAATAGTGTGATTGTTAATAATAAAATGACTTTAAGTGAAATGTGCATTATAACTTTTTAAATAAATGTTGGGTAAATTTTAAATGTGTTCGTTCTTCTTGTTGCGCTTCTATTTTCATCACCTAGCGATTTGCGAAAAAGTATTAAAATTATTGCTTCCCCGTTACGAAAATTGCGAAAAAGTAAAAAATAGTGTAAAACTCTGTGATTGGACTATTTTGGCCACGCCTCCTGCGCTCGAGAATTTTTGATACCTCTTCACCACTTCTGCTATCCTGGTCAAAATGGGCGCAATGTAAGAAAATCGGTAGTGTGTATTTTATACTTCTTGACAAATTGGTGGATGCGCAATATTTTTAAAAATCATATTACTTTCATACCTCCTCGGCGCTTCTGCTCTCCTGCTAAAAATCAACGAATTTCGTTAAAATCTAGCACATGGCATGACAGACTATCAAAATTAGCTCATTCACCGTACATTCAAAAAAGTTCTAGAACGACAGAATGTGTGCAGTGTTGCCAGATTTTGCGAATTTCCCCTAATTTCGTGAAAAATTATCAAATCTGGTTTGCCGATTCTCCCATATTCCAGTAAATTTCGCACCATCTGGCATGGTGGATGCGGTCGTGTTTGTTGTGCACATTTTCGCTAGATTTTAACAAATTTTGTCAATTTTTATCAGGAGAGCAGAAGCGCCGAGGAGGTATGAAAAGTAACAGGAGCAACGTTTTTTTTTTTTTAATTATTGTGCCTCCATCAATTTGTCAAGAATTGCAATTACAATTAAATTGAATTTAGGACCTATTCGGTTGTGCGCAGTTTTTATCTGACTTTATTAAGGAGAACAGAAGTAGCGAGGAGGTATCGTAAGTTATTCGGCGCTCAGGAGGCGTGGCAAAAATTGTCCACTTGAGGGGCGTGGCGTATTTAGCTTGCACCAATCAAAGGAATTTTTAATTTTTTTGGGATACGCAAAATTTTCAATTTTTGCTCCTGATATTTTTTGATATCTCTCCGCTAGTCATTAGTTTTTGGTTGGGCGAATAGAAAAAGAGATAAACCCGTAAATAAGCATATGAAATAATACACACGTGTGCAGTTAACACATTTATTGAGAAAAATAATAAAAAAACAATAATAAACAACACATTTTAGTTAATAAACTGGTGATTTCCGTGTCTGTCGTTTTCCTGCCGGTCTTGGACGCTATGCTGAACCGGATCGCCGGCTGCTTGACGTTGGCCACCCAAATCGCCATGACTAGAAATATAAATAGCAAATATGTAAAGACTATCTTCCATTGTGTGGAAGGAATAATAACGAAACAGTGTATACGCCGTCCTATCGATATCACCTTATGTGGTTGATAAAATGCTGTCTCCAAGGCTGTCTACTCTAACAAGGAAATTTTTGTAGACGTCATCTTCGCACGACGACAGAGTTCTGAAATCAACAAACTTGTCTAAATAACGTTTCTAGAAGTTTTAGCTTATAATTAATATATTAGCATGTGGGTCTTACCTTGACTGGTTGACAGAATGCTGTTTCCAAAATGTGAATATCCGCATTCGCATTTCTCTCAGAATCTTCTTCCATGTCGCCATCACCCTTTTACCATTCTGAAAAACCAAACTGTTTTACCAAAAATGGGAAAAAGTTTAACGTACGTGTGGCAGGGTCCGAATGCGAGTGTGCGAGAGTTTAAATGTTTTTATGTGTCGGTGTATGAAGGCTAAACTAATGTGTATGTGAGTATGGTTGGTGTGATTGTGTACTAGTGTTTAAGAGGATTCCCTACTGGCCTTACCTTGTGCCGTTTAAAATCCGCGTGAATGTTGTTTCTACCAAGGAAATTGTTGAAGATGTCATCTTTCGATAGCACCCATCGTATTCCATCCTTGAATCTTCCAAACGAGAGGTCGTATGCTTGTTTATAATTTTGAAAAAGCAACTTATATTAATAAAAAAGAAAAAAGAAGGAGGCGAAGTTTTAAGCGAGTGAGTGGATGTGTGTGTGTGTGTGTGTGTGTGTGTGTGTGTGTGTGTGAGTGTGTGTGTGCGTGTGCGTGTGTGTGATACTTACACGTTACAGGATGAACGTGAGACTTCTGCGCCGACAAGCTACTACTTGGTGCCGCCTGCCCTCATGATAATTGTTGATTCTGGAATCAAGTAACATAAGCGTAGGGCCTTGTCCCTTTTTCCATAGAGTAAGATTATTTAGCTGAAAGACAAACAAAAATATATATATATTTCTAGTACAGTACTTAATACGCACGGCAATGGCTGAATGGTAAATAATCCCAAATAATAACTGAAACAGTTTCGAAAAACACCGGCAAGTTTATGACGCCGATGAAAGAGTATTATAGATTTTGATTTTGGCGGGCCAGTGCTATTGCCAATGTCCTGCCCAATTATATGCCATCGTAAAGTTGCCAAGCATGCGCTGACGAAGTTTAAACTGTCATTCACAAACGCTGTCATTCAAATGCGCAAACCCATGCACGCTATCCTCGTGCGACCGGCCATATTGCATTGAATGAGTGCTTGAATAACAGAGGGCTGAAGTAGCCAAAAATAAATCTTCCAACATCCCAAAGTTGCGAAGACTTTTTGCCATTTCTATCATCATGGAAAATTCGTACGGGATTGGCGTAGCCAACAGGTACGCACTTTTTTTGGATGATGAATCCGATCCATTGGAAACGCTATCCATAAAAGAGCAAGAGAAAGAACTTAAGAAAAAAGCCAAAGTAGCTGAAAAGGAAAACAAAGGTAAAAACGAACAACCCAAGGCAAAATCCGTGGCAAATGCCCAGAAAAAACCCATCAAGGAAACGACTAGTAATAAAGCTCAAGAAAATAAACGAGAAGGTGAGTTTGTGAGCAGATATGACCGCCATTCTATAGGAAAATTATAATACATGTAAGTAAAACTTCTTCACGGAAATTACTTTATTTTAGACAATAAACCGAATCAAAGGGCTACGGCAGACGGAAAACCGGATAGGACTTTTGCTAAATTCAATAATGAAAATCGGGAGGAAAGAAATAATAGGAGAAACCGCGAAGACCGACCGTACAATGGACCTACTGAAAACCGGTAAGAACATTATTCATTTTGATGTTCATCCTGTAGGGACCTTAAAAACATTACGCCTTTAGTGACCGCGACCGTGAAAATAGGCCGAGACGTGAAAACTCTGAGAATTTTGAAAACCGCAATCGTGATAGGGGTGAAAGAGGTGAACGACGAGAAGGCAGAGCAATTGGTAATCGTCCAGGTGGACCCCGCGGACCTAAAAAGACTTTCGACGATAGAAGGGGTAAAAGAGAATTTGACAGGCAAAGTGGATCTGACAAAACGTAAGTTGAACAGCAAATTTTTTTTTTTCTACATATTTATTGGATTACGATCCTTAAAACTGAATGCAGCCATGGTTACAGAGGAGTTAAGCCTATTGAAAAGCGGGACGGTGCTGGGGCGCACAACTGGGGTTCTCATAAAGACATTATCGAGTAAGCGTTTAATTTATTATTAAAAGCCTGTTTAATTTGTTGTTTTATCAGAGCTGAAACGGAGAGGCCCAGCGATGCGGACCAGAGCTGGGGAGAAACGGAAAAAATTGAAACAAATGAAGCGGAAAAAAAGTAGGTTTGCGAATGGTAAGTGCTGCGCGAGAAATTTCCCGCTTTACTTCATTGTAGGGAAGAACAAACCGAAGTCGAAGCAACTCCCGTCGAAGAAGAGCCTAAAGAATTGACTCTGGACGAATGGAAGGCTCAGCGTGCTGGACGTGCCAAGCCACAATATAACATTCGGAAAGCCGGCGAAGGTGAAGATCCGAGCCAATGGAAAAAGATGTTCGAGCTGAAGAAAAAGGAAAAGGAAGAAGTTAGTGACTTTAAAAAAAATTAAACCGAATTTGGTGATCCAAATTGATTTCAATAGGAGTCTGAAGATGAAGAGTACGACGTATCGGAATATCCTCAGCGAGTTGGAAGACAGAAGCATGTTTTGGACATCGACATTCAGTTTAACGACAGCAGACGTCCGGGCGGTGGTCGTGGAAGAGGGCAAAGATCTGGTGTCAGGGGCGGACGCGGTGGTATTTCACGCGGAGGCGGAACACCCCGGGATGGCAGAGGTGATGGGTTGGAAAGACCACGGTTTAGGGAGGAGCAGGTGAGATTTTTATCTTTTTTTGGTGTATTTAGTGTAACATTAATATCCCTGGCACACTAAAAACCAAAACCTTAAATATAGCAAAAAACTTACTTCAAACTAGCGTGTTACAATTATCATGTAATTAAAAAAGTCACACCATAAATCAAGAAGCAATAAATGTCAGTACAACTTTTAAAAAAATTGGTTATTGAAAAAATAGCAATCCGTATTTTTTTTTTTTCACGGGTATTTCAAAAAATATCTAAAATACAAACATATTTTATTTAAATGTAATGGGGAAGGGATAATTTCTTTTCCTTAATTTAAACTAACTCTTAGTAGGTCAATAAGTAAAGGAGACCAAAATACTGATCAACTTCATGTCAGACAAATTATAAAATCAAATTAGTTTTCTTTATTATTACATGAAAGTTCTTGACTCACCCAAAAGCAATCACATTTTTGAAAATTCTATCTATCTATCTAAGGAGTTTACAGCCGTAGCCGTCTTCCTTGCATTGACTCTTCTATCTCGTTTCTCCAATCGGGCTCCATTCCGTCACTTTGTTCATCCATCTCTTCCATGTCCATACCATAAGAGTCTTTTGGTTGCTATGCGATGTATCACATTGTTCGCCCATTCTTCTGATTTCTTCATTTATAACTCGATCTCTTCTAGTGAGTTCACAACACCTCCTCCAATACATCATTTCGGTTGTTAGGATTTTGCTTTTATTGTTTTTATTTATTACGCATACCTCTGCTGCATATGTCATTATACTCTCTACAGTTGTATCGTATATACGTTGGAGTTTTATACATGATCGTGTCTGCCCAAGCCTATTCTTTATTTCTTCCTCTGTAGTACCATTTTTAGAGAGCGTAAATCCCAAATATCTGAAGTTGTTTGTTCCTTTTATTTCAATGGTGTCCTCTATTGGGAAATTGACTACATTCTCTTCCGTCGTCATGTACATTGATTTCTCATATTCTTCCTTTAACTTCCTGACCATGTAACTGAGGTCTTCTTCATCTTGGGGTATCACTATAGTCAAGATGAAGACACTTTGTTTCGCGGATGATTAAATTAAATTAAATCAAAGAAAATAACCCTTAATAAGCGATTTACCCTCAAAAACTTAAATCCGTAGAAAAATTAAGAAACAAAATAAAAGCAATCTCTAACTATATCTGATATTAGCATTAACCAGTATGACAAAGGAAACAATCCCCATTATGATCCTTCTGACTCTAAATAAAACCGAGGGAAACCACTTAGATCCTTTATAGGGTCATAATACTTGAAATGTAAGAATGTAGAATAAAAATAACTATAAAAACAGGAAGTTGCTAGAAAGTAAAAAAATGACAATATTGGTTTAGTATATTATGGTATTTGTTTTTTACAGAGCGATGAAAAGGGTACTCCCAGGGCTCCCAAAGTTGACGATGAGCGCGATTTTCCATCACTTGGTTAAAGAGACGTTTATAATGTAAGCGGCATTCAGTCGCCATATGTTTTGGTGGTAACTTTACCCATCACATCAAATTTATTATGTATAGATAATATGATTGAATTAACTACTTTGTTACAATTGGATGAATGGAAAAAAATATTCGGTAATTATCTACCGAAATATTTTTGGCAAGTTTGTTGTGTGACATTTCGCCCGCGCCCGATTTTTCCCTATACGTTTTCTAAATCTAAAACGCTATAATCGAAGTTGACTGTTATTTTATTTTTAACGATTCGGGAATTTGGGTGTTGGCGAGACTTTACCCCCCCCCCCCCCCCCGGAGGTCAAAATTGATCCCCAAATCCAATTTCCACAGTTACTGTTTGCCATGATCAAAACACTTAAAAAAAAACTTTTAACCTAGTTTTCTCTAAAATTATGGTGTATCAAGTTAGGACTGCGTGCCCACCCCCTGCCCCACCAGCTGAGGATGACGGTTACTAGTCAGTGTATGGCTGCATTGTTGACAGTTTAATACATGACTGCTCATAATAACGTCGTATTTTGTTTTTTGTTTTTTTTTTTTTAATTGGCTACATTGCGATTCTCACATTCAATTGTTGATCGTTTTCATACGATTTGTATTTTTTTTTTTAATAAAAAAACTCGCAAAAGTTTAAAATGGTTTTAATTTCGCCTTTAAATGCGGATGATCCAAAAAATAAGGCATCTAATTTATCCCGGAGTTATCAGATCTTTGGAATACACAGAACAACAATGGTAAGTATATAGTAATCCTTGCTCAAAAACCAATGTTTTGTTGAAAAAAATTATGTTACCTTAAAAATATTCAAATAAAAAGCAAGACCTTTTTGAACGTAGAGAGTTCTATATTAATTGACTTCTATTGGAAAACATGAGTTTGATTGGTTTTCGACCGCACATTAGTGGGTTGGAGTTAAGTAAAATCGAATTTGGCGCCAAAATAAAAGACATACGTGACTAATATCGCGTAGTTCTGCCACTACGCAGCAACTTTTTGAAAAAAGATTCCTATTATTCGACTAAGAATTAAAAAAAAAAAACGTTCATAGAGAACTTAATATTTCAAAGATATTTCGTCGACACCCTTGTGTATACCCTAGGGTAAAAGAATTCTATAAAAACATCATTCCATGTCCTGCAAACATTGGCGTAGATGTGTTTTTACATGTATTTATTTATGTAAGCAGCCATATCTATACCTTTAATTAGTTTTATGAGAACACTCCCGTTTCTAAATTTAGAACGAAATTAGTTACATACTCTGGCGATACGATAGCGACCCGTCTGATTTTGCAATATAAATTTAGATAAATAATAAGTACGCCACTGTGTTTCATAGTGTTATGCCCCGATTGCCCGGTTGAAGCATGGCGACGTGAGCGTAAATTTGTTAGGTTTTACAGTGTTTTTGTTAGTATTTTTCCCAAACAATCATCTAGTCCTTTCGTACGAGCTTTTCAGAAAAATCGTCAAGATGGGGTGGATGAAATTCTTTCCTTGTTTTGCGGGATGATGTAATGTGTAAATAAACATTGTGCCCGGGCTTTTATAGACCAAATTATGGCGTCTAACGATGAAGGAAGTAGCAATGAGGAAAACAAGGAGTTCTTTAAAGAAAATACGGTGTCGCCTGTGGAGAAATGTCCGAAATGTTATTTGAGGCATTCAGAATGTACCTGCAAATTACCTAGAAGTCCTTTTCACGTCGAATTGGATATGTCGAATGGCGCAAGTAGTGAGTTTTATTTTTGTTATTTATTTTAAGTCTTTAATTTATTTATATTTTTAAGGAGACGCACTTGTTGAAGATTTCGTGCCCCTGAGCAATGGACAGGACGACCTGGAGGAGTATGACAAAGAAATTGTTATCAACAATCCTGACAATCAACACAGCAATTCATTTTTGTTCGGCATACCAAAAACACCATCCATAACCGCTGATTCGAATTCCAATGACTTCATTTTGGGGTCAGGCATGGAAGCAAGTGACAATGTTCAAGACACGGGCGAATCCGGACAGTTTGCTAAGGCTGTGAATTTTGAGAAAGATAAACTTTGTTTAGACTCAAATCTTGGCGAAGAGACTGAGGCGGTAAAAAAGTGTAGTGCGGTGAAAAGTGAAATTGATGAAAACAGTCAGGAAAATAATGAAGATTTTATAAGTGAAGAAGCCCCCCCTACACCTGACATAAGACCTGTGAAGGAACAAAGTGATCATTCCAATGGCAGTGCCAAGGCTGGAGTAAGTCTTGAAATGACGAATGAGTGTGCTGTTCAAGAATTAAACAATTCTAAACAAGAGTCAAAAGTTGCCTGTGATAAAAAATGCACTAGTGATTCTGATAATCAAGAATCAGTAGCTGATAGTGGCCTTCAATCAACTAATAACAATAATATTAAAATAGAACCTGAACGCGCAGAAACAGAGGATGAACCACCTCCCCGTAAAAAACCGAAACATTGCTCCCACTTTGTTTACCACATTGACAAGTCCTTATTAAAAGATAAAAAAGGAGTGGAACTACTCAATGCTATTGAAGATCAGTCCAACAAACATCTGGAAACTCACAAGTCTAGTTCCGGTTCTTCTGCAGTGTCTGAAGTGACCCTGTCACCCAGGAAAGGGAGAACACGCTCAGTTGATGTCGCCTCTGCTTGTAGTAAGGGCACCAAACGTTCCCATTCGGCAGATGTCAAACATTCAGACATTAAACTCAGAAAAATTGACTTTTCAGAATATAAGCTACGTTTAAAGAAAGAGAAATCGTCAAAATCAAAAGATGATCATCACAAACGGCGCAGTAGTGGTAGTTATAAAAAGCATGATTCAAAAAGTAGTAAAAGTAGTGGCAGCAGTGGCTCTAGGAAACCGCACACCAACAGCTCATCTTCCCGGTACAGAGAAGTCAAACCTAGACTTTTGACTAATGGAAACTATAGTTATCCACCCGAAGATGTAAGATTTATCATGTCTTTTTAAACTTTCAGATTCAGTTTACATTTAAAACTAAATGTATTTCATTAAAACCCTTTTATGGGTTCATTTCATGCCTCCTCCAGGGTGGTCAAATTATAATTCAGAAACTTTAACAGTTTCTTCGGCAGATAAAAATAAGTAACAGTGTTCATGTAATATTATTGCTTAAAATGTTGCCTTTCGGGGATACAGGAATATTGCGAAAAAAAAAAGTTTTTTCCTATTTTTAAAAAATCTTCTAGATTTTTTCTTTCTAACTTGGTGGTTATTATTTTATAATATAGATACACTTATTGTTGTTTAATCAGTGGCGATGATACCCTTCTGTGTCAATTAGGTGCATATATATGCAAACCCAAGTTTTTTTTCGAAAACGTTTTTTTTTTAGCGAAAATACTTAAGAAACCATTGTTAAAACAGTCTCACAAACTCCACTGGTTAAACCAAAGCGAGTTTATCTATGTTATAATTTTGTTTTTAAGTGGTTATAATATCTCCCAACTTTTGAGGTAAAATCTACAAGATATTTCCTTAAATTATGAAAACGCGATTTTTTTCGCTATATTTCACTTGTTACAGGTATCGCTTCGATATCGCCGATATTTCCATATTGAAACTCACACCAACGGCGGTGCGAAAATTTTAAGAATGTACCACCACGAAATCAAACACTTGACCTCGAGCGAAACCAAAGAGTTAACGTACGAATTCTTTAAACTTGCCTTTGAAGAAGATAAAAATGGCCACGCGAAATTCGTGACGGCCGTTGTGCACGGCGCGGCCACTTATTTGCCCGACATTCTCGAATATATGGCCGAAAATTACCCCAATTTAACGGTGAAGAACGGTCTTTTGAGCAAAAGTTCTGATATTGAGACGACAACGCTGAAGGCGTACAATATCAACGTGGAGCAACATTATGAAGCGGGTACCGTGAGGTACGGACCCCTTCATCAAATCAGCATCGTCGGTACCGCCCACGAGGAAGTCGGCGGATACTTTCCCGACCTTTTGGATTTGCTCGAAGAGAATCAGTTCTTGAAATTGGTTTGTTACCACCTAATATACCATTTTATTAATTTGTTAAAGTTTAATTAATTATACATATAGACGATGCCCTGGGGACCGTTATCCATATTGGATTATATAAAGCCGACTGAAAGTAATGACGGACCCATCATATGGTGTAGACCCGGTGAGCAGCTAGTCCCGACTGTTGACAATAAAACGCCCAACAAGAGAAAAAGGTATGTCAATTTAACATCTCCAGTGTGTAATTGATCGAACAATTTCCAGGACTGGAATTAACGAGCTTCGAAACTTACAATATTTACCGCGGATGTCAGAAGCTAGGGAACATCTTTTCGAAGACCGAACCAAGGCGCACGCGGATCACGTGGGGGCCGGTTTGGACCGGAAAACTACCGCTGCCGTGGGTATACTTAAAGCTATCCACGGCGGCAAAAACGAAGGACCAATTAACAGGATAACGAAGGACGTTGTCGCGTTTTCCGCAAAATATTTCGATATTCTTGCTGAAAAATTGCAGCTCGATTTACACGAACCGCCGATATCTCAGGTATAGTCTATCTTAAAATGTATTGTCTTGGCTGTTAAGTGAAATTATCGAAATAACCTGTCAACCGCCATTAAACACCTGAACAGTGGTGTAGGACAAAGCATTAGTTAGGAACTTTTAAGGTGTTGTCTTGTGTGTTGCAGTGTGTCACTTGGATAGAAGACGCGAAACTGAATCAGTTGCGAAGAGAAGGGATAGAATATGCGCGTATTAATTTGTACGATAACGACATTTATTTTTTACCCAGAAACATAATTCATCAATTCAGAACAGTTACCGCGGTAACCAGTATCGGTAAGAACCTTTTTGTTTGGCTCGGGTGCTTTTACTCTTTTCTTTTCCGATTTCAGCGTGGCACGTAAGATTAAAACAATATTACACCAACGACGAAAGTGATACGAAAGAGAATATAGGAGTGAAGGGCGCGCATAGCCACAAAAACAAACTGACAAATAATAATCATTCCGACGAGAAAAGTCTGGAGGTGGAAAGGATCAAACACAAAATCGATTTCGAGAAAGTGAGAGTGAAACTTCACGAAAAATCGGATCATAAAAATAAATCGACGAATAACAATCATCCCGAGGAGAAACACTCGGACCCCGAAACAATTAAGGACAAAATCGATTTTGACAAAATGAAAGCAAAATTGAAAGAAAAGTTAACGGATAAAGAAGAAAAACCAAAGGACAAGGATAGGTACAAGGACAGGGATAGAAATAAGAAAGACAGGAAAGACAAAAATCGAGACAAACACAAAGATAGAGAAAAGCACCGTTCGAAAGACGATAACAAATATCACAGTAGGGAACGTGATGGAAAATCGAGACACCACGATTCTCACAAAAGCAGTTCCTCGGATAAACCAAAACATTCGGGTGATAAGAAGCATAGTGATGGGAAGGCGCAACCCACACACAGTTTGACGGAGAAAAAGGAAGAAAGGAAAGAGGACAAGGTGTCCTCCTGCAGTGATGTGTCAACGACCACGACCGTTACTCCCCTTACTCGATGGGGAAGTACGTCTTTAGACAGCTCGCCGATAAAAAGTAGCCAAAGCTCAAACTCGTTGAGCTCGCCTACCAAATCGGTGCATTCTTCGAGCACCAATTCATCGCCTGTTAAGAAACAGAGACCGCCTAAGATAAAACCGATCCAGCCGTCGAAATCTTCGGACATTTTGGGTGATATATTAAAGGACATGAGCAAATGTGATCCTCAAATATAATATTAATTAACAGATCGCTAAAAGAATCTGTATTGTTTGGATGTCGATTCAAGCAATTTGGACTTTTTAGCCGATCTGTTCGCCACTTCACAAGCTTCTATTTTTCTTATATATACAGGGTGATCCTAAACGCCGCGCACATCGTATTTATGCCTGCCTGAAAAGCCTTAACAATAAGATAATTTATGTTGAACACTGGCGGATAGGAAAAGGCCCTTTTACCCACATAACTAATTAATTAATAAGTTATATATTTTATTTTTTCCTGAGATAAATTATGTTACCTATAATAAATATAATTTTAATGAAGAGAAAATTTGCTTTGAAACAGTATTAAGCTCTTATAGTGATTTTTTTTTACATTAAATTCTTAGATTTTGACATCCTGCACTTATATGCACCCTGCATATATAATTATATATATTAAAGATATATAATGTATAAAAATAGTAAATACAGAATCTCTGTACATAGTCTGGAATGTAACAATTGGAGTTTCTTTTAATATTGAGTGCTTGTTTATTCATTTTAAAGATTTGTCCTGCTGGTGCTATTTGTTAAAATTCGTGCAATTTACAAAAGGTGAACCATAAATTAAATTTCCAGCTAAAACCGGTTGCCTTGTCGGTAATTCGTCAATTATATAATTATTTTTGCAAGTATGTGAAGGGGATCCTTTATCAGTTTAAGAGCCGGGCTTTAGAGGTAAAATGAAAAATATTCGATTAAATCGAATGAAAATGAATTTTTTATATAGTACAAAATGTAGACATAAGGTGAATCTTTACCGTCGTTATTTTCTTTAATGGGTCGTCACTTTTAAATAATACCAGACGCTGCCGGGACCAAATGCAGAATGCCGAAAATGTTATTGAGTTTTTCTCGACTGAAAAATTGAAAAATATACATGTTTTTATACAAATAGCATCTGCACCCCGTAGTGGCCGAAACTAAACACAATAATCATAACTTTGGCAAATTGTCCTAATAATTTAGATCTCATAAAAAGACGTCGAGGCTTATTTATTTTTTAAACCTACTGTATATATATGTACAGTCAAAGATTGTACAGTTTTTTTAAATACCTAGTTGAAACAGTAAGTGCTGTTGTTTGGATATTGAAAAAAGTGTAAGATATAGCGTTATGGCAGATTAAGTATCACGGTTTCTAATTTTTAACTTAAGTTATTAAAATTTAATCGTTTTCGTGAGCTGTGTGTTCAGTTTTGTATTATTTATTTATATGAAAATGGCACGTTTTTAATTTTGTGTGTATAAAAATTGACTACTTCAAAACACGAAATAGTTGTATTTTCATATCGTATTAGAAATATTTATATATTATTCTTTGTAAATATAGTTCCGTTCGTTTACATTGTACATTTTATTTCGCTAATCCACACAATTCGACACGTGTAAAAAACATATCCGTACCACTCATGCTGGATACATTCTCAATCAAAGACCATTGACAAAACATTTAATTTGCACCGTAGTCGGGCAACACTAAGCACAAAAAAATTTCTCAGCATTAAACGAAAAGCAAAGAAAATATACTGTTTTTGTGGCTACTGTGTTCCAGAGGACGCCCCCACATTGTAGTTGGGCAACTCAGATTACATCGCGCTTGCAGCGCCTCTTTTGACAAGAAGCAAAAGTAGACAAAATTGCGGCGCGTTTGCCTACTGTAATCCAGGGGTTCCTAACAAATCATTACCGTAGTTATACAACCCAAATCGCAGCAATAGTTAGCGCCAACTGTCGTTGCAAATTAATGTATAAAATTCGTACCTTGATTCGGATAATTTTTCGCCGCCTCCTTGGATTTTTGTTCTCCCATCCGAAGAAACCGAAAAAGAAAATCGAACCGCGATTTATGACTTGTGACTTAACGTAGATAAAAAAAAACTGACTTGTACTTTTCATCAGCTGCGTTATTTGACAACCAAATTTCTACGGGGTGTATAAAAGAAGAGCGACAAAGAAAAATAACAAAACGGTATGGGAAATAATTTTTGAAGCGCCTCTGATGTTGGCGAAAATGAAAAAATAACGGAACAAATTTAAATCGCAAAAACGGATTGCAAGGGGACAGGTTCTCCCATCAACACGATCTCTAATGGTTTGGTTAATATAAATTAGACGGTAGACAGAGGACACAACGTATTAGACGCGTCCGGGAGGACGGTGCATATTCTAATTACTTGAGGGTGTAATTGATTTGGGTTTCCATCTCGCGGGAGCAGGATGGATCGGTCTCCCGAGACCAAATGGCATCGTTAGCGAGCGACATCGCATATTTATTCAGTTTGAGCCAACTCTTCTTCTGATTTCCTTTTATAACATCACTCATCTGGTCTCTGTATATACGGGGTGAACCTCTCGAATTTAATGTAGAGTATAAAGAATAGGGATCCAACGTATGACTCGCACATTAAAGTCCCACTGCGTAATTCTACCCAACTTTGGAAATTACGGGATGATTTCAAGATTTCATTTTTAATAAAGCTAGATGGCACAAACAGAAATGACATAGCTGTCTTGGATTTTTAGATACAGGGTGATTTTGATAACGTTTGTGGTTTGGTTACGTGTTCACTCAACAGTACTGGATAAGGTTTTTAGATATGTTCCAGTGGCGAAGACAGTTTGCTTCTGAGACTCACACATTTTTGATGTGAGTTTCAGAAGAAAACTGACTTCCCAAGACTCGAAAAGAAAATTTGAATATTTTCACATGAGTGGATATGACTAAGTGAATATTATATTAACAAACATCTTCGAATTTTACTTTTTACAAAACTTCTGGATTCCTCCTGCGTCCGTTTTTGCTGAGTCGAAATTGCTGACATTTCGCCAATCATCCTGTTGGCTTCTTCAGAGCTCGACTGAAACTGGCTCGTATTTTACTCTGTACCTGCTTATATATTGTTTGAGGGGGGCGGAGCTAAAGAAGGGGCATAAACACCGTCTCGGATGATTGGTGACAGGTAGAGACCTGAGTCGCGGTTAAGATTATCGAATTTTTCATTGGTATAAGAACTGATTACATGCAAGAATTTTAGTTTTATTGAATAAAATTTTATGTCCGGTTTCATGGATGTGTTCGGCAACAGCTGATGAGTTTATTTGTCTTAGTCTTAGTCACTATTACCAGTCATCGCGAATATATTTATGGAAGCCTTTGAGAAGAAAGCTCTCGACACCTTTCATCTAAAACCATAATTATGGAAACGCTACGTCGATGATGCTTTTGTTATTTGTCCTCAGGCTCAAGAAACCCTAGTACATTTTCTTAGACATTTAAACTCTATACACCCTAACATACGTTTTACTATTGAGTTGGAAACTAATAATAACCTTCCGTTCTTAGATATTCTTATCAATAGAAAATCAGACCTAACATTGGGTCATTGTGTTTACAGAAAACCTACGCACACAGACCGATACCTTAATGCATGGTCACATCACCATCCGGCCCAAAAATCATCGGTTATCAACTCTCTTGTTTACAGAATGGTAAAATTATTTCAGACCGAGTCATTGAAAACAGAATTAAAACACCTCTGTTCTTCTCTCTAATAATTTCCACATTAAAGATATTAAGCGTTCCATCAAAAAATACACTTCACCATAACCTTCCAATAGCAATGAGGCCGAAAGCAATCCTACACTTGCCACTTCCTTACATTCAAAACATCACTGACCACATATCAAAAGTTCTAAAGAAGTATAACGTCAAAACCAGATTTACCACTTGTCCAAAAATCTTTCCTACATCTTCGGTCCGTCAAAGACAAAATTCCATTTGAGATGCCTAGAATCCATGCATATGCGGCAAAGAATACATTGGAGATATCAACTAGGCTCACAGAACACGAAAGAGTCTTCGACTAAGACAAATAAACTCATCAGCTGTTGCCGAACACACTCATAAAATCGGACATAAAATTTTATTCGACAAAACTAAAATTCTTGCATGTAATCAATTCTTCTACCAACGAAAAATCCGAGAGTTTATAGAAATCTATAAGCAACCTATTAACCGCGATTTGCCTGTCACCAATATGGGAATTAGTTTTCGGAGACGGTGTTTATGTCCCTCATTCAGCTCCGCCCCCCTGAAACAATATATAAGCAGGTACAGAGTAACATACGAGCCAGTTTCAGTCACGCTCTGAAGAAGCCAACAGGATGATTGGCGAAACGGCGGCGCAGGAGGAATCCAGAAGCTTTGTAAAAAGTATTACAGTAGAATGTGAAAGTTTTTTTGAAAAATTATCTTCTAATTTTAATTAGAAGGATATGTGTCCTAACTTTGAGATTCATTTAGGATTTTGATGTAAGGTCAGAAAAAATATCCGGTTGAAAGAGGTCCTTTCTCATTTCAGTTATAGCTATATATATTGAAAACTTGTTCAAACAGATAGTTTTTGATGAGGCAATAGCATTACTTGTTAGACATTTCACTCATTGCCTGTGCCTATTGTCATTGTCATTTTTTTAAATATTAATTTTCGTTAGCTTTAGTGCTGGAAGACGATCCCCATTATTTTAGTAATTACGAATAACTAACGTATTAATTTTAAAATTTAAACACATTTTTCCAAAGAGAAAATTTCGATCTTATATTAAAACGGCATTCCTTCCCCACCAGAAACGCAGTGGGGTAGTGGGGGATGGGACCTTCGACGAGGGAGGTAAAAAGCACTTAAACGAAATTAAGCGCGTATTATTGGAAAACAAGAATATGAGATGAGATGTTTGTTGTTTGGTTTTGCGGTCTATTAGACGGCAAATCAGAAAGGAGAAAGGGCTTTCATTGAAGCGACTGCGCCATATAATATAAGATCAAACGGCCTGCCTGGTCTTTACCATTGAAAAGCGGAAAACCTTTTGATGCGCTTCGTCCCGGATATACATATTCGCTTTCAAACGGGGAATATGACGCGATGCGGGATCGTGGTGAAAAATCATTGTGGAAAAACGTCGAGATCAAACGCCTAATGGGGCGCTTTTCATTAAGAGAGACGCGGATTTTTTTTTGAGACATTGATAATTTATTTATTTGCTACGATTTACAATAACGTTATTGGCGAAAAACTCTTAAATGAGGAATGGCCACGAGAGTTACTAAAATAAATGTAATTAATAGTCAATCTAAAGTATTCCCAAATTTAACTCTTTTTGGCAGTCCATCACATGACAACAAATACGATATCACTATGTCTACTTTTATACCCATCAGGAAGTTTATTACACATTTAGGTCTGATTATGAAATAAGATTTTATGTTGCATTTTTTTTGTGAATAATCTTGTACTGCTCCAGTACTAAGATTTTCAAAATCTGCTCATTGAAAGTATGTATTGGTTTCTCATAGTTATCCAGTATACCGTTAACGCCTTATTTTGCAAAATGTGTCATCTTTCTTCTGTTAAATAATTTCTACACGTATGTTTTCAGAGCCTTGAAACGTAAAGGGGCAATTTTCTTTCAAATGGTTTATTTTATTTTAGTATGGATGTTTTAAAGTCTTTCTAATATTCTTTAATTGAGATTTTTGCATCACGTCTTATCTAAATTAATTTTTATTTTATTAAATTGTAACTAACCACGTTATTTAAAAAACGTTCGATAAAATTCAATTGGTGTTTATGAAATTTTCTACTAATTCCCCTACTCTACGGGAAAAACAACCCGCATACTTATATATAACAAAACTAATCCAGCATTCTTCGGATGAAAACAAACCGCAGCGGGAAAGCTTTTAGATGAGGTAGTTGTCACGTATGGCCGGCTTCGGTTTTATTGCGTCACTTGTTAGTCCATTTCCTAAATTAAATTGGGAAAACTAAAAAACGACCGCGAACGCAGGGCCGGATCCGAGGGACAATTGTCGAACGGCTACGATAAATATGCAATCGGCTTTAATTTTCCTTAAACGCAATATCCCACGAATGTAAATAAACAGTACATTACCCCTGAGAATACCTATTGTACAAATTCATCCCCGACAATAGAATAACATAGTCGAAGACGTAAATCCGGGTCTAAAGCGTTTCTGATGAGCCCGAAATCTGTCTCACTCTTTAACTCCCGACTCCAGTGGCGTATCACAAGCGACACTTCGAATTCAGTGAATCGTCACTACTACACTTCGCCTGTAACCTTTGGTTAATAGTGCTGTTATTATCCGAAATAATTATTTTCTTTCAAAACCCTTCAAGAAAAAGAACATATTATTTTAACGATGAATCTATATCATCTATGCATCTATATTGTATCGTTGATTATAAAGGGAAGTGTATTTGGTTGTTGTGTGATAATAGTGTTGCGATTCCCAAGAAAGCTATTATTGA